TTGCCCTTCCCGACTTTGTCGGCACGTGGCACGCGCCACGTGACACCGAATGACCTGTGTCATGCATCATCACCTGCCTCAAAGCATTACCCATCGAACGGTACCACCAGCATCTCGATCCGATCATCCGTTTAGACGCAATTCCAATTGTAATGGTTCGATGACCTTTCAGAGCATGGGTTTTTGGCAACGTAAAATGGCGCCTTGTCGGCTTCACCTGAATGGAGGTGGTTGCGGGTCCAGTTTAATTATACGTTCGTGGGTGTTACAAGTACTGCAAGTACTGCTTCTTTTTTGCAAAAATAAAAACCTTTTTCACATACGAAAATGTGCTAGGAAATTTTCATATTTTATAGAAACTACAGTAGAAATAGTATAGATGTTGAGTAATTTTTATTTAAGAAAAAAGAAAGCTCATTATCTCCCTTTAACGTGCTCACTGCTTACTTTGCAGCTATATCTTCCAGCTACACGTATAACTGGGATTTATGGTGATAACATGAACAGGAATTCTGTTACGAAGACGGTTAGCAGTCCTGGCTGCAGGCCCCAGCCGGTATTCGTTATCGGCTAGCTGACCTCCCCCGGCTATAAAACAGACCCCGAACTGCTACTGAAGCACAGAAACGAACCGGACCTGGCTGAGCCGGCCCAAAACCAGCCAACAATGGTCCGACCATTTTAGACCACTAAAGGGTCACGCGGTTCAGCTCGCGGTTCAGCTGCGACGAATTCCATTCACTGCATTCTGCGCCTCGGGTCCTGGGCGCTGCCAACGGCAATAAACTGGCGGCTAAGGGCGCGGTGATCTCACTGCGATATCAGTTCGCTGCTGCGTCGCCGACGTCTGTCAACGACAGGCCTGCGCACGGTAGTGTAGTGTCTAGTGCGCTCCTGCCCGCTTGTCTTTGTTTTAGCCGATGTGTGAAACTATGAACAATAAACATGTTCGTAGATCCATCGGTCCATCCCTCCTGCAGTGCCAGAGTAAGACTATTGTCTTTCTTTGGACAGCCAACCAGTGTATTCCTGTTTCTAGCCGGGTCAGCGCCGGTTCCCTGCAGCCGGAAGCGATAGCTGACTGCTGACTGCTGAGTGCCGTACCCGTCCCGTACCCTAACGCCTCGTGACTCGGCCATGCGATATATCAGGCCTCTCGGCTCCGACCCTGCTCCGCGGCTAAAGTTACACCTGCAATCGTAGACCGACTCGAAAGATAGCGAAAGCGATACCATTTCCTCGTCCTTGAGTCAGCATGACAAGCATCGTCGATGTCGGAACTTTTGAATGAGGATTAGCATGAAGAGTTGAGAGTTGGCATGCATTTGCAGTTCGTTAACATTCAGTGTTTATGCATCCACACGACACTGGAGAATGAAATGACATAACGGTTTTGTCGACCTCGAGTATCTTGTAACTTAGCTCAGGGCCACCAGTGCCTTCCAAAGGTCTTCAGAAACGGGACCGTTTGAGAGAAGCTGTCGGGCTAGGGGTGTGAGTAGTCGTGATGGTCTGATCACTGATGTGTAGGTGTGAATCGAGGGTCGCTTTGAAAGGAAACGCCTGGAGGAGCCTGTTGGATTGAGAGTTGTATAGGCCCAAAGAATAAACCGAGCTGCTGTCGCTGCCGAGTGCTGAAAGCGGTCCTCATGAGCTCATGAAAAGAGACGGAGCGGGTGAGGCACTCAAGAGTACCTAGAGTATTAGCGGGTTCGGTTTGATGTAGTCCACTGGGGTGAACCCAGCCAGCAATTTTGCTCCGGGCCCAAGCAGGCTCAAGTGCGGATTGCCCGAGATTTTTAGTCGGGCTAAAGTCGGCTAGGGCTTGGGCTAAAGTCGGCGTATGACACAAATACGCCGACTAAAGCCCATGCTCTGCCGGAGGTATGCCCGCTCTGCGAGCTCCGGACAGCCGTAGTTTAGCCCTAGTTGAGCGACGATTGGGGTTAGCCCGATTTAAGCCCGAGCAGTGAATCCATTTATATAATGGAGATTACTCTGGGCCCGAGCGGGCTGAACTCCGGCAAGCCCACTCTGTGTGCCCTGTCTATCCCGACTTAAGCCATAGAAGTGAATGGGGTTTATACATTGCAAACTGCTGTGGCTTTCCTCGGGTTCGGCTCGAGTGATGGCTCCTGTTTTCTCAAGTCTCGACTTGACTTCATCTTGCTTTTGCTTCACACTGGATCAAGTAGCAAGGAGCAGCCAATGCACTTTCAGCAGGTTGTGCGGTTTCAATTCAATGCATATTTAAAATTGTTACGGTCACTCATATGCTCTGTTAACCGGTCATCGAGGCTCGAGCATTGCAAAAGGAAAGTAGTGGTTGACTTTGATTGAATGTATATTTCAAACGACTACAGACACGTCAAATGAAACACAAATACATGAAACAGTTGACTGCAAACTGCAGCAGTAATATGGTATGAGTCATGAAAAAACGCCATCAAAACTATAAAACAATCACAAGGCCCGCTAGCCTCCCTCCCCGTTCATAATACTTGGTTAAACACTCAACTGAAAGCATAAAGTAAGGACAGCAAGTAATCGCTCATAAGACATATAGCAATAAGCAAACAATCGTTTATAAGGAACTTCACTCTGGTGAATGGGAGCTTTGGAGGCGTCTGGCTCCTCCACACACACACATCTGCAGTAGGTGGTCGGCCAGCTTTCGGCGCAGTTTCCGTATATGTAGGTATACCTACAATTATAAGTAGGCAGTTTCCGCTAAACCACTTGGCGAGGGCGATTGCGGCGTCCACCCGGTCCTGGTTTGTATAACTATTCCATTTTTTGGAACCATTTGCTCTAATGGTACGTACCTGAAAAAGAGATTAATTGGTTTAATTTACATTGCATGTTTGCTTGAAAAATAACTTATTGATGCATTAATACTGTAAAAACACTTCTCATTGATCCGTATAAAATGTTCATTTGATTTTAAATGCGGACAGAGAATGAGCGTGCTCGGTGATAAGTAGATAAATATTTGTGTTTTGTATTTCATTTTCCTGGGTCAGAAGTGATGGTATTTCACAAAGATGTAAAGGCACGGAATGCAGCTTTTCTGAGCGAGGGTATAAGTCGCCAGGCTGAACAGCTATTCAGCTTCATGTTTGATGGCGTCAAACTCAGTCAAAATCATGACGTTTACATACGATCAAGCGCACCATTCAATACACTTACCTACCGTAAAACTCCATGCCAGTCCACTTGATAAGAGCAGTGAGCACTATCCCTTCTTCGCGCTGTCACACTCGTCCAAACATCAACCACCAAATGCTCCAACACCGGTGTGTCGTTTCGTCGCACAGCGCACAGACTCACAAACGCTGCACATGACTGGCGCAGAACTGCGCATGCGCGAACAGCCGAACAAGTATGGCTAAGCTCCGGCTTTACTCCAGTTAGCCGAAGGACACAGCCAGCTTGATCAGCCCGCGCTCCGCCCAAGTTAAGCCTGTTTTGGATGCGCGGGCAGATGTCGGGCTGAGCTACTGCTATCCGCACGTGGGCATAGCTGCGGCATGCCCCAGCTCAGCCCTAGTAAAAAATACATTGGTTTTGATCAAAGTGGGCAAATCCAAGCTAAGCCCAAGCTGCCCGACGCCTGCCACAGTTCAGCCCAAGCGAATTGCTGGCTGGGAAGCCCCACACTCCTCGTCGGTCGGCTCGGGTTCCGTCCGTGCCGTGTAAGGGTCAGCTCGGTGTGGTTCACCGGGACCCATCCTCCCCGAACGTCGGCTCGGGTTCCATGGGTGTGGTCGGCCGGCTAGCTTAGTTTCGGCCGGTCGCCAGTCTGCTCAGGTTCGGCCAGTGTGCTTTACCGGTTAGCTCGAATCCGGTCGCTGCGGCCGATCCTTCCCGGGGTATCAGCTCGACTTCGATGGGACGTGGGTAGGGCTCAGTTTAGGTCGGGGCAGCTCACAGGAGGCCACTCTCGGCGGTCGGCTGGTAACAGGGCGTGTCTCCGGCCTCCGCGGGATAAAAATAAACACCGACCGGTCTGCAGCTTCTATTAGTGAAGTAATCTTGGCAGCGACCGGCGCCGAGCTGGTCGACCGCGCGGACTCAAAGTTGGGGTGGGATGCTTAGCTGAGGGGGGAGCTGAGCCTAGCTGGGTGGGGCACCTTCTGGAGGAAAGTTACTTGGGATAAATAACCAATTAGACATTGATGGTCACTGAGAAGAATGGGGAGGGGGGTAGGTTATGCTGGGAGGTAGGTATGCCCTTTTCAGGACTGACGCTTTGCCAACTTTCCTTCAAAAGCGTGCTAACGGCGCTGAACAGAGTGGGCACTATACTAGGCCGCACTAGTCTTCCAGTTTCCCTGCAGTCCTTAAAACCCTCTGATGTCTTTTCGCCGACCGCCTTCCGCCACTTGGGCCCATGTCCCATTTCCGTGCCGTCCCGCCCGTAACCGATGCGTTGCGGCACAGTATAACTTCAGGCACCCACTACTAGCGCCATCTATGGACGAAACTGACAACTAGGCGGCGCGCCAGCTTTTGAGTCGCGCATTATCGCCCGAATTCACGCATGTTTACGAACAGCTTTGGTAGTGTGGAAGCGTGGCTCTAAGCTGTAGTTCAGACTACAGGACTGTAGATTCAGACTGTAGGACGCTGATTGTGTAGTGGCTCATTATGCTAGAGCGTTTTGTAATGACGCGTAATAATGAGCGCACAATGACCCCGCAGGCTGGCGACGCGCCCTAAAACCCCCGCGAACACAGCGCTTTGCAATACGCAACTGCAGGTAAGGTAATAACTTAATCCTTATCAGCAGTTTAACTCGTAATTCTAATGCATTCTATTTGCATTCACAAATCGTAAACAGTATGTATACTCATAGGTGGCAAATAACTCCGACTAATTACTTACTTTCCCAAGTACCGGGGAATCTGCCTCAATTGCATTGTCCTTGCGAAATTACAAAACCCTCCTCGCCTGCGGGCTGTCGCGCAATAACTCACCCACATTGACACGATCCAGTACACAATCGCTGCATATGTATTCAAGGCATACAGTGCAAATGGCTTGTCATGCCTTAGGCATACTGCAAGGGACCCGCTGCTCTGTTGGCATGCTCAGAACAGTCGACACTCGCCGAGATACGCAGATACGACGAAACACACCTTAAACGGCTCCAATTCCTAACAAACTTACAGAAAACCCGGCTCTGTAGCACACAAATCACTTGCGGTCGTCGGGCGATGGAAAGAACTTCCTGGCACTTGCAGAACACACGATACTGGTGGCACTGGGAAACCACGCTCTACAAAAGGTACAGGCGCACGATGAGAGCGCGCCGTAGCGTCGGAACATTAGTGACTGTTGTCAAACAGCCTTACCACGGACGGCCAGCCGATCCGAGGAGCAAAACAGATATGATACGCATACCCTCGTATCGGGAGCTCTGGGAGTGAGGATAACCAACGACAGGGTCAGTCCTGGACTTCAGTCAAGCAGCCACGGCAGTATTGAGTCCTCTGAGAACCAGCGAGGACAGGCAGCCAAACACTAGTTAGAGGATGCCAGTCACGTGGACGGAGTGAGCCCCTCCAACCGTCTATCACACACGCACACACACGTCACGTACACATCCACTCAATAAATACTATCCTAGCGCCGGCGGCGGCGGGGTCAGAGAAACGTGTCCAGCCGACCGGAGCGATGCACGTGCGTCCCGCCGGCCGGCCAGCGCCGCAGACCGCCGCGCCGCGGCCGCGCGTCCCGGGACGCCTGCGAGGCGATCGGGTGCGAGCGGGGGAATTGGACACGACGCAGCAGGTGCTCCGGCAGCGGCGAGGCGCCGATGAAGCTGAAGTAGATGGTGGGGAAGCGCTGCCGCAGCGGCGCGCCCTGGAAGACGGCGGCGCGCGGCGGCAGCGGCCGTCGCCGGGCAGGTGGGACGCGGACCAGCTGGAGCCAGGCGCCGCGCGGCCGGCGGCTGCCCGGCGGCCACAGCCCCGCGCAGCCGCCGACCGGTGCTGGTGGAGGAGGGGGCGGCCGACGGGCGGCCAGCGTGGCCACACAGGAGGCCGGCGGCGGCGCGGCGGCCAGGCCGTCACACAGGTCTGCCCAGAGTTGGTATATGAACAGCGGCGGCGGACCGGGGCCGGCCGAGTCCGGGTCATCAGCGAACTCCAGCGCCTTGTGACGCAGGTAGTGCTGAATGGCCAGCTGGAACAAACGGACAGATAAATTATAAGTAAAGATCGCGGATTGTAGCTAGTGCAGGCAGACCAACACTCATGACTGCTAAAGAAACAAATTATTGAAATAACAACCGCATTCATGCAAGGATAACCTGAACACCACGCTGTAATAACGGCTAGAGATATTTTCCAGATAACCACGATTTTAACAGCCATGGTCCGAGACATTCTTCCAGAAAACGCGGTTTAACAGCTGACCAATGGAAAGAAAAAATCCTGCCACAGCCAAAGGCGCTCATGAGCACGCCACCAAATGACAAACTATCGTCTATAGGCACCCGCCGTTCCATAAACAGGAGGCAGGTGGAGACATACCGTCAGGCAATGTCGCCACAGGGGCCAGCCGTCCCGCCCGAAATCGATAGCAGCCACATTAGCCCGTAAATTATCCAAAGGAATGCCGCTCTGCTTCATTCATAAATCTGTGAGTTCCTCGAGGTTTCGGAACACAGCCAAATATGCATTTGGAAGTAGTTACGAGTACGCCTAACATAAAAACTGCAGTCATGAAATACTGAAACCTTACCAAGCGACCGATTTCTAACACCTGAGCGGAAACAGCCCGCAGCAAGCTTCGCAACCCAGCGTGCCGTGAGTGCAGGTGTCCCCACTGTCTGCCCCACTAGGACGTCAGGTAGAAATCAATATTATGAGTTCCATTCACCAGGCCAGACCAGGTGGTCAGCACGGGACGGTCGGCTGACCTTCCAGGCAGCGCCCTCTGCACACGGCAGCGACAACGCGGACCGGGTAAAGATGTCGCCCCCTGGATATAGCGACACAGGGACTGATTTAGAATATAGAGACGGGGCAAGTTAGCTCAGACCTTTCAAATATCACCGATATTGACCCATGACAATTGTCTATGCGTTTTTATGGAAAAGGGCGGAGCGCTTACCGCCAGTGCCGCCTGCACTCGCATGGCGTCCATCCGCGTGGGCAGGTCGAGCTGGGGCGCGCTCAGCACCTCCTGCATGGCCGGCACGTACTGCGGCAGCAGCGGACATAGGTACCTGGGAATCGGGAGGACGTGTGCGTCAGTTATACAGAGGCAGCAGCGGACACAGGGAGTAGTAAAGTAATCTTGGACACAGGTACCTGGGAGCCGCGCAAAGGGTGTCAGTTATACACTTCACTACTGAGCAGCACAGCGGATACGCTTACATGCGATACAGGGGGGCAGGGGAAGCAGTCATACCGCATGTAACTGATCTCAGCATAGCCCCTTGCGACTGACCCTAGCATTACCTATACGACTACGCCGATCTCGGCACTACCCAAGGTGAGCGACCTCAGTACGACCTATGTTACCCTCAAGTATGATCCAGAACGACCTCAGCTGACTGACTCCAGCACCGCCCTAGGCCACTGAACCCAGGGTAACCCCCGGCTACTGACCTCAGTATGGCCTCTGGCCCCATGTAGGTGAGCGCGGTGATGGCTCCGTACTGCTGCCGCAGGATCCGCCGTCGGTCCTGTACCACGTCGTGGAGGGTCCGGGCGATCTGCTCGGGCAGCTGGTTCACCGGCGTGGTCCACTTGTGTACCAGCTGAAGGGCGACAGAGGGGTCAGCGGGGTCTTTAGGTGTAGAACGGATGAATCTAGCACAGACAGCGTACTGACTTGAGTAACTAGCGTGACTAACTCACGTAGGTACAGGGAAGTGTTAATACAGACAGCGCCGGTGCAACGGAGAATTGACGCCAGCTCGGACCTAGTTCAGGGTACGCTACTGGCAGGTGTCATCCCCACTCACGGAAATGGTAATATATATTTAAATCGGGCGAGAGCAAGTTTCAGCGTTAGTGTCATCACACCTGAGTACCTGACGCCAATCCTAGGTCATCCAAACCAGTCAGTACGAGCTCCGCACACCCGCTGCACCACCACCGTTATAGTTTTTTTTTTCAGAGACCGTCCCAGTAACGCAGAGCACACCTGCAGTGATGTCACTCAAAGACTGAATTAGTGACGTAGTCATAACAATGACATCCGGCAGAGACCGGCGATCGCTGGCGCCTCACCTGAGCCAGAAGGCGCGCCGAGAACTCCTTGACACAGATGGCGTCCACCAACGGATCAGGCGCCTTCTGCTGGCCCTCGATGGCGCAAAACACCAGCGCACTGGCAATGTGGTTCAGCTGGCGGCACAGAAACACACAGGGAGGTCAGATGGGGTCGCACGGCTGCGGTGCAGGTTGGCGTCTCAACTACCTAAAATATCCCCTGTGTCTGCATTCACAGTCAACATTTACTTCTACCCTGGGGTAGATACCTCGAGGTATAAGCCAATTGGTAATTGGTATTAAGTATTCACTAAGAAATCGAGCCCGTCGCGGGTAAATGCCTCTACGGCATCAAGTTCGGAATAACAGAACCCCAAAAATGGCCCGGTACCCTCAATTCATATCCTAACCCACAACTCGCGTTTGTGAATACAGGCACTGGACGTAGGCCGACTGGGTCACACCGGACTCCTGAACCACTCTCACGTTGGGTTTGCCCGAGCCCTTTAACCTCACTCACGTTGGGTTTACAGCCGAGGTTGAGCGATGTGTTCCGGGTGAGCGCCTGGAGCGCGCGCAGCAGCCGGTGCAGCCAGGCGGGTCGGGCCGTCAGGTGTCGGATGGCCTGCAGCAGGCAGCGCAGCAGGTGCGGCAGCAGCGGCGCCAGCCGGCCAGACGTCTCCAGGTCGTGCAGCGCCATCTGGACGGTAGGAGGGGGAGGGAGGGAGGTGAGCGACTTCTGAGGGGGCGGAGGGGTAGGTGAGCGGTGGCAGGGGCACGCCAGACAGGGGACGATTTGTAACCACCAAATATGATATAAGTGCTTCATTATAGGGACGCGGAAGGTGTAGGAAGGTTCTTGGGAAGATCATTCATCATGCATGACAGCTCAACAAAGTCGGCAACAAAGCCAAAGCATGAGTAAAAATGCAACATGGATGACGTATGAAAGACGTACGTACACTGAAACGTCTCGTTTATCCTTCAAGAATAAATTAAATCATCGTCACAAACCGCAGCAAAAGCATGTTCAAACACTGTATGCACCTACTCAACCACCAAAAATCAACTCTACTTTGATTTTACTTTGTACTTTGCTCGGTATAGCCGTGCAGCGATTGGAACGCGTTCGACCTACCTGCAGCAGCTCCAGGTTCGAGCCGAACAGCGCGCGGGTCGTCTGCTCGTAGTAGTCGAGCTCGACGGCATTCAGACCGCCGACCGGCCGGTCGGGGTCCGGCTTTACGTCCGGGTTCCGACCCTCGACCACCAGCCAGCGCACTGAGGAGACGGTAAGCAGTCAGATGTCTGTTGACAGGGAGACAGTCAGATAGCAAAAACAGACGCGGTGCCGACAGCCTCCAGTGCAGCCAGCGTCCAGCGTCAAGTCCAGCGCGCTATCAGCACGGAAGAGGCAGTGACTGTGATAGTGGCCGACAGTTACTGTAGAAGGTCGCACTAAGGGTCTATTGATCAATGTCACAATTGTCCCAACACTGCGTTTTCATGTTAAAAAAGTGATATTACAAGATCGATAAATCTCCGCCACTATTTACAAAGTTACTTCAAACACTAATAGCCTCACTCTCGCCTCTGAGGGTCACCTTAGTCGGTCATACCTGAGAGCGTCGGCTCGGCGGGCGGCGGTACCTGAAAGTGGCGGTCGTACCTGAGAGCGGCGGCTCGGCGGGCGGCGCCGGCGGCGGCGGGTCGGCGCTCAGCGCCAGCTGCGCCAGGTCACAGTCGCGCTGTTCGGCCACCCACAGACCGGCGTCGGACAGCGGCAGCAGCGCCAGCGGCCGGCGCGTGCTGTGGCCCAGCACCGGCGGCGCGCCGTACCAGCGCAGCGCGCGCGTCATGTCCGAGTGGGTCAGACGGCGCCGGCCCGAGTGGCGCATCAGCCGCGCCGCCGACTGTGGAGCAGAGCGGGGAAGGGCATGGTGAAGACTGAACACAGGGGTAGGTGGTAAGTGGTCAGGTAGCACAAATGTCACACTACACAGGAAAGGTAACTACTGATACCAATCAGTGCACTCAATCAATAACTACCTGAATATAAACAGCTCAACAGATGCAATATGCTAATCACATCAGTTGACCACTTCATCAGATGTCACAGGAAACATACTGACTGATATCCAACAGTCCAGAACTGACTGAATTAACATCTACTGATCAACTGGTACTCACATGGGTCAACTCCCGGATCCTATAGCAAACATCCTGATTGAGGGCATCTGCGGCTTCCTGGGTTAATCCAGAAACACCAGGATTGCTGCCATCCAGTGATTCAAAGGCTGTCCTGATGAACTCATCAGTGAGGATTGCATAGCCAGTGTCTGGATCAGTATCTGGCTCTTTCTTCACGGAACCATCCTCCCTGCCTTCGCCACTCATTGTGGGTTGTTGCTACATCTGTCAAAACATTGAATGTCATTTTTGAAGTAAAGTAAAGTAAGGGGCAGCTTCAATCCTTATGGTATTAAACATTATCATAAAAATAGTAACAAACAGCAGCATACTGAGTCAAATGCATGTATAAAAAGTGTAGCCAATTCATATTTACTCTTACCATATGCACATAAGAGTTCTGAACTACCACTTTTGCACTTTAAGCTATCTTCATTTGACAAAGATGATGCAATGCATATCAAAATCACATGGTTATCCAATATGAACCAATAATTTTTCTTGAATACCTCGCATATTTTATGGAAGGCTAGTTAATAATTTTCTGGATATAATGTATATTGATATTGCAGTTGCACACATAATATACATTAACATAACATAAAAATAATGTCTTGTAAGTGGCCAGCCTCAAGCCTGAGTCAGTTATCTTTCCTGGTACTGTGTTGGACTGTCTCAGCCAGTCCAGTGGACAGCACTCAGCAGCCAGAGGGCTGTTCTAGGGCCCTGTGTGTGGTAGGACCATACACAGACTCCAAGCTCCACCCACTACCCCTATGTCTAATGTCATCCTTCCGTCATTACACACCGACACAGCAACCTCTGTGGCCAGTCCGGACCGACCAGTATTGGCTGTGTGCGGTCCACTTCAGGCAGCCGTGTGAAGTCATACCAACTACCCCTCCCCTACCCCCATGCCTGCTGCACACGTCACACACTGCAGTGCTCTCACCAGTTTGCAGTGCGCCCTGTGAATAGCCCTCAGGATAATTGAACTGACTGAACTCATAAATATAAGGCCCTCATCTTTAACTCTTAATACGTAATTTTGAAGGAAAATTACAGAGATCAATTACAAGTTTTGCCTCTCGTTTAAACAAAAATTAAAGGTGACCCTGCCTTAGCACACAGAAAATATGAACTGAATTTTGTTTTTACCTTTGAACTTGAACTCTCAACCATTTGTGCACATAAAGTGGAGTATACAACACCAGGCATCAATATGATACTGGGACTAGGGTTAAGACTAAGTCCCCTATAGATTCATCATTCAGATAATACAATTTCAGTGAAAACTTCTTATAATTTCAGTCCAATCAACGCCCACCCTGACCCCCGATCGTCTATCCGCGTTCCGCATGTGCAGACTGCAGGCAAGTATAAATGAGATTTCAGGAAACAAATTTCTAACAAACCAACAGCAACGTACCCACCTACTTATCGATCTTCCGATCTTTTTCTCAAATATTTTGAAAATTACACAAACTTCGCTCGCAAAATAACAATAATTGTCAAACGTTTGGCACAATATTTGGGACGAGCAACTTTCGGACACTTCAACAAAACGTTTTCATCATGTGATTTTTTTAAAGTTTACAATATTATTTGTGTCATAATAATAGCATGTTTTTTTTAGTAACTTTTATTTTTGAACATTTAAAAACTAAAAAATTACATCTAGAACGTATTTGCGCAGATATTTTGTAAATTTTGCTCGTGAGGCTGACTATCACGTGACTTAAGCAGTGCCATTGTGCCAGTAGTTATCCCAAGTTATCCTTTCCTTGCGCACAACGTTTTGCGCCACATTTCAGTTATTATGCCGCGAACAGACAATGAATGCCGTTACTAATTGTTTTCTTAGGTATATTAAGTTCAATCAGTCGTTCAATCGGTTCAATCGACGCGCGGCGACTTCAATCAGTGCAAAAATCATACAAAAGCGCCTCTGTTTTGATTAATGACAAAGTTAAAGGAGGTCGAAGTTCTTGTTAACTAAGGAGTGGGAATGGTAAGGACCTATTTTCAGTACGGACTTCCAATCTCTAAAATAGCGATTGAAATGGCATGGAATCAATACATACAGTAGCGGCGGAACACCCTCAATTAAGGCGGGGCACTGCCGACTTTTGGTCCCATTCTTTCCATGCAACGCCCATAGGGCTAATGTTAAATTGCCAAAATCAAAGGGGGGCACGGTGCCCCGGTGCCCTCCCCGTTCCGCCGCCTATAAATACATACCTATGATTAGGAGAGACATTTCGTTACAAAACATGACTTGACACCTCCCTTGTGTTTGTTAATTGGGGTTTGTGGCACGTCGACTGCAAAAGTCATGTCGCGCTTATAACATTAGTGTATTAACGCCCACTGGGCACTGACACCTCCCTCATTCAAGTACTGTCCAGAGTTCGAGCCCACTACAAAAATCTGCGAATTTCTAACGTATATTTTTCCAGCAATATGGGGAAATGATATTTCAGCAGGGTTCAGACCCATCATGCAGAAGAAAAACTGCCAGAAACCTCTCTAAACAACCGCACACCGAAAGCCATTTTAATCACTGAACTGAGACAATAAGCTGCTATTAGTAAGAAAATTAACCTCACTCTCATTCTATCTAAAAGTAAATTCCGGATTCGAAATAAAACAAACTTTTTGAGAAGCTTTCGGCATTGCGCCATCATCAGCTCTGGAGTTTTATTCGCAAACATTTGAGAAAATATGCATTCGGGCTGATAGTTTTGTCTGCAGTTATTTCATCCAGTACTTCCTTCATATTATATAACAGTTGGCGGCGCAAGAACATTTCGTTACACACATGCATGTACTTAGATCGACATCGTATCAAATAAACATCGTATAAGTTAACATCAAATAAACCTCGTATCGTATCGTGCATCATTCTTTTGAACAGATTCTTTTGAACACATAGGAGGCCCAGATATTGTGAAGTAAAACACCTTAAATACATTCATCACACAAACATACAGCGAAAAAAACAAACAAACACATACAACATACAAATAGGACATACACCTTGCAAACAGTCGATCGATGTCGATCAGTCTGTCAGGCTCAGGTACCACGCCGTATCAAAGACCACGATGAGGTTTGTGTGTTAAGGGTAGGTTTCAGATCACGAATGTATATTGATTCCCAAATCTTTCTGTCTGGACCGTCTTTGGAGACATGCAAAATTTGGATCGAGATGTTGTCGCTGCCCAGCTGAATATCTGGATGTTTGGTTTGATGGAAGCCAAAGGGAGTGTCTTCTTTTCTGTTTCTAGCATCTCTGATGTGCTCGTTGTACCTGAGCCTGACAGAGTCGATGTCGATCTAAGTACATGCATGTGTGTAACGAAATGTTCTTGCGCCGCCAACTGTTATATAATATGAAGGAAGTACTGGATGAAATAACTGCAGACAAAACTATCAGCCCGAATGCATATTTTCTCAAATGTTTGCGAATAAAACTCCAGAGCTGATGATGGCGCAATGCCGAAAGCTTCTCAAAAAGTTTGTTTTATTTCGAATCCGGAATTTACTTTTAGATAGAATGAGAGTGAGGTTAATTTTCTTACTATTTGTTACAATGTCTCTCAAGTTAGCGTTGAAACATATTCAAGAATAAGCTGCTATGTTAAATCACAAGGAAATATCACCAAGCATTGACTGTGCAGAATGAAACATAAAGTAATCCAAAAGTCGGTGACTCGGGTACTAGGATACGAACAGGAACATCTTAAAGACAAAAGCGAGACTCTCACACCGATATAATGCTCGTTAGAGTGCAAGATGCACAATAGACCCATTAACAACACAATAACCATTAAAAGACCACGACCGGAAGCATGTACCGACAGAACTATCTTAGATAAACATTTCAACATGCGCCAAAATAACACCTTCGATACACTGCCGGACCGTACATTTCGTGCCAAAGGCGCACATTGAATCGAGTGCAGTCATACGGGTTTACTTTGCCGAGGTGCGATACATGTAGCGAAGTCGGCATCTATAGTCTGGTAGTTGGGTTAAAAGAGTGTAGGTAGCCTAGTGGAAGCCGATAAGGTGCGATCAGTGTTATCAGTAACTGGGTAGGTCCGCCTACGTATGTCATATCCAGTGTCTTGTCGCCGGTGGTGAGACCGCCCGGGTGAAGTTCGTTTCATCCCGACAAGGCCACTAGTTGAGGTTGGTGGAGGCGACCAGTGCCACGCCGCGCTCGTAGAAGCTGTGCTCGGACTGCTGGCCGGCCACGGGCAGGTCGACCGTGAAGAGCAGCTCGGCGCGCGTGGCGTTCAGGTAGACGGGCAGCGTGATGTAGCGCTGCTGCGGGTCGCGCGTCTCGCCGCGCGCCCAGGTCAGCTGTACCTGTGGCAGCTCCGTCTGTATAGTAGTCGTCAGGTGGAGCTGGTTGTCGCGGCACAGCGCGCCCTGCAGCTTCAGGCCGCGCAGCGACATGCTGCCCGGCTCGACGGCGGCGTCCGCCTCGGTGACGGTGACGCGCAGGTGGAGCTCCTCGAGGGACCAGCTGTTGGCCTGAGCCACGCACTGGCGCGTGGCAGTGACGTACGCCTCCGGGTTGAACAGGCCGCCCAGCCAGATCTGCTGCGCCTGCAGAGGACAGCGGCGGGACGGGAGGGTCAGTAAAGTCGACTGGCGGGAGGTGAGCAGACTGTACGGCGTATCCTCGGCCACGGCGGTTCTAACAAGCTACTCACTTAATTTTGCGTTCGTTCTCATGCTAGCTCATTAAGGCAAGGCTTCCATTTTCAACGAACTGAAAATATCCCCTACACCATCCATCCATACTGTCTTCCTCACCCGTCAGTCACTAATTATGTAACATACTCCCCTTCCCTGAGTATTCAACACCCACGGTTTATACTACCCAGTACCCAAAGTCTGCCACTCACCTTAAGCGCTCCGGCGCCCTGCTGCGCCACGCTGGAGCTGATGGTGTGCAGCTGTTTGACGCGCTGCGCGAAGTCGGTCACCCACTGGATGACTGTGGTGGTGGCGGGCACCTTGTACTGCCGCCAGCTGGCCGGGATCACGCCGCGCACCAGCTCAGCCACCATGGTACGGTGGTAGTTGGTCTGCTTCTTGGTGCCCTGCACGGAAAGCGAGAAAGGGAGGGGTTAGAACTTAGAATGCTGTTTGGAGCTGATGAAACACCAACCAGACCACCAGACCAGACAATTAATCGAGCAATCAGAGATAAACTGGGAACGGGTCTCAGTAGTCTCATAACGTTTGTCGTAGATAAATAAGTGATTTGATATTCATAACTAAACGCTTTCACACAATCCCGTACCGTACCTCAAGCCCACCATGACATTCAGTCTCGTTCTTGGGATCAGCTTTCTGTCTCACCTCCCAGCCATCACACACCCCACCCCATCTCGCAATCTTCATTCTCCCTCCCTCCTCCCTACCTCCCCGCCCTCTCCCGTCGCCTCACCACCTTCTTCTTCTTCTTTTGCACCTCACCCGCCGTCCCCCTAGGGGGACGACGGCGCAGGCGGGTCGACCGGAGGGTCGGTCCGCCCGACAGCCCGGATGAATTCAATCACCAACGGCGCCGGTCCGCCGAGGACGTCCCCCAGGCTCGGGTTGAGTCCCCAGCGGCGGCGCCGCGCAGCCTCGTAGGCCGGACAGTCGGTCAGCAGGTGGGCCGCGCTGTCCGGCTCGCCGCACGCAGGGCAAGCCGCGTCCACCGCCAGGCCAAGGCGGTGGGCGACGTCCCGCGTGAGCGGCGATGCGCCCGTCCGCAGCTGGGAGAGGGTACATGCCTCCCAGCGGGACAGGTCGTTGTGGCCCGGTGTGGGCGCCGGGTGGGGGTGGGACGCTCTTGTTCTCGCGTCGACCATCGTCCCCACCCGGCGCCCGATCGCGCTTCTGGCGCTGGCGAAGTCGATTTGGACGTCCGGCTGCTCCGCAGCGGCCGCTTCACCGGCCAGCTGGTCGGCGTGTTCGTTTCCGTCCAGACCAGCATGCCCCGGCACCCACTGGAGGGTGACGGTGGTGCAGGACATATTTTAAGGCACTTACTGCGTCCCATTTTGGGACGCAGCCCCCTCGCCTTGGGACGTAGCCCCTGCTAATTTGACCCACTGCGTCCCTGCCCTGTCCGGTTCCCTGACCTGTGCCCTGCTGTCTGCCCTGACCTGTACCCGGTCTTCCCTCTAAAATGTCCTGTGCCATGCCCTGCAACCTGCCGTGCCCTACTTCCTGCCCTCCTCAGTGCCCTACTCTGTTCCTTGCCCTGTGCCCTTAGTCGTAGCACGTGCCCTCTGCTCAACTTTGGGATGCAGTAAAAATTTGTTAAAATATGCCCTGCGGTGGTGCCACGCTCGCTGAGGGTGTGTAGGCACTCCCAGATGTCGGCGGCCAGGGCGGTCACCTGGCCGGCCGGTCCCCTTTGGAGCTGCTGCAGGCCGGACTTGGAGTCGGTTAAAAGGCGGACTGCGCGGACGGACTCCCGGTCTTCTTCAGGTAGGGAGGTTATCACAGCCAGTGCTTCCCTGATGGCGGTAAGCTCGGCACGCAGGCTGCTGCACACTGCGCCGGCCGGGGCCCTGATACGTTCCTCACGGCCAAGGCAGTGGAGCTGGATCAGCGCGCCCGCGCCGCCACATGTCGTCCCCTCTCTCGCCGACCCGTCCGACCAGATGGTGACGTCTGCGGGCGGCAGGAGCTCTATGGCCCGGAGCGCCGCCTCTCTGCGCTTGTCGGGGGGGTCTGTGCGACGCGTGGGCGCGGGCAGGTCCACCACAAAGTGGGCGGGGGTCCTCTCCACTGTCCAGGGCGGCCGGCACTGGTACAGCGCCAGTGGTTCAGTTGGCAGCTGCTTTAGCCCGGCTTCGTCGGCGATCCACCGGCCCACCCGCCTGAGACACGGCTTCTTGGTGAGCACCGCGTCCTCGTCGGGCGGCTTCGGTGGCGGCCTCCGCGCCGCCTCTGCCTGCGTGCAGTCTCTCCGCCATGCCAGGTGGGCTCGGTACTCCAGCCGGGGCCGCACCTCCTTCTCCAGGAGGGTCCTGGCAGGGTCGAGTGCGGGGAGTCTGGCGAGGCGCTGGCACTCCTGTCCGGCCAGCTGCTTCGCGCGCAACGACAGTGGCGGGAGGTCGGCTTCGGCGAGCAGGGCGTCCGTGCGAGTCAGACGGATGCAGCCGGTGATGAGGCGAGCACACTTGTTCTGTTCGGCCTCCAGTCGCTCCCTGACGGACGGCGCTGCATGTGTGCCAACTACGGCGGCGCCGTAGTCGAACAGCGCTCGCACGTAGCCGATGTAGGCGGTCCGGAGAGTGCGACGGTGGCTGCCCCATGTCTTTCCTGCCATCGCCTGCAGACATCGTCTTCGTCGGGCCATCTTCGCCTTCAGGTCGGCGACGTGTTCAGCAAAGGTCAGCTGCGGATCGAACTTGATGCCGAGGAAGGTCGGGTGTACGGTGGCGGTGATCTCCTGTCCGTGGAGCTTCAGATTTGGCCGGACTCTTCCTCGCTGTTGTTTGGGGTCGAGCGAGAAGAGGGTGCTCGTGCACTTGGAGACGCTGGGCGTCACCTTCCACCGCGTCAGCCAAGTGCCGATGCTGTCCAGACACGGCTGGAGGTGGGCGTCGCACTCTTCCGGCGTGCGGGCGTCGGCCAGTAGCGCCACGTCGTCCGCGAACAGGGATCGCGACACGCCCTCCGGTAGGCCCTCGTCGATGTCATTGACGTAGATGAGCCATAGGAGGGGTGCCAAGACACTTCCTTGCGGGAGGCCCTCCTTGAAGACACGCGAGTCCGACTGGGCAGCTCCCCATCGGACTCTAGCACGGCGGTCGGAGCAGCAGGGCCTCACCACCTCCCTTTACCTCCCCATCCCTCTCCCGTCGCCTCACCTCGCAGATGGCGATGATGTCTCGGATGTCGTTCTGCACCAGCGACAGCAGCTTGGCGCCGATGTTGACCTCGCGCTCGAAGTAGCGGTAGAGCGGGTCGCGGATGTTGTCCACCGTGCGCCGCAGAGTCTGCAGCTGAGAGGGCAGCAGCTGACTCCAAGTCCTGCCGCTGTTGTGCAGCACGCGCATCCAGGCCGGCCGCGCGTCCGCCTGCCGCTTCTCCGCCTCGCGCTCGTCCACGTAGGCCGCCTCGCCGTCATCCTCGAGGAGTTGCATCCGGAGCAGAGAGGCCACCATGTCTGTGCCGCGAGTGGTCAGCAGCAGCTGGGGATAGAACGTGCGGTTGGTAGTGTCGTAAGCAGATGAGACCATGTCCATTCTATGCTGCGCATTGTCAACAGAAACGAGAGCTCGAAATCAGCCATTGGGGATCTCCTAAAGCACGTCCGTAAAATCCTAAAATGAATATTTTAAGGACGCCTTGAATATGCCACTCTCCCTTAAATTCAGACTCACTCACACACGCCTGAATGCACACCGTTTAAACTGAATTCCCTGCACTCCAGTAAAAGGAAATCATCTTCCCTCATGTCATCTACATTCTACATCCTCCCCTACCGCCGTACCTTTTCAGCGTTGTTGGGCAGTCCGAGCCAGGCGGGCGTCTGTCGATCCGACAGCTGCTCCACCCACTGCAGAAACTGGTCGCGACGAATACCCTCCGGCATGCCGATATCCTTCCCGTCCGGACCGGCGCCGGCCACCAGGGCGAACTCGGCGTCGAAGCTGGCCGGCGTGAACAGCTTGTCCAGGAAGCTGGAGAGCAGGCGCTGGTCGAACTCGTTGTCGATCTTTCCACCGTAGATGCACTGCGAGAGGAGCGTCTGCAGCGCCGACCAGGGCACCTTCTCCGGCGGCAGGTTCGTGCGGCCCTGTCACACGGGTCAGGGCAGGGTCAGAAGGGGGCCAGATCGGGACGGGGGAGTCAGACAGATAACGGCTGGAAACGGGGACGGCGAGATCAGGGAGGGGAACGGCGAGGATCAAACAGGGGATATTCGTGGTGGGGCAGGCACATTATGCGGTTTGGTGGGCACATATGCGGTGGAATAGCGGTGTTGCCAGACAGCGAAGCAGGGCGCACTTTGCCCCGGTTCCGTAACATAAAGGCGCCTCTCAGGTGTTGCGTAGACCATATTGATAATATCCCCACGATCAGGAAGGCCACCGAAAATCTGTCGACAGCCGTCAAGAAGTGTATTCCCAGCATTGCGCGGTACTGTGACATTGGTCAAAAGAAGATTCAGACTACGATTTTTTCTTAGGAAACTCCAGACAGCCCCATCAATGAAGGAACGTCCCAGCGAGGAAAGCTAAAAAAATGCAGAGGCAGAAGATCAGCTTAATGTTTGACCCCAAGAAAGAGTGAGTACAGAATAGAGAAAACGCCCAAACACAACCAAACTCCAATTAGCCAGCTCAGAAAACTTGTCTTACCCGTAACCCTAGCACGGATTGGCCGATACTAGAAAGGCCACTAAGGTTAGAATCAGTCGTCACTCGTCAGTCCACTCTCCTCAGTTAATGAGGCACTTATCAGTATCTCCGAGATCAGTCGGTCAGTCGGTGAGGATTCAGCGGAAAACACAGCGCTCAGGAGAGTCAGTCCGTCGATCAGCATCTCTGACAGTAAGATATTTAGTCTGTCTCTTATTTCCCGTCAGCACCCGTCAGCCAGCAGCAGCTCATCAAATAGCCCCGCTCCCGCACTCAGACACAAACCACTTACGGACTTGGCCCCGCCCTCGCTGGAGATCTATAACACGGAGCAGGGCGAAGCGGTGATATTCGGGGTTCTGATCTTCGTCAAAGCTTCTTAGTCGTGAAGCCGACTGCACACAGAGCGATAACTTTTGCACACATCGTCCTATTTCTTTGAAAGCATGAAAATCGGAAGACCAAATAACCCCTTAATCTATTTTGCTTCCGTTAGTATATTATAGCAGTCTCGTAACCGTAGTCATCCCATCTGCCTCTCCCTTCCCACCAAACTCACCATAGCCGTAGCCTCTATCCAGGTGTCGAGCGTATCGCAGGCCACGCGCAGGTCGGATTCGTTGAACTCGTATCCCTTGGACCATCCGAGCGGCGCGTACCGGAGCCGCTCCTGGACAACGGCGTGGAACCAGGCCAGCAGGAAGTAGATGCGCGCCCGCTCTGAGGGAGGCTTCATCATCCGCGCCGCCGGCACCTGGCGGAGGAGGGAGGGGGGTAGGTTAGATAGGGTCAGAGGGAGGGGGGTCGTCGATGTTGTGAGGGGAGGGTGAGGATAGCGCATAATGGTTAAACGACTCAACCAATGAAGCGTCGGTACCTAAGTCTATTTACCCCGCTAGATCCATACCCAGCAACATGAAAATAATTTATCAGGAACAGTCCACGAGGCCAACAGAAAAGGGAGATACCTTCAATGCCAGTACGATGTTTACCTTAAGTATTTACCTTAAGCAAAGGTCATTAGGTACCCTTTCGAGTAATCAGACCCTTTACTCAAGAGATGCCTCCTCTTCTTCTGACGAAGACGAGTAGGCTGCCATGCTAGGCGAGACCATACATTGATGGCCGCGATGATCATTAGTATGAGAACTTGTAGTTGAACTTTTCAGGGTGGTCCTTCCATTCCTTCCCCAGTCTGTACTTGAACACATCGACATTTGGAGCATCGATGGTGTGGGTTGACAGCTTGTTCCATGTCTGAGTTACTCGTGCCGCAAAGAAGGCTTTTCTGGGTCCCAATTGATGCTGAACTTGAAGTTTTTGATCGTGACCTCGGGTGACACGGCTGAGAGAGTTCTTGAACATGCTGTTGTGACAACACGGGCACTCTCTTTGGAAGTCCACCTTGTCGAAGCCTTTCAAAATTTTGAAGGTCTCGATGATGTCCGACCGTTTCCGTCGGAATTCCCGAGTAGGTAAATTAAGGCTCCTGAGGCGATCTGAATATGAAAGGTGAGACAGTCCGTTCACCAGCCGTGTTGCCCGCCGCTGCACCTGTTCGAGTGCATCTTTGTCCTTTTTGAACTTGGGACTCCATATAACAGTTGCATACTCGAGGTGGGGCCTGACAATGCTTTTGTACAAGGCTTTGAAAATGTCGCTGTCAATGTTTGCAAAGGTATGCTTGATTGCACCAAGAATTCTATTGGCCTTGTTAATCTGGTTAGTGACATGTTTTGAGAAGGATAGCTTCATGTCTATAGTGACTCCCAGGTCCTTTTCCTCACAGACTGCTTCAAGGGTATGTTTGCCTCCACCCATAGTTGTCATGGTATACTCACTTCCAGGATTTGTTGGTCCTAGATGCATGACCTTGCACTTGAGTGGATGAAAGATCATCTGCATTGTTTTTGCCCAATCTTGCAAAGAGTTGATGTCCTCTTGCAGATTGTGAAGTTCACCATCGCGCTCGTTGATGACTTGGTAGACCTTGGTATCGTCCGCAAACATAGAGATATGACAATTTAAGAGGTCGGGAACATCACAGACAAACATGGAAAACAAGAGAGGCCCGAGCACTGAGCCTTGCGGCACTCCACTTGTTACATACTCCCAGTCTGAGAGTGATCCATTGACGTTCACTCTTTGCCGCCTGCCTGTTAGAAAACTCCTTATCCACTGATGAGTCTTTGCATTCACCCCTAGAGCCTGGACCTGGGCTAGAAGCCGTTCATGGGGCACAGTGTCGAACGCTTTGGCATAGTCCAGAAACACAACATCCACTGGTAAGCTGTGGCTTAGCGCTTCCGTCCAAATATCAAGAGCTTCCAGTAGGTTTGTGACTGTAGATTTCCCTGTGATGAAACCATGTTGTTGGCGAGCGATAAGATTGTTTGTCTTCAGATGAGCGATGATGTCCTCGCATATGATCCTCTCCAGAATCTTGCATAATATTGATGTCAGTGACACTGGTCGGTAGTTCGCGGGATCACTTTTGTCGCCTTTTTTAAAGATTGGCGTGACGGTGGCCACCTTCCATTGCCGTGGAACTTCTCCAGTTTCAATACTTTTACAGAACAGAGATGTGATGGGTGTCGCAAGTTGGTCAGCAAGTTCGTGCAAAACACGAGGGTGCATGTTGTCGGGGCCTGGCGATTTATCAATCTTCAGTGTTTTCAGCTTGGCATGGACTCGCTGAACAGTTATCGCAACTTGCATCTCTGCCTCCAAAGGCTTTGGAGCTAGCGTTGGGATCGATGACTTGTCTTCCTTTGTGAAAACGCTTGCGTACTGATGATTCAATATATCAGCCTTGTGCTTGTCGTTAGTTGCCAGTTCACCATTAGCACTACGCAAGTCCGAGATACCACATTTTGATTTCCTGCGACGGTTGACGTAGTTCCAAAACACTTTGTGATTTCCTTTGACTTCTTTAGCCAGCTTCGACTCGAATTCTCGCCTTGCTTTCCTGGTCGCGTGGGTAGCTTCATTTCTTGCCTTGACATAACTTTCGTAATCATTACTGTCCTTGGTGTTCAGAAAACGAACCCAAGCGTGATGTTTTTTCTTCACCATTCTAAGAGCACTCCGATTCATCCACAGGGGATTTCCTCTTTTCGCTTTCTTGTTGGTGTCCAGCTTGGGCACGTACCTATCCATTAAATCCGTGATCGTTTGTTCAAGCGTATCTGCCATCTCATGCACAGATTTGCCTTCGATGTTTGAGTGGCTAGTAAGTCCAAGCATCACAGGCCGGAGTCCTCTTACTAATAAGACTGTCTGATTGATAAGGTAAGACTGTCAAATCGGTCTAATTTCTGGCACACCTCACCACATCCAATCTCCGCTCACATACCGAGCTGAATGTGCGCAGCAGGTTGGCGCGAATGCCCGGCGGCGGCTCGAACACCAGAATACGGCCGGCCCGCAGCAGGTTCACCGGGATCTTGGGACTGATTTCCATCGTCAGGAACAGCCTGGAAGAAAGCGAGGAAACGGGTGTCAGCTGTTCCACTACAACCATAAAAATTGTGTGCAATATAAAAAAATACATTGATGATTCTAGTCGTATCGCTGTACTAATTGCAATAATTCACTCTTCAGTATTCAAGCAACGGCAAGAAATGTTAAGTTGGCTAATCAATACCCTTCACGATCAGATTGGTGTATTTATCGATCTTACGTCAAGTCTCTCAGATCCCCGCCTTGATTTACCTGAAGTTGGCGTTGGGCTGCAGGGTGTGCAGCTTTTTCTCCAGCTGCACCAGCCACGAGGCAGCCAAGTGAACGTTCTTGAGCATCACCCACCTGTGCGAAGGGAAAACATAACGAGTCTAACTTTTCTCAAATGACTTCACGGCATCACACAAAGAGAAATGGAGGGGAACCAGGGGAACTCGGTGAGCCCGAAAAATGCGTTCAATGCACTACAAGGTGAAGAACAAGCTCTCATGACTCCCATGACTTGACGGCCTTGCTGCCCACGCTGAATCTCCATCCTCCCCTTTCTCTCTTTCCCTTCCATCTCCCACTCTCACCGTCCAGTCTTGACGGCCGAGTTGATGGCCTTGTCGGCCTGGCTGAATCCCTCCGCCGAGCCGATGGCGATACTGGTCACCGGCCTGCCGAGCTCTGCAGCCAGATCGTCCACCCGTCCGGACGCGTCGTAACCAGACACTGAGCAGAGCAGCACGGGCGCGCTCGGGCGCACCTCCGACTCGACGATGTGCGCCAGGTCGAGCTCACGCTCGGCGTCCGGCATAAAGCGTTCGCCGAACACGGCGTCCACCAGCTGATGGCCGGCGGCCAGCACCCGGTCCGGACGGAACGTCTGTGGGAGGGGAGGGGGAGATGGTGATTATTTGAGGGGGGCGGGGCGCGCCATCAGATACCGAGTCATTTCGCATGGTGGGAGATGAGATATATGTTGGTGTGGAGGGACTACTCGGGCGGCACCCGGCTCGCGTCATAGTGGAAAACGGTCAGTGTTACTGTTGGGTCATAACTCATATCTAACAGAGTGGACACCTAGGATTAGATCGTCGACCAGGCTGAAGCTCCAAACCCAACGGACAACTTTGTACCGATCGCTCGACCACCTGACCGTGCATACATATCCGCATGACGCATCCCATCTGATCCAGTCACCCTCATCCTTTCTGCGTTCCCTAGCGCACCTGAATCATGAGCAGCCGATGCATGGCCACTGCGGCCGGCGCCGTGACCGTCTCCTCATTCCAGACGGCCGGCACGCTGAGCTCCGCGGTGGCCGCCTGGAGCCACTCCTGGAACGGAGCCGTGCCCACGTGGTCGGCCAGCTCCGAGAACGCCGGCAGTCTGTGTAGAAGAGGGGGTTGTCAGGCTCAGACGGCTTGGCGAAGAGGCGGGACGGCTAGATTGATACGGACATCTTTAAGTACATCAATATTCGACGGCATATAATTATTTACCCCCATTCAATGTTCCATGATGAAATGATGGGGGCAATTATATGTAGGTATGCAGCAGCCCAGTCAACAATCGGCACTTTTTATGCAGTGTGCATGCTTTGGAGATCACTTCCCGAATTAATTACTAACTCCTTCCATTCTCCCAGCTCCTTCAACACGCCTTATTCTGCCCTTTCTCTGACCCACTATTATTATCTCATCCTTCCTTTCCTTTCCTCCCTCTCTCCCCGTCCCCGAGTCTCACCGCTGCGCCAGTCGGAGCATGTTCTCGGCCTGCTCGTCAGTCAGCCCGGTGCGGTTGGCCGGCTTCTGCGTCACGATGCCCTCCTTGCCGCGGATCAGGAAGTCGAACTCGGCGTCTAGGTCACCGGCCGGCCCGGTGGCGCCCCGCAGACGGATACGGGCCAGTAGGAGCGCCAGGGTGAGGCGGTGCTGGTGGGCCATGCCGCGGGCCACCCGGTTGTAGCACACCTGGCGGGTGGGGGGTTAGGTCAGAAATCAGACCGACGAAATTGAGACGGACTGATGTCGAAAGTAAAAAAATAAGGTTTCCATGCGAGTTATTCCGTGTGTCTGGAATGGAGGCGCAGTGATGAGCTTAGCTTTCAAGATTCATAAAATAGGTAAATCTGCAAGAAATGTCAAGAACGACACTTCGTGTGATGAGCCGGCATATCGATTGCCAGCAGCGCAATACCCGTCAGTAGTCGCTGATCAGCGGCCAGCAAGATCCACCGACCACACCAGCTACCTGCCACCGTACTAGTCACCCCAACCGCGACCCTACCCAAAACCATAACTCACGGAGAAGAGCGCCTGTGTGATAATGTTGAGTCTCTCGGCCGAGTCGGTCTTGCCCTCGAGCGCCGGGTTGGTGGCCGGCGTGAGCACACAGCTAAACACATCCAGGAAGAACTGCAGCGAGAACTGGTACAGGAAGTGGATCTGGTGCAACGACTCCAGCATGAAGTAGATGCTGCTGCACGCCTGTAGGGAGAAGAGAGAGTGGGATGTCAGTCATATGAAACTCGTACCACCTGAACTTCCACTGAGACGAGTTTGCTTTCCACTGTAACGTTAGTCTTCGATAATTATTAGCTGATTTGTTTCCGTCATAAACAGTTTCGTATCATCGTCTTTAATTCTGTTCGACGTCGTAACATATAAAATTGTATGACGTAATATTCTAGGTACGCACTTACATCTACATCAGCAGTGGGAAAAAGACTACCACTTATTTCCACCCAAATCCCTAGCGGGCTTTTAGAACGACCATTCTCACGACTCCCCCACATCCGTCCGCCCGTTCGTCCTCACCTGTGCCAGCGGCATATACTGGTGCGAGACGGTGTCGATCTCGGCGATCACCTTGTCCGTCTCCTCCACCTTGCTAGTGATCTCGGCCGCCTCCTTCTTCAGCGTCTCCAGCGTGGTGATGACGCTGTCGTCGTCCAGAATCTTACCCTTGGCATCGTTCAGAGCCTGAAGTAGCGACTTCTCCAGGTGGCGCAGACGCAGATGGAACTCGCCTGAGATTTGATAACGAGCAAGAATGTCAGAACGGTGTGACAGAAAATCAAGCATCAAAAGTCATGTGTAGACCGTACACGCTGACGTCTTGCAAGGAGTGATAGCATGTGACACACAAGCATTTTATCCATTTCAATTATCTCCCACTTATTTATAGTCTTTCGTTAGTGAGTCGACCCTAGATCCCACTATCAACAGAAGCAGCGGGTGTTTGGCGGTTTTACGTCACTGTTTGATGGCTCCCGATCCCCCCACCAGCCCGTCATGCCGCTAGTCCCTTCGTACCCTGCAGTTTGAGCAGATCGGAGCGTTTCTCGTCGATGTCAGGCCGCTCGGCCTTCAGCACCTGGTTCAGACACTGCGACTGCAGACTGCTGCGGGTTACCGTGAAGTTGACGAACGTCACCCGAGAACAGATGTCGGCAGGGAACTCCACCTGGGAGCAGAGAGACAGGTCATAGGTCAGGTCAGGTCAGGTCAGATGGGATTTGGGAGCGATGGAGGACTATACAGAAGTAAAATGACGCGTAAATGGCACCAGGGACGTACAGATGGCATCCAGTAGCCAAAGGTCCACAAGCCGCTGGTGCAGCTGTCCATCCGTATCACCAGTTGGTGATTGTGCAGCAGAGTACAGCACTGCTCTACGCACCACCCCGCTTCCCGCTCAACATCAACGCCGGGTTCAAGATCGAGTCACAGATTTCGATAGAGTTACGACATTACGCTACTCTTCTTCATCTACCACCCTGCCAGGTCTTCATCATTATTTTATCGCAAACCACATTCTCCTCATACTTTCCCTTAGTGACCGGCCACGCCATCGGGTGCTCCCTCCTCTCTTTGCCTCCTTACCGTCGGGTCCCGTGTCGACAGGAAGATGGTGAACGTGGGCGACAGATCGATATCCTGGTCACCGAGTGTCACCAGCACACGGCCGCCGGTCCGGCGCAGCTCGCGGTTCAGCACAGGGTTCAGAATCGGGTCGTAGTTCTCCACATCCTGGCGGTGCACAGGTGGCGTCAGACGGCTGTGACATTCACCAGAAAAGATGTGAAAGCTTTCATCGAGCAATAAAAGTTGATAAAGGGGGCTGAATTTGATACACAGCACCACTGGTAGGTCATATCAGCAAAACATTAACACCGTTCCCATCTCAGACAAAAAAATAAATATCGTCACCGTCCCGTTAAGGTCAACACAATGCAATAAAACGGCTCCACACTCACAACTGCATTTAGCCTGACAGTAAAATAGCTCAATCATTGCCTCAATGAGCAACACTGTAAATCAGTCGATCATGCAGTGGTCCCCATGACTGAAGCACCAGCTCCCCATATCTCTCGACATCGTCCTCTCTGAGCCCCCAGCGGCATCAGTCCCGCGACTCATACCTGGACCAGCAGCGGGTTACCGAAGCGCAGCGCGCTCTCCAGGTTCTTCCGGAAACTGTCGTCCAGGAAGCTGGTCTTGGTGATCTTCTTGCCGGCGAACTCCTTCATGATAAACTCGGTGGCTTGGCCCGACGGGTCGATGATGAGCGGGTAACGGTTGAAGCGCTGCAGTGCGGCAGGGTAGCGTCAGCTCAAAATCACATTAAAACGAAAGGCGCTGTTTGGCATAGACTAGCAACTAGAGGGGTAGTTACTCGTGAATTTCATCAAATCGCTACAAAATTGTGTGCTTCAATAAATGAAAACAATATGGCCCGCGCATTTGTGATGAATTACGCGTGGCAATACCAAGCCTCCATCTAAAAAATCTCAGCAAATTAGCACCGCTCTTCACTTGCTCAAGCACCATGACTCACTCTAGTTGACGCACTCGACTTCTCTGATTCCCACATTCGCATGTAAAACCTTCACAGTATAGGTTCACAACGATACACCATCCTTCAGCAGCCACCCTGCTCCACCGCCACCTCACCTCCAGCATGATGGCGTTCTCGGTGCAGAGGTCATCCGTGGGCAGCGAGTTGGCCTGCCAGCGCAGCCTCTCGTCCGGATTACTCAGATATTCGGTCCGCGCCAGGTCTGGCCTGTACTGCACAGCGGCCTGCTGCAGGTGGGCGCACCAGTTACTGAACAGACTCTGTCGGAGCTGCTGGTCAAAGTAGCCGGCGTACGCCAGGAAGGCGGCAGAGAGGAGCACGTCGCCGACGATGGTGAGCATCTGTGAGCGGAATGTCTCACTGGTGGCCAGCCACCGCTCTCGCTCGATGCTGAGGGATTTCAGCAGCGCCATGGAACGGTCCACCTGCGGAGGAGAGGGAGAGGGAAGGGGTGAGTCAGTGGGGTGGGCGGAACGAGATGTCAAATGAAGAACGGAAGAAGTATATTGCGTCAGGTTATATTGCAAGAAAGCCAGGACGTGTCCTACAAGAAAGTCTACGAAAACATGACTGTTCGGAAACGATTTCAGCCTTCAGGCATGCGCTATTTATACGGAAACCCCATTTCCTTTCAATCACTTGAATTCCTGTTGAATGCAAGCGACATTTCACAACACGATAGCTAATTAGACGCAACCAAGCCACCACCTTTTCAAGAGACGTGATCAGAGTCGACAGGTCTTCGTCTGACTCACCTTGGCCTGAACGCTGGCCAGGTCGGTTTTGATAGCCTGGGCCTGGGCGATCAGCACGGCGTACTCCTCCTTGTAGCTGGCGATCGAGTGCTCCAGTTTCTCTATCACCTGGTGACGCGAACAAAACAAACTAGTTATGGCGGAGCAAACTCCAGGGTTGCCCCCTCCACATATACACGCATTCATCACATTTGTTTACCGTGCCATCTGTACAAAACCCGTCCAACTCTGGCACCCTGACGTTTCACGCAGACCAGTATAAGTCTCCTGACAACTTCTCGGAGCATTTCGCTCCCATGATTACCCACCTTGATGATCTCCTGAGCCTTGTGTTTGTTCTCGTCGGCCTGGGACTCGAGCGACTTGAGCTCGTTCCTCAGCGGATCCACACGCTTCAGCATGTCGGCGTAGTTGATCTGAAACGACGGGTTAACAGCGGGTCAACGCACGGACGAATGGCTGAACAGCGGATGCCGAGTAAGTGAAGTAGAAAATTTCATGTTCATCTTGTCGCGAGTGACGACTGCACAAAACGACAGCCGTCTCTGTCTCGCAAAATAACCATCTGTACCTAAACTGACTATGCCACCCTTGACAAGCGTCATCTTCAATCAAGAGACATGTCAATACGACCACCAGCAGCAAAATGTGCAGTGTCGGTAGTGTTCAGTTACAGTTCGTCATTTCCCCAACCTCGTACCTGAGCGATGGCCCACTTGACCATGGGACCACAGGCCGTCGACGCGTTGTTGATCTTGGCAAAGTTGTAGTCGGGGTTGGAGAGGAACTTCTTACGCATCTTATCCCGGGTGCTGTCACTATAAAAAGAGAAAAACAAACCAATGATCAGCGCAAAAGTTGGTGCTACTTGTCATTACACTCCAATGAAGGCAGATTTAAACCGGCACTGTTTAAAATATCTCCACACTTCATCAATCATTTGGTTTGATCGCACCGATCGCACATTGATTATCTGATAAACTACACAAACTAAAATATGGATTGTAGACATTGTAGACAAGACATACCGTTTGTTTCTTCATTGGGGTTGAGAATCTTAAGACACCTAACTCCAGACAGCGCCAACTCACGTGATGTTTTCAGTGCTGTAGTTGACGATACTCGGGATGAAGCTGTCCTTCATGAGGATGCCTCGGATGGCCTTCCAGTCCGACGTCTCCTCTCCCAGGAATAGACAGATGGACTCGAGCGCCAGTCGTACCATTGGCGGCGGGGCGCTCATGGAACGCAGCTCCACCAGGTTCTGCTTCTTGATCGACTTTACAGCTGCACGGCACGAGAGAGGAATTAGTGCCAGGGGGCCGGTGCGTGTGGTAGTGAGGGGGGGGGGAGAGGCAGCAAAGGCAGTGCGCACAAATTGGCAGACGAAAATTAGCAATTGAATCATAAATGCCGGAAATAGTCACCTCCCCAGAGCTGAACGCAGCACAATGAGAGAATGTTCAACAATCACCCATCGGACTCATCAGATCAGATGAGAGCGGATTTTCTCGGGACGTTGGCTTTTCAAAGCCATCCCATCAATTTGTGTTGATATCAAACTCAACCATCACAAGTCAGAGTCCAGTAAGAACGTCGCTCTTCCTCTGTCCGTATCTCTCTCCATGCTCTCACCGTTCTGGGCCTCGATGACGGCTGGCTCGACGCCGGCCAGCTCGGAGACGACGCTCTCGCGTTTGACGGCAATCTCCTTCTCCTGCAGCTCGAGCTGCGCCTGCACCTCCTGCGAGTGCACCTTCTGCCGCTCGGCCTCCTGCTGGTCCAGCACCATCTGCTTCAGCTTCTGGTTGGCAGCCTCGTTCTTCTGGTGCAGCTCCTGCGGGAGGAAACAGGGTGACGTGTGATGAAGATGGTGTGTCGAAGGATATTTGTACGAGATCACGCAAAATTTCCACCGGTGGTGGACTTTTTAACGCCCGGCGTTCAGTTATACTCATTGTTGTGATTCATCAGTTGCTTTTGCCTTGCTTGTTTTTATAGTAGGACGTTTCTCACGTACCTATCTCACGTTTTTCTTGGTACACAAAAGCTTTTCTCTTTCTCCTCTGTCGGTAGAAGCAAACTTAGCTGAGCTGCTGAGGCCACATTTTTACGATATTAGAAAAGACACGCTGTTCACTATCCCGAATCGCATCAAAAAGTCACTGCACCCGTCCTCACCTCCCGTCATCCGGCCACGCTATCCCCGCCGTACCTGCGATTTGACGGCGAGCGATTTCTGCATCTCCTCCACCTGTTCCACGGTCTCTGCGATCTTGTTCAGTCCGACGTTCAGGTGCAGCTGCTGCTCCTCCAAGTCGGCCCGCTTCTCGTTGTACAACTTCACAAAGTGGTTGATGAAGTCCAGGTAGTGGCTGGGGGGAGGAAATGACGACAAGCGATGTGAACAGTAATTCGAAAGATAAACGCTGGGTCCAGTTTGCGACACGATGAGAATTAATATGCATGTTTCTATACCCACACCAAAAAAAGCAATAATTCCCAACTGCAACCCTTCAGTCTGTCAACAGTTTGTGATGAAGGCCCGACCACGCCCGACCACACTTATGAATGTGGTGTGATGGCGGTGATGTGCTGGTCACTGGTCAGCCTACCCCTCCTCTTCCTCCATTAACTGCTATCTAGTCGCACTAGTGCGCGGCTGTTTCCTCCTCCACTTACCGCGGTGTGATGGCGGTGGTGCGCTGGCCCCGCTTCGCCAGTCGCTGGTTCGCGCGGTGCAGCGATTGGTGCACGTGTACGAACGCGTTCACGATGGCATCACGGTGTGTGGGCGGGTTCGGCAGCTCGTCGTACGCCACGGGGAAGTAGTCGGGCGGTGACCAGTTGGCCCGGTCCAGGTCCACGCGGCTCGTGAACTCACGGCCCACCTGCGGGAAGGAAACAGGTACAGTAATAGCCAGAAAATGACAGTCCCATTTTATTGACACACACCATTTACAGGTTACATTTAATTTTGACAGCGTATTTTTCATTATGAATTATGATTTACATTGACAATACTGATGATAGTCGAAAGAATCGCACCGGTTACCAGGACATTAAAAATGCTTCTTGTCTCTTGGACTGACAACAACACACCGAATGCAATCCCTTTGGTATCATTTTAAAATAACTGTCGCCGGCCAGTACGGCCTTTTAGTCCCCGCCTGTGCGCCTCCAACACTGACACAACCTCCATCGTTGGCAGAATATGGTCACCCACCTGGAAGAAGGCGCCGTTGCTCCAGTCACCGAACCAGTTGAGCACGCAGCGGTTGAACAGCGCCGGAGACGTGGCCGCCCGATCCTTCAGACCCTCCGAGCTCGGGTTCATTGTGAACACCACGTGCAGGTTACGCATCACCTGACTGGTGAACCACTTGTAGAGCTCCTCGTTGGAGTCCAGCATCAGACCGTCTCGCTGCGAGCCCTCCTTGCACTGGGTCATCAGCGCTGACGCCTCGTCACCTGGTGGCAGCAACGACGAACGGACACAATCAGAAAATAAAACGGTTTCACTAAGCTATGCTGACACATTCAGCAAATTTGAACAGCCTTGGCGGTATAGACTAAGTTTGATTTACGGTAAATCTCGGAAAACGCTACCTAGAATCAAGCAGGAGCTCGCATCGAGAATGAAACACTATTAGAATCAAACATCAAATTAAGTTAAGAATCAAACTGAAACCTCATTTCCTCCCCCAGTGCAGCACCGATCACTATTCACTCTAGCCTCCCTCTACCATTAACAAATAACCGCTTATCTTTACGGGCCGGTGCCAACTCACCCTCGAAGAGTCCGGGCACCTCGCCGTTCGCCAGCAGCGTGTTCATCCGCTCCAGGAAGCTCGAGTCGAGCATGTTGCTCTCGTCCAGGATGAAGCAGATCTTCTCACCCTTACAGCCCGAGCGTCGCAGCACAGTTCGCAGGTCCTCGTCAAAGTCCTCGCCCGTGTACTTGTTGTGCACCTGAGAAACGAGTAAAGTTTTGTGAAAAAGGCGTTCGGGGTAGATATTGTTTTCAAGTGTATACATTCAGGGAGTGAAAAGAAATGCGAGCAATTTTAAAATTGGCCGTTTTAAATGAACAAAAATAGTTGCACATCAAAACAGTCAAGATGTCGTTCCACCCTTTCCGAGTTTAGAACCATGCGCAGCGCTTTGTGGAAAGTTGAATTTACAAGTTGTTTGCAGGGATAGTAGAAAGCAACTTGCAGCACCAGCTACATCCCACAGTCCCTTCAGTTCGATTCCCACACGCCCACCTTGATCTGGAACACGGACAGTCCGTTCATCCAGGCGACGAATCTGGAGAGCGTGGTCTTTCCGGCGCCGCTGACACCGATCAGCAGCAGGTGGCCCTGCGGCTGCCGGTAGATCCGATCGATGCGCAGCACGTGATCCAGCACCTCGTTGAACAGCACCAGCGGCACGTCCAGCTCCTCCTCGTAGAACACCTGAAGGGAGAGGAGGGGCACAGTGTTAACGGCATGCTCACTTTGTAGAATGCCTGGTAGCGATGGATAGTCAGAGACGGCATTTACGGCACGCCTAAGTGCTCCTATGCCCACAGTGTAACCTGATGGTGCGCGACATTGTGGACGTGGGAAGGTTAGAAATGACATCTGTGGTAAGTCCAGCTCCTTTATAAACACTTCTAGAAAGAAGAACGGAGGCCAGACGTAGATACTGTGGCGGTCACACTTCGGCCTCCCCTCACTGTGCGCGCGCGACCGCCCCTGCGCGTGACCGGACGATCATCCGACCGCCAGCTGACCTTGCCCCGGGGCACTGGAGGTCACAACCCCGTCCCGCTCCGCGCGGGCCAGCGCCGCACGGACGCGGCAGTTATCGACGAGTGCTCGGTGAGTGAACGCAACACGTGGTGGCAGCGGAAAACTGCAACGGAGCCATGGCTATGGCGAAGAATTACCGTTTACCGGAATTTGACGGCAGTGGTAATGTAAAAACGTGGATCAGCAAGATAGAAGTGATTGCCCGTGCTTGCAACTGGGACAGTTCAAAACCGGAACAGAAGACCTCCAGCGATTTCAGTGACGAAACTACGGCGGTGATGGCGCTCCCGGCGATCACCGGTCGGGCATTCGACTTCGCGATGCGCCTCTCCGACGGCGACAGGAACAGCTGGAAGAAACTGTGCGAGAAGTTGAATGCCGAGTTCGACTCTCCCGGACTCGCTGTTCAGTACGCGCTGGAGTTTCATCAGCGTATTCGCAGGCCCGGCGAATCACTGGCGACGTTCCTGTACGATCTGGAAACGTTGTGTGCTCGCGCCTACCCCGAGTGGGAGGACGCCACATACCGCCAGCGGCTGGTGAAAGATCGGTTTCTGATGGGCATCGGAGAAAAGTCGAGGAAACACATACTTTCGTTCTACCAACCAACGTGGTCGACAGAGACGGTTCTCCTGGAGGCGAGAAAGCTGGAGCAGATCGAGACGTCAACGGGAGGCGGCGCATCTGTGGGGGCCGTCCATGGTGCCCCGAGAGGGGAACAGTCGGACGCGTGGAGTACCGGCTCTCAACCTCAGCCCAGCGAGACTTCGGTGCTGTCGGCGCTGTCCGACAAGATCCAGATGCTGGAGGAGCAGATGCAGGCATGTCGAGTATTCCGTCCCAGCCGCGACTACAACCGCTCGTCCCGTTCGTCCAACAGGCGCCGAACATCGAGCCGTCGGAGGGAGGAGGGCTGCTTCAACTGCGGTGAACTCTCCCACTGGCGCTCTGACTGTCCGTACCAACGCCCAGCAGACCGGCGGTCGGGAAACGGGAACGGACCGAGGAGGATGTGAGCCGCCGCTCCTCGGTCCCCGCTGTAGTAGCCTCTTCTAGGGTGGCTCGGACGACTCCGCTGATCCGGGGCGCCATCGACGGCGTCCGCGTCACGTGGCTTGCTGACACTGGCAGTGACGTCACGTTCGTCACCAGCAGCTGCCCGGCGGTAGGGTGCAAAGCGTTCCGACCCCTCGTGCACCCTGCATCGGCACCGGTGACTATTGATGGCACGCCGTTGAAGGTGAGGGGGACTGTTGATGCAACCGTCGAGTGTGGTCACCTGCCGCCGCGGCGTCACACGGTACTGATTGTTGACAGTGTGAACACCGAATGCGTCCTCGGCAATGACTTCTTGTCCCTGTATGGCGAGGTGGCGCTCGACTTCGTGCACATGACTATGCGACTGACAGAGAACTCGACGGCCGACAGGCGTGTGACCGGCGGACGCAGCCTCGGCGAGAGGGCGGTGGTACCCGGCGGCCCAGCTGCAGTTGCGGCTATGGAGAGCCGCGACGCTGGCGGCCCAGCCGCGGCCGGTGCACCGGCTACCGACGGACACCCAGTCGAGCTCACCGCGGACGTCACCATCCCCGCGGCGTCTGAGGTTCTGCTGGCGGGCAGAGTGCGGGCCGACACTGCATGTGCACCCGGGCAGCACATCACCTTGGTCGAGGACAGCAAGTTCACACGACGCTACGGGAACAGCCTCTGCGTCTCGAGCTCTGTGGACGTCATCAGGACAGACAGCGCTGTTCAGTTGCGGCTGTGTAACCCGGGTCGAAGTGCAGTGAAGTTGTACAAGTCGTGCACTGTCGCCCGATGTGTCGGCTACGCGGATCCGCCGACAGTGCGTGCCTCGCCGCTGAGCGATCTCAGCCGGGAGGAAAGGGAGGCAAGAGAGCGACAGCTGGAAGACATGGTCCGCAGCAAGGTCGCCGAGTCGGATGTGACGGACGAGCAGCGCCGTGCCCTGGCGGCGGTCCTGCTGCGACGCAACGGCGCGTTCTCCGTACGGGGAGAGGTCGGTATGTGCGACCTGGTGAAGCACCGCATACGTCTGAAGGACCAGCATCAGCTGCCCATCCGGATACCCCCGCGCAGAACCGACTGGGAGACCCGACGGAAGACCGAAGAGTTCTGTGAGGACCTAATGCGGAAAGGACTCATCCGCAGAAGCCACAGCCCGTGGAGCGCGCCCGTCGTCATGTGCAAGAAGAAGGACGGTAGCAGTCGGCTCACCATCGACTACCGAGGCCTCAACAAAGTGACCGAGTTCGACGCACACCCGCTGGTCCGGATCGACGACGCCCTGGACTGTCTGCAGAACAACAGCTTCTTCACCACACTGGACCTGGCCAGCGGATACTGGCAGTTCAAGATGGACGAGCGTGACATCGAGAAGACAGCGTTCTCGACCCACAGCGGCCATTACGAGTGGCTGAGGATGCCCATGGGGCAGAAGAACTCAGGCGCAACGCTGCAGATGGCGCTCCAGATGCTTCTGGCGGACTCGAACTGGCTATACACCCTGTCGTACGTGGACGATGTCATCCTATGGTCGAAGGACTTCGACACGCACCTGAAACGACTGGACGACATCCTGGGGAGATTCGTGGACGCCAATCTGCTCTTGAAGCTGGGGAAGTGTAGTTTCGCCAAGAAGGAGGTACGCTACCTGGGGTACCTCGTGACCCAGGACGGCATCCGCCCTGATCCAGACAAGCTCAAGGCCGTAAGCGACTACCCGACGCCAGCATCGCACGAGGAGCTTCAGAGGTTCATCGGTCTGACATCCTACTATCGGCGCTTCTGTCCCAAGTACGCCGACATGGCCAAGCCGCTGCTGAGACTGTTGGAGAGGAAGGCAGACCGTACTTTCAAGAACGGCTTCAGATGGACTACAGAGTGTGACAGTGCGTTCCAACAACTGAGAGGCGTTCTGGTGACTGCGCCAGTCCTGGCGTATCCCAAGATGGACAGCGACTTCGAGCTGACGACTGATGCCTCCGATGTTGGGATCTCTGCGATCCTGTCTCAGAATGGCCGGCCCGTCGCGTTTGCCAGCCGAGTGTTGGCAAAGGCCGAACGTAACTACTCGACCACGGAGAAGGAGTGTCTTGGACTGGTCTGGGCCGTGGAACACTTCAGGGTCTACATCTACGGGAGGCGTTGCGTGCTCAGAACGGATCACAACCCACTGCTGGCTCTCGCCACCTCCAACAAGCTGAAGGGACGTCTCGCCAGGTGGGCTCTGAAGCTGTCTGAGTTCGAGCTCGACATCCAACACGTCGCCGGGAAGTCCATTCCCCATGCCGACGCGCTGTCCCGTGCGCCGGTCAGCGCCGTGCGTCTGACAGACACGGCTCTGGTGACACCGGAGGAGCAGGAGCGGGACGAGGCTCTGCGCTGTGTCAAGGACGGCATCGCGATCGGCAGGCTCGCCCAGACCGTTCCGGAAGGAGCACGACGGCTTTGGAGGAGAAGAGACGCGTTGAAGATCGAAGCCGGACTACTGATCAACAGATACAGGTGCCGCGGCCGAGAGCGCGAGCAAGTTGTCGTGCCGGCACACCTGGTGCCGGCTGTGCTGAGGCTGGCGCATGATGACCCCATGTCTGGCCATCAAGGAGGGAGGCGCACTCTGGAAAGGGTAAGAGACCGGTTCTTCTGGGTCACGATGACTGCGGATGTCTCCGACTGGTGCCGTTCCTGTCAGGTGTGTCTCCAGGTGAAGCAGCCAGACCAGCGCGACAAGGCCCCACATCAGCCGTTGCCTGTTCCGCTGCGGCCGTGGGACTTCGTGTCAGTTGACATCTGCGGACCATTCTCGCCCAGTCGGAGGGGTAACAAGTACATACTCGTTGTCACAGATCAGGCAACGAAGTGGACGGAAGCGTTCCCGATGGAGCGTCAGGACGCCGAGAGCGTGTGCAAGGTCCTCATGGATGAGATCATCTGTCGCTTCGGCGCCATGCGTCAGATCCACTCAGACCAAGGGAAGCAGTTTGAGTCTGAGCTCTTCCGCATGCTGTGTGCAAGGTTCGGCATCCAGAAAAGTCGGACAACTCCCCATCATCCACAAGGAAACCCGCAAGCGGAACGGTTCATGAGAACACTCGGCAACATGCTCCGGTCCTACGTGTCGACAAATCACGCTGACTGGGATGCACGGCTCCCGGAGGTCATGGCGGCTTACCGGACAAGCGTACATGAAACAACGGGACAGACTCCACATATGCTGCTGCTCGGCTATGAGGCCACGACTCCAACAGATCTCGCGGCAGGTCGCGCCCGAGATGACAGCCAGATAGCATCACGCCTCCAAGAACTGGACGAGCTGCGCCATGAGGTGAAGGAGAAGGTGGAGTCCAGCAGGCGCGCCTACAGCCAGAAACAGACCGTCAGGTTCAGTCAGCACGCCCCGGGGGACCTCGTCATGGTGTCAAACCTGAACAGGAAGGTAGGCGTCAGTCCGAAGCTGTCCAACAAGTGGATAGGACCGTTCGAGGTTCTCCAGTTGAAGAGCGAAGTGACCTACCGAGTGAGGGAAGTAGACGGCAGGAGGCGGTCTATGATCGTGCACCACGACCGCCTGCGTGCCTGTCCAGTGAGGCCTGACCGACTGCTCTCTGAGAACTGCAGCTCGGACGCCGGCACCCTGGCCCCCGTCCTGCCGGCGCCGGCGCCTGCACGTCGGGCTGACGAGACCCGCCCGGACTCGTTCGTGGACCTGGCCGTGGAAGACCTGCGTCATGGCGCGGTACCGGACGGTTCTCACGGACCGAGGGCTGCTGAGGATGAGCCCACCGAGGAGCCTGCTGAATCTGAGACCTGCTCCCCGCCGCAGCTGAACCGCTACCCGCTGCGAAACCGCAACGAGCCTGATCGGCTCACCTACACGAAGATGTAGCTGGAAGTGGGGAGGGAGGTGTGTGGCGGTCACACTTCGGCCTCCCCTCACTGTGCGCGCGCGACCGCCCCTGCGCGTGACCGGACGATCATCCGACCGCCAGCTGACCTTGCCCCGGGGCACTGGAGGTCACAACCCCGTCCCGCTCCGCGCGGGCCAGCGCCGCACGGACGCGGCAGTTATCGACGAGTGCTCGGTGAGTGAACGCAACAATACAATAACCGACGTACGGACGTCATGGGCCCGGTGCGACAGAGGCAGAGGATGTGAAAGAGGTTTAGGGTGTTGACGACCCCACCGTCACTCTACCCCACTGACCTTGAGCCTGGCCTTGACGTAGTCCCTGAGCTCCTCCTGGTCGACGGGCACGTAGTCCTTGGAGAGCCAGTTGGAGTAGAGGATGGGCCGCTTCAGCGCCGCCTCCTTATTGATGTTGGGGAAGTGCCGGAGGGCCACCTGGTCCACGTGCTCGTTGGTCCAGGTCCGCTCCTCGTCGTGGACGAGTCGGTCCTGGAAGAGGCGCAGCGCCTCGTGCGCCCACAGTCGGACCAGATCCTCCACGGTGGCCGCCTCCATCGGCCTGATAGGGAAAGACGGGGAAACATGTCAGACATGGGGCAATACAGGGAGTCAGACGCGCTTTGATCAGGTGACCAGATCTCAGTCGATGAGGGAGGGACACATAATCAGACAAATATACAGTACAACCTAGAGGTTAAGGTGAGAGGTCACAGTTAGATCAGAGGATGGAATGAAGGTTAGACAGTAAGGCTGACGCCCAAGCTGGCACGTAGATATTCGACAAATTACTGCTTACTGCACAGAATGCGCCTCTGGCAGTCGCGTACCGATACCCAGCCATAACCTCAGTTCCTCACTATACCTTCTTTCTTTTCAGCTCCTCCCTAAGGGAGGAGAAGCCTTCCCTAAGGGAAGGCTTCCCTTCCTCCCTCGTTCTATCCCTCCCCCTCACACCCACCTGATGGCCTCACAGATGCCTCGCACCCATCGCGTCATCTCTCGCGGTGAGTAGACGTAGTGCGGCTGCATATCCTGCGTGAACCGCTGCTGGGAGCGCAGGTAGAACTCGACCATGGCAGATGTGAGAGGCTCGGCGTACGTCTTCAGTGCCGGCTGCATCCGCAGCATGGCCCGGTTGAACGTGCCGTAGATCTGGGAGGAGCGATGATGGGGATGGTGAGGTGGGCGTAGTGAGGCTGACAAGAGGTGTGAAACAGTGCGCAGTCATGAAAGAAGTAGCCACATTTTTATCAGAGTCTGTTTATTAATACACTTCATGGTCATGACGAACTTGATACAGGGATGGACGGAGGATCCTGTTGTTCCTGAAGAAGTTGTTCATCCTGCTGATAAGGATATTGAGCTATTGGCTTCAAATTAGTAAGATGGTCAACTGAATGAAAAAAAACGAATGACACAAAGGAAGGGCCCAGAGACTCCTCCAAATGTGTCGCGTCCTTCCAAGACACGCCCCATCCATCCAGTATTGGATCTGGAGACCCCCAACAGCACTGACAGCCCGGCGGCGCGTCTCTGACCTGTTTGAGTGACGTCTCTCCGGGGTAGTCGACGTACACGACCGGTACGTGGCGCAGCAGTCGGTGGGAGAGCGGCTTCCGTCCCGGGTCCGTCGGCGGGTTACACGCGCCCACAAACTGGACAAAAGAGGAGGAGCAGAGTTAGACAGGCACAGTGGTATATTGGGAGCGTGTGATTCAGAGAATCAGGTAGCTGGCCGTCTGAAGAAGTAAGCATACCGATTGGTGAACGAAGCAACCACATCGAAGATATCCACATTTTTAGAAAGACTGGAAGCAATGCCTCCCATTTAGAGTTCGTGGATTGAAATAAACGACAAAAAGAGCAATCAGTCAAGCAACAACGAAACCTCATACACAAAGACAGTTATATTCAGAGCTGGCCCGATGACCAAATGAGCAGCAAAGCCTCCTCACTATTCAAACTTCCCATCCATCCACCAGGCCACCAGCTGGAAACCCCGTTCCTCGCCCCTCCCCCGACTGACCTGGATCCTTTCCAGTCTGATCCAGGTCTGGTCGGAGGTGCGGTAGAAGCCGCCGTGCTCCACCATCTGCCTGAGGAAGCTGATGACGCGCTGGGTGCCGTACTGATCCATATCTGGCAGGTTAATCTCGTCACAGAACACCACCAGCCACTTGCCGAGCTGCGGAGAGGCGAGCAACGTCAGTCGGGTGCGGTCACAGAGGAGGGTGGCTTGGGGAAGGTAAGAACACCACCAGCCACTTGCCCAGCTGCGGGGATGGCGGTGGAGAGCCGGGGAGACGTCAGTCACGGGGCGGGCGCTGTCAAAGGGCACAGGAGGGAAGGTTGGGAAGGGTTAGAACACCACCAGCCACTTGCCCAGCTGGGGGGACGGCCGACAGTCAGAGATGACGCACAAGGGAAGGCTGGGGTGAGGGCGGATCGGAACATGGCACACCGACTCGATACATTCAAATGTAGATGAGCGAAAAAAAATGCAGCAATGAGATACGCCTATCAAATACTACAATGATAAAACGAGTTATTTGGCAAATAAAGCACAGCAATATGCGCTAAAAATGACTGGAAGAAGCTGAACAACATAGAACACTATGAAGAGACCCTGCTTCATTATTCATTCCATCCGTCTTCTCTATCCTCCCTTCTTAGAATCCCCACTCCCACCCATCCTTTCCCACCCGATTCTCACAAGGATGGGCGACAGGACGACGCCGTTGGGCGTCTTCCTGTACTCGCAGTAGTGATCGAACGTCTTCAGGAGCAGCTCGGGTGTGGTGGCTGAGGAGAAGTTGAGACCCACCACCTCCAGATCGGGCAGCGCGCGCAGAGCCGAGAACAGCGTCATCGTCTTACCGGAGCCGGGCGGGCCGCACAGCACTGAAATACCACGGGTCATGTCATGTCAGAACAGCGTCATCACAGGTTAAACTAGCAGCTAGACTTGACCATACCCTTGTCATGAAAGCCATTTTCAGTAAAATAAAAATAATAATGCATTACTCAAGCACTGGGTCGCATTTAAGCCATCCCCGCCCTTCCATCCAGGTAACATGACAGCCCTCGCCTTCCACTTTAACCACCCCGCTCGCCTCTGTCTCTCTTTTCACGTACCCAGCGGTTTGTGCTCTGCCAGCCAGGTGTAGAGTAGCGCCTCGTGTCGAACCGTGTCCACCGTGGGGATGACCAGGTCGGGCGCCGCCACCATGTGCGTCTCCACCTCGATCTGCGGCACCCGGGCCGACCAGGGCGTCCAGTCGCCCTGCACCGTGATCTGTAAGGGGGAAGGAAGGGAGAAACGTTAGAAATGGGTCAGTTTCGTGAGCAACGGGTCACCAAGGATGATAAAATGGGACAAAATGGCATGAGGCCGGTGTCATAAAAGGCCTCCGGTGTAAACTTCTGTATGAGCGTTACAGATGGAACACGAATAAATAGAGCGAACGTAAATTAAGCCAGATTACGAAAAAATGGCCGTATGTTGACCCACATCTGTCGAACCATCCGCGCTGTCTCACCTTTTACTCAGCATTCCAATCACACCCCTGACAGTCTCAGAATTCCACCCAATCCCAGCTCACCTCGTAGTCGATGATGCTGCCCGTGCCCGCCGGCAGCGGGATGGTCGTGCTGCCGCGGATAAACTCGCCCAGCTGGTCGCGCGTCTTCAGCTTCCCGTCTCCGGCGAAGCTCCAGAGGAGCGCGTGCACCAGCGAGCGTGGCACATACGCCTCCAGTTGGTCGGGAGTCAGCGGGAAGTCCGGGTGCTGCGCGTTGTACTGCAGCAGGTTACGGCACGACTGGTTCAGCATTGAGAACAGTGAGGAGAGAGCCCGCAGACGAGTGAAGTCCATCACGTGCTCGAGACCGCGCGCGAACTCGAGGCACTTGACGACCAGTCCGTCTGAGGTGAGGTGCTGCTGCAGCAGGGTGGCCACCTCGCGCTGCAGCTGTGGACGGACGGATAGATGATAGTCAAGGGCGGTGGTGACGACAGAAGTACTTGTGGAGGGTAGATGACAGCGGCTGCAGTGCGCCACAGGTCTATATCGAATTTGATTCAGATTGATGTTTCATTATTCGATCAGTCATGACTTGCCAAACGTCTTTCAGCTTATGGATCATTCGACATGCCATCTCGATACACAAGATTCATGACTTTACATAACATAAAATAATTGGCCACTGTGGTTAGAACATGCAGCTGAAATGATTGGTGTGCGTCACACATCACTGACTGAAAGATCGACTGCTTCTCACGCGCTCTTACCTGCAGCGCCGGGCTGACGGCGTCCTCCTTCTCACTGGCGGCCACGGCGGCCGCGCGCCGCTCCTCCTCCCCCTCCTCCAGGGGCACGTGCCGCAGACGTGACAGGTAGTTCTCGAAGATCATCTCCGTGGTGAGAACGTCCTCAGAGAACCAGACCATGCCGCAGCGCGACACGGTGGCCGGCGTGGCGTACTGCAGGTCCTGGACCTGAGGGAGGGCGGACGGCGCGGGTCAGAACCGGGCAGATACCATCGAAAATTGTCAAGTGGATCCTGGTTCAATCATTAAAACGCAGTATTCATGTGACGGTAACGAATATATAAGCATGACGTGCCTATCTTTCAAGTCAGCTGACGTTATCACTCACAAAAAGTCTTCACAATCGCGTCTGACCACAATCCCTTATCTTTCCATTTACACGATTTCCTTATTCTGCGCCTGCCAACCGAGACGACGCTAGGATACCAACGTCGTTTGCTAAAGTAAAGCTCCGAGTTAACACGTTACACACCAGCTTTATCCCTCCTTCTCCGGTCGCAGAGTAGTTTCTCACCTCGAACATGATGCGGACGTTGGGCGGGATGGAGAGCCGCTCGCCGTTGGGCAGCGTCAGTAGCTTGGTGTTGTCCAGCAGACTGTTGAGGTTCTCCACCCACTCCGGGTCCACGTCGCCGTCAAAGATGATCCACTGACGTTTGTCCAGCTCGCCGCGCACGTTGTCGATGATTTTCCTGTGTGTGACATCGAGTGAAACGTCAGCTTACAGCCCAGGGCAGTACGAAAAGCCGCAATGAAAAGGCAATCAGGCGCAGTGGTTCATGCTCAGATACCGCAGTATCAAGATAGCAGTCTTCACGATGCCGTAACTAAATGATTATTGCGGTATCTCCACGACGACGGCACCCAAGGCGCAGCTTGTGGTTCCCGTGCACACTGTATATCATTACCCAGTAAAGCACTTTTCCTATCACCCAGCATGATTCCCAGCCAACCTGAGGGTGTGCGTGAAAAGACCATCGTTCCACTCTCGCGTGTTGGGGTCGAGCACACCGTACAGCGCCTCCTTGGAGATGGCCTTGGGATCGATGACGTGAGCCACGCCCTCGACACCCTCCAGTCGCTCCAGAGCCTGGTGAGACGGGCGGACGGGGATCAAACAACAGTCAGGGTCCGTGGAGGTCTTCAAGCACCTCTAACATTGAAATCTACCACAGGCACTGTGCCCGTGGTAGGAGAGAACGCAGCAGGAGACAGACTGCAGCAGAAGCCGGATGTTTCATTAGAAAGATACCAATGTTACAAGATTATTACACCGCCACATTTGAGTCAGATGACTTCTAGTCTGCGTGACATACGGTACCTGGTAGGTATACAGTAAATGAAACGAAGAGACTAATCATACTGAGCAACCAGCTATCATACGATACATACACTACTCCAGAGCCCCGAAGCCTGTCCAGCACCGCAGCGCGTGCGTTGACAGCTCTTACCTTGAGAAGTACGCGCCAGGCGCAGGATTTTCCGCTGCCGCTGGGTCCAACCATCATCAGGCCGTGGTGCAGCTGGGTGATCTGGTACAGCTGCAACACCTGTATTGAGACACACGGATAGGTCAGGGTGGTTGGTCACAGGCGGTCACAGCACCCGTAGAGGTACACGCAGAGGCCTCAGAGTAGATCACTGGATGTCATCACGTCACTGAGAAGCCCCCAAAATGAGGAGCCCAAAAAGGAAGATTTTCACTCAAGAGGAACACCAGACGGGAGGGGGGAGGCAGGTCAGCGATTAAGTCGGAACTACAGGCTTGCGCTTCTCGTCGGGAACTCAGTGAGCCAAAGACTAGTCTATGAATCACGTGTGGAGTCTTCAACGAGCACACGGCCTCCGCAACGCACTCCTGGAGCCTCAGACATTCAGACAGTTACATAACGATGATGTGATTACCAGAGGACAGAAAGGCGACGATAGAGAGCGGTCGGTAAAGAGCAACGTTCAAAAAAAAAAATACTTAGCGATCCGAGATATCATCATTAAACATTTGAATAATTGATAAAAAAATGTCACCCCTCCATTACAAAGGGAGCCACAATATAATGTACGGTCGCATTCGAAGAGGTAGGAAGGTGATGCAAACACAAAATTGTCAAATTAATAATCCGTGCACAAAACATCTAACAAACAAATGTCAGAAAGGTCTTTAATAAGTCAGTTCATTCATAGCAAGCACCAGACTCGTGTCGCAATCGTCTTCATTAAAGCATCACAGAAATCAAGGAAAACAGCACGGTTAAGTTTCAAACGTGGGTTCCAGCTGGTAGCCTAAGTTCCGCCACCGATACCAATTGAGGCACGTAGCATGGCATTGCTGGCGGGACAAGACGACGGTTATCATGCCAAACATCGAGGTTTTGGGCTGGCCAGTGTCCCAAAATCAGCGCCGGTGAGCTAAGAAGGACTCTGAGGTGAAGCCTTCTTATCTCATACTTAAGTTCTATTCTAGCATCAAGATGTTCCTACATCGGTAGGTTACTCCATGGTGTCCTGTCCAATGATTTCGTTTCGTCCTCAAATTGAACATCGTTTCGGGACACTGTCAAGAAGAGAGACATGGTCCTGCCAGTGCCTATTCAGAAGCTGGATGGAAACATCATCTCTTTTCCAGTTCCCTAAAAGGGCGAGTAGCACAGACACGGAGAGATCTGCCAGGGCAGTTATAGCAGCCAGTCCGTTACGGCAGCATGCCCGCTAGCACTCCGAGGCGCCTGACTACTCAGTAATTGCAAGCAGGCTCTGTTAGAGGCCGCCTGCCGCGTGCGCCGCGACCGTCAACATGCGCGTTATCTCCGACCTCAGCCGCGGTATAGCGCGCTGGCTCAGGCGCACAGTTAGACACCGCTCTGGCACTGCTGGAGGCATGGAAGCGGTTACGAAGAGGGCATGCGGCCGCCGCCGCCGCACAGGGCATTTACCTTGTCCAGCCATGTTTCGCCGGCATACGCCTGCTGCGTAGGACAATACAGATACGTCAGGGCACGTATGGGGCATAGGGACATCCGGGGACCCGCAAGAACTACATACAGTCCGCAGCTGAGCGTATACCCATCCCCGTGACAATCATCTGGTCTCACGTCATAACGCATTAACGTGAGACCAGATGAAAACCGCACACTACCAATATTGGATAACGGTCAGAATATGGTACAGGCACTGCTAAGAGCGACGGAGGTCGAGGCGAGACTAACTCTTTGACTGTACGTGACTACAGCCGGTAGTTCAATCCGCAGCCCTGAGCTGGGCGTGGATTTAAACTTCTCCACATAAGCCCTACACTGCCAGGCCGCTGGTGCTGGGCTCGAGTCTCACCTTTTCCACCCATCCGGCGCCGGCCTCCTCTCCCTCTCCGAACGACAGGTAATGTTCGGCGCACACCTGAGGTGCACAGTCCAACAGAACAGCGTCAGATGACGAAAACTGACACATGAACATTAAAAATATTGTTTCAGAATATCGACCTATAAATCCCTTCATCACAGCCTTAGTTAAAGGCACCATATTTTGAGATTCATAGCCTTTCATCACAATATAACCTAATCCTAAGATAGATTCAGCGAATAAGCTAGACGACAATCCTGTTGCGCAAGTGGCTAAACGTCACGACCATTATCAGCTCTCGTATTCCCGGTCTCTTTTCCTCGCGTAACTGGCGAATCGCCGTTTCCCTCCCCGACCGTTCTATTACTGACCTGTCTGATGTGTTTTTTGAGCTCTCCCATATCTGCGCGCTGGTACTCGATGCCGGGGAAGACGTCCGAGAGCAGCGAAAACAGCAGCGGGATGTCCTCGGCCACCAGCTTGGGCACCATCGTCTCACACACCGACTGGATCAGGATCTGAACGAGGGAGGCTCGTCAAATTAGCCGCACGAAACCCCAATATCGGCACAGACTGGATTGATGGTTGGGTGAGGCATTAGTATCAGACCGCTACCGTGTACAACAGGACCCTTCAGAATCAGTTCGAAATATGAGGTTGGGTAGTGGGACACTCATTTTATCATGCTGATATTTTCAGATCACTCAGCCGTAAACTAGATCCAGCACTTAATCTCCCACGCCTCTGCAACCACCCCGCTAACAGTCTCCCAACTGCGGCTGAAGCTCTCCATTCCCTTCCTCCCCATCTAACTCCGCCCAGCCATACCTCCTGCTCGGGCAGGTTCTCGGCGATGTTGGCCTCATCCACCGGCTGGTTGGCCGCCGCCAGGTTCTTCTTGATGAACGTGATACGGTCGCGCTTCACGGTACCCGCGCTGCCCAGGACAGACTTCAGCGCACGGAGGCTGAAGTCGTAGTGCTTCTGACGTGACAGCTGCTCGTCGCACAGCCTAAGGGATGGACGGGGGAGGAAACATATGCTCATAGCGTAGTCTCGAATCGCCTGATAAGGACGGATACTGAATCATAAACGAATCTGTACTGGCAATAGAAAACATGTGGAAGTCACTCGCGGAATTATATATCAAAACGTGAAATAAGGTTTCATTCATCCATATATCTAGCTCGAGCTTCCTTTATCGTAGCAAAAAATCCGGACCCGCCGTTCAATGCATTCGCCAGTCTCGGAAGTCAGTACTTTAATTCTATCATCCACGCAAACTTTCCCTTGCTCAATCACCGTCCCACGCACCTGAAGAAGGGCACGATTTTGTTGGCGAGTCGCTCGGCCGTCCGGTAGCCCTGCGAGAAGAGGGTGACCTCAGCAATCAGACCGAGGTCGGGCCGCGTCATGGCCAGCGACCTGAACAGCTTCTTCAGGTTGTCGGGCAGGTTGGAGCGGCCCGCATAGCCGGGGTTCATTGTGATGAAGATGGCGATCTGGGGGTTGACGGTGGTCTGACGGCCCACCAGCTCGATCGACTGCACCGCTGTGGGCGGAACAGGGGGGGGGGAGGGTCAGTGGGGGGGAAGGCACGGGCGGCAGCCGGATATGGTTAGCAGTGCAAACAACAGAATGGCGGACTGACGAGCAATCTAAGCAAAAGAAAAGATACGTGTTTCCATGAAAATGTGGCATATCCATTGCATATCTGCCTTTATTAGTCTAGTAAAAATCCCGATCACTAGCATGGTTGGCTTACCTTTGTCCTTGGACTCTTCCTGCGCCTTGAGCGCCTCCTGGATGGTCTGAATCTGCTGCGACACCGCCGACAGCATGCGCTCCTCCAGACGGTTGAACTCGTCGAAACAGCCCCAGGCGCCCACCTAAAACGGATCAGCGTCAGACGGGTCAGAGCGAAGGACTGCACTGGGAGGAAGCAGCCAAGGGCAGAAAGGGTAAGAAGGCGGTGTGCCACAGATACTTGAGTTCTGCAAAATATAACTTCACAATCAATGCATTGGAAGCAAATTTTGGTGAACAACTTTGAAACATTCCATCCGATCCAGCTTATTCCCATTCCCATTTCCCCAAGTGGTATTCAGGTTTCCCCGTATCCTAGCTCGACTCTCCTCCTCCTCCCCCCCCCTCGCTATTATCACGCACCTGGCAGAGACCGAGCAGGATGCGACCCATCGCCTGCACGTCAAAGTTCTCGTCGCAGTTGAAGACGAGCACGAATTTGCCCAGCTGGTTTCCGAGCGCCTTCACCGACTCAGTCTTTCCCGTACCGGCCGGACCGAAGGGCGACCCGCCCAGCTTGGCCTCGAGGGCCTGCGCCATAGTCAGGTAGCAGCGGTCCGTGAGGGGCGTCTGGACGAGTCGCTCCTGCACACCGAGGTACTCGAAGCCGTACTGGAAGCGCGCGTTGGCCATGTGGATGCTGAGCTGTCGCAGCGGGTCGGGCTGCTTGCCGTCCCAGTAGCAGCGCATACAGCGCAGCCATTCGAACGACTTGGGAGAGTCCACCTGAAGGGAGGGACAGGGGGGAGGTAATTAGTTGGCGAGAGGGCGAGACCAGAAAATGTTCTTGGCGGTCACGCCAGAGACTGATGCATGACAATCATGGTGAGAAGTAGATGCAACTGTCTTGGAACACGAGCAAATGCAATGCTGGTCAAAAAGCCAGTCTTGAAGTAAAATAACCAACAAATATCGCAAAATAAGAGGCGAAACTGTCATGAAACTTTGTCAGTCATCAAGCAAATTCCGTCAGTTGTATCAGCCGATAACCAAAGCATCTTTCAACTATGTGAGGATAACATGGTACTCACCTTGCTTTTGACGAGCGCACGAGTCACTGTTCGTTTGTGTACGAACTCGTTGATGAGGTGTTCGAGTTTGACGCGCCGCAGCGGCGGCTGGTCCTGCAGCACCGAGTCGGCCAGCATGGCCAGCATCTCCTCGACGCGCTGCAGGACGGCGGGCAGGGCAGTGGAGGGAGATCCGCCGCCCAGCGCCGCCTCCAGCTCCTCGGTCCACCAGATCTGCACGGCCAGCACCACCAGCTGGGCCTGCGGGGCGCGGGGGGGGGGGGGCCGTCAGCAGGGGCTCGCTTGGGGGGAAGTTAGAGCGTAACAACCAAGAGGCTTTACGCACCCGTACGGTTAGCAAGTTCGTTGTTTGTTTGAATCTCGAGTATCATAAAGGGACAGACTCAACTGATGCCTAACGCATATTCCCATCTGACAACCGGCTTATAGATGATTGTGATTATTTTTTATGCTTCAAATATCCACTATAAAACCCAACTGAAAATATATTGTATCACACCACATCCCTAGCTCCCCCCCCCCCTCCTCAGCCCCTTCAGCCACCCGTAACGCACCTGGTACTGGTCGCACCACTCCATGAAGGCTCCGGTGGATCCCTTCTCGGTCATCCAGGCGCGCAGTCCGACGATGGCCCTGCCCAGACCGGTGGCCAGTGTGTTCATCATGTGCCGCTCCACGGCGCTCAGCCACTCGTTGATCTTGGGGTGGTCGGCGATCACAATCGGCTTCTCGAAGATCAGCTGTAATGGGGAGAAGAGGTGTAGCGGTGGGGAATATTGATCCAAAAGACACATACGAAATTTGAACGTAAAGCTGATCCGATAGCTAAGAAATTCGTGAGATAATCTGAGCAGAGATTGATTTGTCAATTAAAAGGAGCCTCGTACCTGCACCCATACTGTACAATCAAAATCAAACAGGAAGCTTTTGCATGACCAAAGCATTACAGCACGCAATGTCTAAAAATCAGCGGGACCGGCGTACAGACTGGATGACTGAAAGCGAAATATGGTCAAAAGAAGTCTCATCACGCTCACACCACAAGCCACGTACAGCGACACCCTCAGGACGGAAGCAGCTGAAGCAACTGTGGAAAAGTCGCTCCAAAACCAAGCTGACGTAACCCGGTAGCGTTAACGGTACAAAGCCAGTGCAGACAAACGAAGCGAGTGAGACCTAAGCGATAAAAATGTGAGCCAAGCCGGCAAAAAGCACAGCGAGGCATGTGACGATTATGAGGATGGACGACTGATTCAAAACTGACTCAAGCCAGGCTGGCCGAAGGCCGACCCAAGCCGACTCAAGCCAAGCCGGCAGACAGTTGAGCCAAGTTTTAGTCAGGCTGGTGAATAGTGAAGCCAGTATAAGCCAGGCTGGTGGACACTGGACATTATGACCGTTTCAAGCCAGGACATGGGGCCGATTGAAGCTGGGCTGGCGGACATGTGACAGCGGGTGCGGCAGATACCACCGCGTTCACTTACAATCTGGACGGAGACAGCGAGGGCCGGATGAAAAGAGCGCGGTCTCAGCACGGACCAAACCAACATTGGCCCCATACAAGACAACTACCCCGTGTCCCCGTCTTTATTTTACCCGCCAGCGCAGCTCAACGAGCCTCGAAAGTTTGTAGGAGCAGACTTCAGCTACTGGGCGCAAGAGAAAGACTCGGGCAAATGCAATGGCAGTGTAAGGTGAGACGAAAAACGCATAAGGTGGCGCGCTTTAGACTTCCGAGATCTTTTACAAGTGTTCTTTAAAAACGGGCTAGTATCTCCAAAGATAGACAACCCAACCGCACTCCCCACCAACTTCACGCCTTTCCTCCCTCACACACACGCCTCCCTTTTCCTCTCTCCCTCGCCGTCCCCTTCGTCCCCGCACCCACCTCCTCTCCCTCCTTGGAGGCCACGCCGCGGATCTCCGTGTTCTCCTCGTTCAGCAGGATCGCCGCGATGCCGGCGAACATCTTCTTGAAGTGCTTCTGCAGACGCGGGATGTTCTTGCTGTTGCCGATGATCTCCAGCAGGTCCTCGTCACCCACAAAGTAGAACCTGACGTGAGCAAGCGAGGTCAGTAAGACCCGGGAGCTCAGTCAAAGGACAGGTTTCAATGTAGTTGGTATGCCCTTAAAATATATGGGGCGAGGAGAACTGAATGTTTAAGCGTGAGGTTGCATAGATTGAATCAACGGAGACAACTTAATAGCAGGTCGACTGTGGCCACAGTGCCTTTATATTGAGTCCGTGACGTTACAACCAATTTCGTTCCCAGAATCACCGCAAGGCGGAAGACCTTCCTGACCTCTCCCCGCGGTAGCGCGATGCCCTCTCTAACCTTCTCCCGGATCTAACTCAGTGCCTCTTCAGACACCTCCTTATCTCACCTGGGGAAGCTGGAGCGCTCCCTCTCCAGGTACTCTCCGAGCGCCTTCTGGATCTTCCCCAGCAGGTCGGCCAGCCGCTCCAGTGAGCGCATCACACCCTGGATGTTGAGCACGTCCAGTACCATCGGCGACTTGGACACCTTCTTCATCAGAGTCAGGAACTCGGTGCTGGAGAGAGAGCAGACGTCCAGCGTCAGAAAATCAACGAAGGAACAGAAGATGGTGACCGCAACGTATTCAGCGTCATCAACTTGGTGCTGCTGAGAACAGCGTCTAGTAGTCAGATAGGTGTCTAAGAAGGAGTCTATTAGACTCAATGGTGACCAGAAAATCAACAATTACTACCGGTCGAGTTTTATGTAAGAAATGACGTAACTAATCGGGCACCACTGACACCAGCCGCATCCTCACCTGATGCTGGCGAAGCGCGACGTCTCGACGGGCAGCAGCGTCTTGATGTCGGAGCTGCCGGAGAAGATGCCTTCCAGGTAGACCCAGCGGCGCTGCACCACGATCCAGACGTCGAACGTGGCGTCCACGCGGTTCAGCTTCTCCTCCCACGACACGGCGTCCTCCTCAAACACCTGGCGACAACGGGATGGGTGATACTTTGAGGGTACACCGTAACCAGGATTTCAGTGATGCTACGGTCGGTGCATGTTCCTGTCACTTACGTGGTGAAGATGCTTGGTGAATTGCCACTTGGTGAATCTGTTTGCGATTTGTTGCATCACGGCCGTATTTGCAATGGTATGGAGAACTCAATCAAAAGCCAAATACCTCAAAAATTGTTTTCTATCAATGTCTAGAGCGCCTTCACGCCTAGTTTAAACGGTTGATCGGATAAATCAGCACCCAAACACAGCAGTGTCCGACTTCCATACCTTGTAGTAGGGCGACAGTTTCATGGCGGCGAGCGAGTTGATGTGCTCCTTGACCTTGGTGAAGAGGTCGTCCCAGCCGCGGATCAGCTTGCACTTGTTCTGGTAGTTGATGAGCTCCAACTGGTACGTCTGCCAGCAGTCGCGCACCTGCACGAGCGAGAAAACGTCGTCAGAAAGGAGGTAAGTAGATGTGAGAGCGGAGCGAGGGCAGCTCCACTTAGGACGTGGGAGAAGATCCGCAAGAACTCAACAGACAACCAATGACAGCGAAAGATGGAATGAGAGCCGTTATATGAGTGACATGTGTTTTGTTGGTAGACTCTGGTCAATCACTTTCAGATGCACCGAACATGCCACACATATGGACCGATGCATTGTCTCCATCGCCATTTAATGCAGCCTGCGAGGGAGCACTTCTATTCGCTGAACAGGATTACTTCATTAAACCCCAACATCTGACTCTGTTACTCGAGAATTTGTCCGTCTCTCCGAACTGACCTGCTTGAGGAACTCCTCCAGGGCCATCTCTCCCTGGGCCACCAGGATCACATCCTTGACGACGTGTTCGTTTTTCAGCAGGTCCACGTCCCAGACCTGACCCAGGGTGAGCTCCGAGAGCACCCAGCGCACCCTCAGCTGGCGCTGCAGCTGCTTCCAGTGCCGCTCCTTCAGCGCGTCCGACTTCAGCTCCACGATCAACATGTTCACCTGAAAACGGAGCGGATATGGGGTGTTACCGGTGGACAACGGAGGTGTAGGCGAATGAAACGGACACATATCAATGGAGACATTACAGTTACTGGAAATGATACAATTATTATCACACACAAACACAACCAATATTAAAAAACGTTCGTATCACAAGAAAAAAGTACACATAAAAGGTTATTCATTTTATAAAGCGAGGTACAAAGATGATGAGTTTCGACATTTTGAAGGCCGGGCTATAAATTCTGTAAGTCATTATAGTGTGACGTATGTTCTTCTGGCAACGTCACGCTGCGGCCGTACCTTGGCGTATCCCTGGAGCACCTTCTTGACGTACTCGTAGCTGCTGTACTGCCTCAGCCGTGTGGGCAGCTCCTTCAACTGCGTGAGCAGTGCGTCCAGCTGCTGGCGCAGCTTCCTGGGCTGCACGCTCAGCCACGGCTTCTCCTTCATCTCGTCCAGCTGCTCCCAGATCTTGCTCAGCTCCGACCACACGCCCTGAGGAATGGAGCCGCAAAGTGGATGGTGAGAGCGAGGTTATACTCAGCTATGTGTACGTACATAGATACCGACAGTAATTAAGTGCGGCTTCCCCTAAACTTTGTTCAAAGTTCATCCATTTATTATTGTCCGGCAGATCTGATCTTCAGAAATTTCGCTCTTTTATAAATCTACCAACAAACCAACCCAGGCCGACACTATTTCCTCACGATACATCCCTTCTAGACTTCTCTAATATTCCACCATGCAACTCTCTCATATTCTATCCCTTCCACCATATTAATACATCACAGTCAACTCTTTCCCATCCTACTCCCCGTTACCCTCCCCCTTCCACCCATCTCCCTCACAAACCTTGAGGTCGTGCAGCTCCTCGAACGCCACGGCGAGCCGGTCGTCGGCGGCTGAGGCCACCACGTCGCCGAGCTCGAGCGCTTCCTTGGCGCGGCTCACGTTGTCCCGCTCCTCCTTCAGTCGCTGCAGTCGCGCCTCGGACAGCTGCAGCTGCTGCAGCGCGTCCGCCGGCTTCAGGTGGCCCTCCACCGGCTTCTGCTTCTCCCACTCATCTGCAGAGGGGGAGAAGGGGGAGGATTAGAGTTAATATCTGGTGCGGGTGGGGTGAGAGCCTTCACAACGTTGGGGCCAGAGGCCGCAATATTGTCAGGAAACAAAAAACGCGACCTAAAACATGCGCATTTAGAAAGGACCACACCATCGTTCGGAAACTACGAGAGATGACACGATTCGATTGTCACCCAGACAACCTTCACCCGAAGTTCCTCCTTCAAACAATTAACCAATTATTCCTAACCATAGCACTGGTCATTACGTCACTCTCTGAATCCCCTCCCTCTTACTCACTGAGATAGTCGTTGGTGCGCGTCTCGACCACCTTGTCCTCGGCCACAATCTTCATCTGCAGGCTGGCCACCTGCGCCTGGATGCTCGAGTCCTTGCGCTTGATGATCTCGTTGAAGGCGCCCCACTCGCCCTCGATGTTGTCCACGTGGAGCCAGTTCTGCGGGAACTGGTAGCGGTGCCTCTCCAGGATCCGCTGGCCGTCCTTGTACATCTCCACCTGGGGGAAGGCAGGGAGGTGGTGGGATTGTAGATTTGGGATTGTAATGAAAACAGGCGAAGACGTAAGCAATAGTTGGCTACAGATATAAAATGGGCGACCTAAACATCGGGTCTCAGCTCTCGCGATGACCACCTAGGACGATTTAGAAATGCAATCACTAGCTGCTGCTGCGAAGATATTTAATATTTCTTTCTAAACACATCTGTATAAGTCTCCATGAGAAACCTGACATCTGCCATCCAGCCGTCATGACTTGTTCTCTCTGCTGGCTACGGCAGACTGAGTGTCTCACCTCCTTCTCCCACTGTTTCATCTGGCGCTTCAGCGACTGCACGTAGGTGATGAAGGTGACGGCGTCGGACGTGCTGGCCGCGTCGATACTCTGCAGCTCCATGTCGCCGCGAGACTGACGAGAAAAAGATGAAAATTTGAGTCAGTTAACGAGGTAAATGTATCAACGTAAGCTAATAACACACGGTCAATGCATTCGTCGAAGCTACGCCAGACAAGGTTAACCAGACAAGAGGTTCTGAGCTGCTAGGCAACAATTAGTGATCAAGCTATTTAGTAAGCCCAATCAAACGACAAAGAAGCCTCCTCCCATTAAATACATTTTGGCCATCGGACCCTTGACTGATGACCTGCAGATTCCCTCTCACCCACTCACCCAGGGCTGAATTCATGTTCCACCGTTGCGTATCCTCACGATATCGAGCCCTACCCTTACTCTGAAGTCCCCGCCCTTACCTTGGAGACAGTGGCGTGGAACTTGCTCATGTGTCCGCCGAGCAGCGAGCCGAACTTGCTGAGCACGTCCTTGTGGATGGCGTCGTACTTCAGCGACACCTTGCTCTGCACCTTGCCGTAGTCGATGATGACCGGGCCGAACGAGCGGCGAGTCTCCGAGGTGTCGAACGTGGCCCGGCGCTTTCTGGGGGACGCGACAAGGGGGCAGCTCAGACACAGGGGTCAGGGAGGCGAGGCATTGGGGAGCGCAGACAGTAGGAACTCTACGCTAAAAGGCGTAATGCTGTAACTAATGAATGGAACAAAAAAGAATTAATTTAATTCAACGGGTATATTCTATAGCAAAGTCGTTTCTTCCATACATCCAGATTTTCTTCGTCATCTTTCCTGCATCCCCCTCCACCTTAACCCCTCTCTGCATCGTATATATCCCCTCCCACCCCCCACCCCCCTCGGCTTTCTCACTTCATCTCCTCGGCGCAGGCCATCCAGGCCCCGATGTCGTCACCCAGCCGACCGAAGATGAGGTCACTGTTCAGATCCCACAGCTTCTGGTACGACAGCCACTCGCCCACGTAGCTGTTGATCTGCGAGACAGAACGGGGGTTGTAAGTGACGGCCGTAACTGAACGAAACAAATCAACCACGAAAGTAATTCAACAGAACAAAGAACAGCATAAATATTACGGTCGTTGCCAGTTTCGGTCAAAACACTAATGAAGACATACGTGCATATACATATGTGCTATGAAGATTGCATAAAGCATAGTGGATATGATAAGGTGGCGATCAATGTACATATTTTGGATTTAATTGCTACGTTTATTTGCAATTCTAGGACTAGATATCTAGACTAGCTCAATTTACCTATCAGCGCAACATGTCGGAGCGTGTTCTATATTGGGTTGCCGTCATGAAGCATTCAATATTACGCACCTGTTTGAAGATGTTCTCCATTGCCTCGTAGGCGGCCGAGGTGACCGCCTTGAAATCTGGCATCTTCTTCAGCAGGCCCTTGTAGCTGGTCGGAGCGTCACTCTTGGTCACTCCCACCTAAAAAAGCGGGAACAGCGTGTAAACAGACTTACGGTGAAGTGGTGGCAGCATTGTGACGTAGTGGACTAAGGTTATTCAAACGGCCACTCGAGAACTTGACGGTTTTATCGAATACAAGTCAGAAATGACCGATACCGCCTCCATTACGTATATTGATGATTGGGTCCAGTGGAACTACAGCTGACCCGGCATCCTGAACTCAGTACATTCATGGCTGTGACCTAGCTTATATTAGTGCCAGCTGAATGCTGACCTGACTAGCCTATGGTCGCCTGAGATCAGGAGCTAGTTGGTTCTGCTTTCTTCGGCACTGTCATCTCTCATTGATCGGACATTGTTTATACGAATATTCTGCTATCCTATTTTCGCCTTGTCATCTCTCCTCTCCCCAGCTGCAGACGGAATGTCAGCCTCACCTGGTATCGGCTGGACTGGATGCGGCTCAGAGTGATGATGATGTTTTGCCAGGCGAACATCTGCTGCAGCATCTGGCTGCGCGCCTCCTGTACGGCCGGGTACAGGTGCAGGTTGTTGTACGTGATGCGCAGCTCGTGGACGATCTCCGTGATCTGTCAGATGGGAGTGTCACTGTCAGCGTTAGAGTAGCTACGGATGCATGGTAAAGAGACGTCAGGGCGAGGAAGAGCGCATTTTTTAAGCGCTAGTAATAGAGCTCGGGAGTACTATGAAGTCTGCCGCTGGTCAGCTGTTTACTCGAGGTTGTTGTCCCGTTTTTTACTCACCACCGGCTCGCCGCCCGGTTTGCTGACGGGTACCACGGGCTCCGTGTCCATGCTCGTGTCGACGTCCTCCTTTTTGCCCTCCAGCGCCGCCGTCCACGCCTTGATGCCCGCCTGCAGTCTGCGGGAAGACGCGGAACGCGCTTAGCACTCCCGACAAGTGACAGCATAAATCATATTGAGTGACACTGAATACTGAGACGTTCATATACTTTGATGAGGAAGAAATGTACAAAAATAGTGCTTACTTTAGCGAGTCTTAAACGTTTGTTGTGATGCCAAAGTTATAGTTTATGTAATAGAATTGTGTTATGAATTAGTAGAACGTAGCGTGCCTTGTGTGTGTATTGTGCGTGTGTGCTTATGACCGTGTTTGTGTGGGCGCGCCGAGGCCGTGGGACCGGCGGGCCGCATTTCCTGCGCCTGCGGCGCTAGTTTTATGGCGCACAGCTGTGTGTGCACTGTGGACCGCCGGCCGGGCTCGGACGCGCGGCCGCAGTTGGCGCCGCGACACGATGACGTAAGGAATACAGCGTGTGAGAGGTGGCTCGGTTTTCTACAAGCTATTTCGGCTTTGTGTGAGAGACAGAGAGTAAGAGCCATGAAGGACGAGAAAAGTGCGCCTGAGAGTGGAGTGAAGCCGGCGAGTACGGCGGACGCTGCAGCCGATCTCCGACTCATACCTGAGTTCGACGGAGCGACTCAGCCTGTCACAGAGTGGCTGGAGAAGGTGGAGCTGGTGTGCCGTCTACGTGGCATCGACGCGCTGCACGTCGTCGTTCCCCTCCGCCTAACTGGCGGGGCGTTCGCTGTCTATCAGCAGCTGGACGAGCAGGACAAGGCTGGCTACGAGACCATCAAAAATGGCCTGATTTCGGCTTTCGCAGAGGATAAGTTTGACGCCTATGACCGGTTTGAGAAGATGAAGCTCCGTCGAGGTGAGCCGGTGGATGTCTTCGTTGCAGAGCTGCGTCGCCTGTCCGGCCTGTTTGGCGGTATGTCAGACGGCGGCCTAGCCTGCGCGTTCGTGGCAAAACTGCCGGAGACCACCCGCCGTGTGCTTCGTGCAGGAAGCCGCGTCGAAAGCATGACGCTGAGCGAGCTAATCAGCCGGGCCCGAGCTGTGCTCGCCGATGAAGAAGAGACTGCCATGGCAGGAGCGACGGGAGCAGCAGCGCGGACGTCGGCGGCGCCACCCCGCGTGACCTGTCACTCATGCGGACAGCCCAACCACCTGTCGCGGGATTGTCTCGCTGCTCGCGGTCAGCGGGAGCGCGGCGGGGCCCGCGGCGGTCGGCGCAGTGTGCGCTGCTTCCGCTGCAACCGGCCCGGTCATATCGCCTCGTCCTGTCCGGAAAACGACGGCGGAGAGGAGGGCTCGGCGCCAGCCTCCTCTCCCGGTCTCCAGTGAGCGGGGCGCTGCCCGTTATGCGAGTATCGGTGGACGGCGCCACCTGTGACTTTCCCTATTCCAGTTGGATGCTTCGTGGGTAGTTGGCGGGGTCGGCGTGGTTCTGTCCCCTGCTGGCTGTGTTAGTGGATCCATGATTTATTATCTTGTTAAATTATGTTGCAATTGTTTAGCTTTGGAGAGGCGCCTCGACTTAAGCGTTAGCTTTTGCGCCGATCCGCCATGTAAACGTGCTTGCATTTGTCAATGAGACAATAAAATACTTGTGTGTGTGTGTGACGCCCTGCTGGACACGGGATGCAGCTTGTGTGTAGCGCACGTGTCGGTGTGTCGAAATTGGAATCGAGACGCAGTGAGCGTGATGACGGTGAGCGGTGACCGATACTGGTGCGAGGGAACGGGTGTCGTGGAGGTGCGATCGCAATCTGGCGAATCGGTATCAGTGCGCGTGCTTGTGGTGTCACGGAAGCCGCTGGGCTTTGAGTTTATCCTGGGGATGAACGGCGTGAGTGCACTGGGTGGCGTGACGGTGAGTGCGGAGAACCATGTGAGGTTCGGAGCTGAAACGACCGGGGTGGCGGCGGTGGCCGAGAGACGGGTGCCCGAGACGGCGCCGGCGGCAGCAGGGGCGGCGGCGGTGGCCGAGAGACGGGCGCCCGATACGGCGCCGGCGGCAGCTGGGACGGCGGCGGTGGCTGAGAGACGGGTGCCTGAGGCGGCGCCCGTGGCAGCTGAGACGGCGGCACTGGCCGAGTCGACTGCACCCACCGAGGCGGCGGAATCTGGGTCAGCGGCAATTGGGGCCCTGACAGTGACCGAGACGCGGGCAATGGCGGCGCCGGAGGCGGCGGCGGGTATATGGCGCGAGGAGGAGAAGGACTTTATTGTGAGCTACGATGAGAGCCAGAAAAAGTGGTCTGTGCAATTGAAATGGTGTGGGGATGAGCCAGGACAGTTGTTCAACAAAGCGGAGGAGTACTCAATACCATCAGAGGCCAGGCAGGAGTATGAGCGACAGCTCACAAAGTGGGTGACAAACGGATGGCTTGTTCCCTATGACGAGCGTGTCCACGGACAGGCAAAGGGCACAATACCGCTGATGGCGGTGATTCAGCCGAACAAAGACAAAGTGCGCCCGGTCATGGACTTCAGAGAGCTGAATGAGTATTTGGACTCGCATACGGCTGCCGCAGACGTGTGTAGTGAGAAAATTCGCGAGTGGCGCCGGTTCGGACGGAACGTGTCGCTTCTGGATCTCAAAGACGCCTACCTGCAGGTGCATGTGAGCGAGTCTCTGTGGCCCTACCAGACTGTTGTGTTTCAGGGCAAAAGGTGGTGTCTGACGAGACTAGGGTTTGGAATCGGCTGTGCGCCGCTGGTGATGAAAAAAGTGCTCAGCATGGCTCTCGGGCTGGACCAGAGAATAGACAGCGCGACATCCTCCTACGTCGATGACATATTTGTGAATGAGGAGGTCGCCACCGCAGCTGAAGTGAAGGCCCATCTCGAGAACCATGGCTTGGACTGCAAAGCGCCAGAAAGTGTGATCGATGGTGCCCGTGTGCTTGGCCTAAGGGTCTGGGGGGAGCGAGACGGGCTGTTCTGGAGGCGTGACAGAACCGACATCAGCCCGCCCCCTAAACTGACGAGACGGGCAGTCTTCTCTCTGTGCGGACGACTCACCAGTCTTGTTCCTGTGGCCGGCTGGCTCCGCGTGGCCGCGTCATATCTGAAGAGGCGTGTCACCGCTGTGTCCAGTGGATGGGATGACGAGGTCACTGACCCGGAGCTCTGTGCAATGGTCATTGAGATGGTGGAGCGTGTGAACACATCTGACCCCGCGCGGGGCCGGTGGGATGTCTCTGGAGACGGCGGAGGTGTGGTGTGGGTCGATGCCAGCTCCCTCGCCATCGGGGCCGTGCTGGAGATCAACGACTGCGTCGTTGAAGACGCCTGCTGGCTGCGGAAGAGCTCGGACACCCACATCAATCTCGCAGAGCTAGATGCTGTGATTCGAGGGCTCAATCTGGCACTGTCCTGGAATTTGAAGAATGTGACGATCATGACCGACTCGCGAACCGTCTATCACTGGCTGTCCGACGTCCTGTCTGGCAGAGCCCGTGTAAAAACCAAGGCAGCGAGCGAGATGCTAATTCGGAGACGTCTTGAGACAGTGAAGAAGCTGGGTGAAGAATATGCCATGCAACTCTGCGTGAAATTCGTCCCATCGGCTGAGAACCGGGCCGACGCGCTCACGAGAGTGCCAAAAAAGTGGCTGACCCCGCAGGGCGCGTCGATGGTGTGCGGTGCCGTCGTCACAGAGCCCGACATCGCACGGATTCACCACACCAGCGGCCATCCTGGCATCACACGAACCCTGAGACTATGCAGGAGGCAGAGCTCTGACGTCACCAGAGCTCAGGTGCGTGCCGTGATCCGCCAGTGTCAGGCGTGCCAATCGGTCGACCCTGCGCCGCAGCGCTGGGTGCGCGGCACGCTAGGGGTGAACGAGTGCTGGGAAAGAGTGAGCATGGACGTCTGCCACGCCGACAATCAACTCTACCTGACCCTAGTGGATTGTGGGCCGTCTCGCTACGCGATCTGGAGGCGCCTAAAGCGACAGGACGCTGAGAGTGTCATCGCGCAGCTCGAGTCAATCTTCCTGGAGCGAGGCGCTCCCACTGAGCTGCTGACGGATAACTATCCATCGTTTCGAAGTGCCGTGTTCAATGAGTTCGTCAGTCGGTGGGGAGTCTCCGTTCGATACCGAGCAGCTCATGTCCCGTCCGGTAACGGCATCTCGGAGCGCAACCACCGCTCCATCAAAACGTTAGCGGCCAGAAAGAAGTGTTCAGTGGTGGAGGCGGTGTATCGCTATAACGTGATGCCACGCGCGGAGGATCAGAGCTCCAGCCCCATGGAAACGCTGTTTAATTACCGAGTGAAAGTCCCAGATGTAGACGCGCCAGCTGATGCCGATATCAGCCGCTTTACGGTCGGGGACAAGGTGTGGGTCAGGGACCCGAGCCGCCGCTGTGACGTGGCCAGTTCACTTGGGACGGTGAGCCGTATTGTGTCTGTACAGTGTGTTGAGGTGGATGGAGTGCCGCGCCATGTGCGGGACCTGAGGCTGGCCGTTCTCCCACAGCCGGCCGAGGGCAGGAGTCCGCCGATCAGTGAGAGTGACGACGAGGGCGCCCCAATTATCTTTTATGAGCAGCGTGTCACTCCCGACGCTGCGGCTCGAGGCGAGTCGGAGGGGGCCTCGCACGATGGCGACGAGTCGGCAGCTGCTCGCAGGAGCACGCGGGAGCGGCGTCCCGCTACACTGACGCAGTATGGTGATTTATAAATCAGGGGGGAGTGTAATAGAATTGTGTTATGAATTAGTAGAACGTAGCGTGCCTTGTGTGTGTATTGTGCGTGTGTGCTTATGACCGTGTTTGTGTGGGCGCGCCGAGGCCGTGGGACCGGCGGGCCGCATTTCCTGCGCCTGCGGCGCTAGTTTTATGGCGCACAGCTGTGTGTGCACTGTGGACCGCCGGCCGGGCTCGGGCGCGCGGCCGCAGTTGGCGCCGCGACACGATGACGTAAGGAATACAGCGTGTGAGAGGTGGCTCGGTTTTCTACAGTTTACTTGACTTCCTCGCCTCCTACTTTTATAAGTCGCGATAAGTGATCCTGACACTGGCGAAATGGGAAATTCATCCCGGCCCCTACCAACCATATTCGTACAAAGGCACAATATTTTATCTGCACTCTTTGCCCATACTTCTCTCCCACCTCCAATAGCTCTACGCACCTGCTGGCGAGTCGCTCCTCGATGGCCTCGTCGAGCCGGGAGACCCAGGTGCCCAGGTTGCTGTACTGGTGCAGACTGAGGTCGTCGATGGCCTTCTGGATCTTGTTCAGGATGTCGGCGAACGTGGCATGCGAGTACGGACACGACTCCAGCAGTCTGTCGGGATGGGGTCACATAGAGATTATGCATCGCTTCATGTGGCGCGACCCTTACCTGAATAGAACGAGAGTATCTGGCGCCAAGTTAACAGTTACTTTAAAAAAAAAAAAATCAAAATGGTTGGACATTGATAAACAAATTTAGATGAACACTTTTATTGATTTCCAGAAATAAAATTGATCCACAAATATTAGTGTAAAAATATAAAAACTAATAGCACCGTAGCCTGATTGAACAATTTAAATGGCTAGTCCCTTCTTCAACAATTCTGAGCACATCGGCCATGCCGACACCCGAGAGCATCGTCTCCAGCAGCTGCAGTAGGCATCCAGCAGTCCACGCACCTGATGTCCATGTCGATCTGGTCCTGGATGACCAGCAGGTCGTCCACCATCTCCTGGAAGTTGAAGGTGGCGTCGGCGAAGCGCTGCACGTACGGGTCCAGCTTGTAGGACTCCCAGACCAGCTGGGTGCCCTCTGCGATCAGAGACTGGGCGTCTCGCCGCAGGCCGGCCACCAGCAGCTGCACGCTCGGACGGTCGTCCATCTGAGGGCGGCGTCAGAGAGCGGTCAGAGAGTGTGCGATGTGGGGTCAGACAGAAGGTGGGACAGCTATGAGCTAGACACGCGAGGCAGAGGAGCGGGGCAGACAGAAAGTCGCATAACGGTAAGCTTACTCAACGAGAAGTAATGTGAGGTTAAATAACTAAATGAGCTTTCTCAAAACAATTTCAGCTAAAATGATGCAAGTAAGTCCTCACAAAGCATTGCAATGAGCAGCCAGATATAAACTTAACCAAAGCCTCAAACCATGCATTATTTATCTCTTTGAGCCTCGCCCTCCATACGCGGCCCAGACACCAGCTCCCTCAATTCGCACCATCCTCCTGCCTGTCTCACCTTCTCCAGGGTCCGTTCGTAGGTCCTCACGCTCTCGATGAGCGAGATGGCGAACGGATACAGCTGGTTGGCCGTGTGCGCCTTGTTGACGATGGCCAGTGGCACGCGGAAACCGAGACACTTGAGGTTGCGCACCTGTGGACAAGTGGCAAAGGGTGTGATAGAGCCGCGGAACAGGCGACAACGACGGTAGAATGGACATAAGGCACGGTGATCAGGCGATGAATGGACAGCAGCAAGCCACCAGATTCATGGTGGTGGTAATTCAGAAATGTTGTACGTTTTTGCTCCACCGTACTGCCTAGATTAAGTTGTCTCCACAATGATCACCTCCAACAGTGTACTTTCAAATGAACACCTCAGCTGTAGACGCCGCTGTCTTAACACAAAAGTTCGCGCAGCCTTTCGATATGATTACCCAGCCCTCAGACAAGACCGCAGCGACAGACCCACCTCCTTGCTGAGTGTGATGATCTCCGGCAGGAAGTTGACCTTCAGCTTGAGCAGGTTGCCCTTCCCGGAGCGACTGCGCTGCGTCTCGATCGTGAAGATGCGGCCCGACACGCCCAGGTTGCGCGCCTGCACCTTCTTGGCCCAGTCCTCGAAAATCTCGGCCGTGTTCAGCTTGACGCGGAAGCTGTCGCTGTCGCCCTTCAGCTTCTGTCCTTCGACGTGGTTCTCCCAGCCCTTGCCTGTTGAGTGCGAGACGCGGCAGTCAGCAAAGCATGGGGAAGGACAGCACTGAGTTTGGGATGGCGTGACAGGCTACAAATTTCGAATCAGACCTGCACCACTGCAGCAGCATTAGCCAAGGCCTCACGAGTCCTGCCAACCCCACCCTCCGACTCAAGGCTGAGTAAGCATTTCCCCGGCCCGAATCCCCCTCCCCTTCGACCACTCACCGAGCACATCTTCGACGCGTTTCATGTAGGTGCCGAGCTGGCGGTCGATCTGTTTGGCCCACAGAATGGACCCGGACACGGGCGGGATATCTCGCACCTGGCTCATGCGGCACGCCTTGCTGTGTGGGTACTGGACCTTGAACTTCTCATGGAGCGACTCGATGTCCTCTTTGACGCGCGTGATGAGCTGTGTCTGGTACTCTCGGATCGCGCCGCGGATGTGCGGACGCACGAACAGCGCATTGAACCGTGAAAAGATACTGACGGATGGAAAAAGGTGTCAGCGGGTACTCTTGAAATGACAAGCCAGAACACTGATGTGGGAAGAGATGAGAGCGATAATAAAGGCAAGAAACTCAGGCAGCTCCAGTTCGAAAGAACCGTATATGGTGGGCATTAGTACACACCACAAAGTGATATTGCGACTGAATTTACACACATCACTTGCGCTGTTTCACATATCGCTGAAAACTCAGACACACTTTACATGTCCACTGCACTAAGTAAACCAGTACTATCCTCAGCTGTATCGGTCCCCGTTCTGCCACCACCCCGTCGGCCCGACCATTCCCACGCCGCCACTCACCGGAACATCTCGTTGGCGTTTTTGGCGGTGCCCAGCTGGTCTCGAAGCCGGGCGGTGATGCGCGCCTCCACGCGGTCAATGCGCTCGTCGTACCGGCGCAGCGCCGCCTCCCACGCCTCGCTGCCCTCCTTACCGATGTCCAGGGAGTCCACGTCCTTCACCTGCTCGTAAGCCAGCTGTACCTCCTGGGGAGCGAAGACAGGGATGTCTTAAGCCCTTGAGCGATCTCAATGCGTGCATGGCTGATGCCCAGTGACCTGGGATGGCTGTCCGCGCGTAACATGTACTTATACCATGTGCTGACCCTATTGAAACGTATGCTGGTCACTGCGCAGCCCGAGTCAATCGCGAGTAGAATAGTGCATAGACGTGACGTACATCAGCAAGCCACAAGACAGATAGATATTGCTACATGTGCCCAGAATCAAATCGGAGTCCGGGAGGAGACGATTCCTCTTTACCGCCGTGACAACTTTTAATAGCCTACCACCGGCGATGTGTGACCTGAACCTGCGCGCGTTCAAGGCAGAGTTGCGCCGGCACTTGTTGCGACAACAGGCGGCCGACCGTTAGCAATACTTCATGACGACACGTTTGTGAGAGAGTGACTGCGAACGAAAGTCTGTCTGTGTGCGTGCGTGCGTATGTTTTTCCCACGACACCCATCATTTTATATTGCGACCCTGGTTCAGGAATAGCCATTTTTGTGGAATGAGCCTACGATGTCAAATAAATAAATAAATAAATAAATAGATGCCAATCGTTCAAGGAAATGACGACATGTCTTATCAGTTTTATAACATTCACTTCTGGTTCAAATTGACAGAAAAGTTATGTCGTTTGACTTCACAACATGACTCAATTATAAGTAGTGTATAAAAAAACACGTCGTACACCAGCTATGCACACAAACGTCTACTTATGCCTACAATCATTCACCTAATCACTAGCAACCCCGACTCCTTCTATTCCGTACCTCGATGGCGTTGGCGTCAGCTGCGTCTAGTGACATGGGCTGCGGCTGGGGCTCTCCAGTCCCGGCGCCGGCCGTAACCGCCGCCTGGTCGGCCGCCGAGGGGCGCTGCACGGCCGGACGGAGCACCCGCACAATGACCGTCCGCAGCTGCTCGTGCTGGCGGCGGAACTTGCGCATCTGCTCCATGCGCGCCTGGAGACGTTTGTGGGACGGCTGCACGCGCCACGTCATCTTCATGTGCTCCTGCTTTTTCTTCATCAGGTCGCTGATAGAAGCCGAGGTGTGTGTTAGAGCAAGGACAGTCTCTCAGCAATTAACGACATAATATGGCGTGAGTTCGGGAAACTAAGAATAAATCGCCATGCTAGAAGCAATGCATGGCGTAAAGAGACTTGATGAAACGTATATCGAAAAGTCATCGCAGTCCAAAAACATCAACTTCTGTCTGAAAATTGACTTCGACCGTACTCACCGAAGTAGCCCCTGCAGTTTGTCGTACTCGTCGTCCCAACAGGTGAACACCTCGAAACACTGCGCCATCAGCTTCTCGAACTCGTCAAAGTTCACCTGCATCATGCGCCGGGTGCCCAGGATCTGTGGAAGACGAACAGGTGGTGGATGATGCACTGGTGGTATCACATGGATAAAACGCGTGATAAATTATAAAACACTTGATGCCATTTTGGAGAGTTACGGAGGTCGAAATGCACGGCAGAGATAAACAAGTTATGACTGCAAATCTAACGGTAGCAGACACTTGATAAAAACCAAACGTTTCCAAAAACATCATCAGCTTGTATCGTAAATATAACGCGTCACCAAACATTTCACAACACCCATTCCTTTCCATAAGACTGTAACGTTTTTTTATTTTCGATGTCCCTAGGCCCAGACACGACTGCCCCGCCACCCACCTTGAGCAGTTGGTTCATCAGGTCGCGGGAGATGGCCTCCACCAATCGCAGCGCGCGCACCAGCGGGTACTTGGTGTTGCGGATCTTGCGCAGGTGGTGGAACACATTGCGCAGAGCCGTGCGCAGTCGGTCCAGCTCAGTGGAGGCGAGCAGCTCGTTCAGAGGGAAGTCCTTCATCAGCGGGTTGTAGTCGTTGACGGTGGCCAGCGCCTGCTTCAGACCTGGTTACGAGGCAGAGGTGTGAGTTAATACGCGGAAGAGGGCAGAGGTTGCAAAAAGTGTCTCAGCTATAGTACCGAGCTACCTTCAGCAAAATATCTCGTCTCGCGGATAAAATATAATGAACTTATTAATGGAACGCATATTTGATATTTTGTGACCAGCTACCAGAAAATCAAATGAAAAGTATTGGTTACCAGCTCTGAAATTACTCCTGATAGATGACTGTGTGACCCGAACCTACTTGATGAAATCAGCCAACACTGAAGTGAAATACATCCCATCGTCCTCCGATCCTCATAATCCCCGTCCACCAGGCCGCGCCGCCGTACCGGTGTCGGCGTCAAAGCTGATGGTGGCGTGGAAGCGTTTTCCGTGCCGGAGCACGTCCAGCGTGAGCGCCACCTCCAGGCTGTCGCGCTTCTCCTGAATGCGCAGCAGGGCCCGCTCCAGGTTCAGCCAGAAGCTGATCTCCTGCAGCGCTGTGCCCGAGGCCGGGTCGCGGTCCAGACGGGTCACCTGAAGGGCAGAGGTCAAGGTCAGTCGGATTAAATGCTCACCTGACGGGCAAAGGTCGAGATAAGATTATGAAGTCAAATGGGATGAGAGCTACCTATTCAGGTGTGTCATGATTCATGATTGATCAATGATCATGCACTAATAGATTGCTAGCACTTCAGCAATCATCACAAAGTTCAGGTCGCGTACTTCACACTTGCCCGACAAAATACGCGTAAGCATTGCTAAATCCGTACACATCTCGTAAACCTTCGGCACCGCGCACCTTCTGTATCTCCCTGATCCAGCGGTTGACGCCGTTTTGCAGCTGGTTGAAGAAGCTCGAGTCGTCCAGCTTCTCACCAAAGTCCGCCACCTGCGGTTTCCGGCCCTCGTCGGCGCATTTCTTGATCACCTGCCGAAGACCGAGAAGACATCACTGAAATGTTTGAGTGAGTTTGGATCGGACGTATGCATTATATTTCATACGGAAAATGCGCGGGCATTGGGCAAACTCAGGTCTCACCCCTGAGCAGTACGGTATCAGGGTGTCTGGTTAGAGTTTATTGATCCGCGGGCGAGACGTGGCCCGACGCGATGAGAGCCGCTGCCTCTGCGCTTTTTCCGACGCTTGGCAGCTGTGACCGGTGGCGGTCGACGATCAATAGCTGAGCGTTCTGACGTAACCGTGGAGGTATGACAAGTGTTCTGCTTTACCTGTCTGAATGCATGACGTCAGCTGTATTTCGCCGCAGCTGTGGAGGGGTGTATTACCTGGGCCACGGCGGGGTGAGCCTGCAGGGTGATCTCGGGAGTGTCAGTGGTATTATGTCTCTCTGTATTACCTGGGACACGGCGGGGTGGACCTGCAGGGTACCTAATCTCGGGAGCGTCAGTAGTCTTTATGTCTCTGTGTATTACCTGAGCCACAGCGGGGTGGACCTGCAGGGTGATCTCGGGGATGTCGATGTTCTGTTGCAGATGCAGAAGGCCCATCTCCAGCTCGGCAATCTTCTTCTCCACCGCCGGCGCCATCTTGTCGCCGTCCCTGTCACACACAAAGAATGGGAGCCGGTGTCAGTCCATGGTTGCGTGTGTTGGACTCGAGCGCCGCATATTCCGACAGACCAAACATTCGAGGCATAGTTAGTGCAAGATATTCCATTCATCCACACGCACAAACGCACATAAAAAAAAAATCACAAGCTTCACTTTATCCTAGCTAAGTTCGGACAAGATCACCCTTTCAACGAGGAACAGCGATATCCGTATTTCGTGCGCCCCGTTCCCTAAATATTACCGGTGACTCCCAACATCCCTGGTCACTCGCCTGTCGCCCTTGCCGGACTCCTTGACGTACGACTTGAAGAACGGCGAGACGGCGCTACTGATGAGCGTGTGCAGCGTCTCGTACGGCGACCCCTCGTTCAGCGTAGTCATCAGCAGCTGGGAGGTGAGTGGCTTCTCGGCCTCCAGCACGGCGCCACGCTTCACCAGCACCAGGCTGCGGCAGGACGGATGTCAGGGGTCTGTGTGTGCCAGTTTGTACCCCGTCGGAGTGACTAACAATGAGAAGGAAAGGCTTGAGTTCTGATAGTCAGATTAAGATGGGATAGCGAGTCTTGAGGCGCATGCGTTCACGAAAAATGCATTGTGTAATATACTTGTGGCTGCATTTATATTTAATTTTGCGAGTTTCGCAGTCTTTGTGAGATGTTAATGACCATATACACTCACACACTCGCGATAATCACCGAGCACCCTGCCAATCGTCACTGCATGATCTCACCACTCGCTCAATCATCAGTTACCTGTTCATCTTGGCATTGGTGAAGTGGACCTGATTGGAGATGAGGTACTGCACCAGCTCCCTCTCATCCTCCTCCTGGCCCTCGGACTCCTCGTCAGCATCTGAACGTGATAACAGCGTTTATGTAATCAGACTGGGAAACCTACCTACATTAGATAGCAAACTACACACTGAATTAGGTCGGGTTAAAGTGAGAAACCGATTCACGCCCTTTCCGCGCTCGCCTTCTGTCGCGATGCGACTACGGCTTGCAAGTTGGTGACAGTGGTCGAATTACGGGCCAAGTGGGTAATCTTGCCGTCTGTCCGAAATATGCAAGACAAACAGCTTTCGTATCCGAGCCATTGCAATAGTACAGGCTTAAACCATTAACCTAGACCAGCTCGGTTCTAATCGATCTCGCGACGAGGTTATTCTCCTTTTCCCAAAACACAAAATCTTACTCTAATCCCATGGTCTAGCCCAGCGGCCACAATTCTGTGTCTGCCTGTCCGCAGTGCGCGACTCACCTTTAGAAGAGACGCGCTCGATGAGCAGAGAGCGCGTCTGCGGGTCGGATATAAACTTCTTGATACACTCCACATTCAGACGATCGTCGAGCGCCTGCTGCAGCGCACGCGGCAGCGTCGGCGCCTCCTCCAGGAGGACGCCGGCGGCGCGGCGCACATGTTCACACACGAGCCCGACGTCGGCCAGCGCGACGGCGTCATCGGCGGCCATCTCGCCGCGACTGTCGTCGGCCGAGTCCGTCATGGCAGCGGCGCTCCGTCGCCCCGCCCGAGCTCAGACTGACGGGCCGGCGGAAAACACTGTGGGGAGAAGCGGAGAGGGTGATGGTCACCAGCTGGTGGGTGACTTGTAATGGAGTATAATGGGCAGTCAGGGGTAGAGAGACTAACGAATGACGAGTCGGGCTCTGAATAGTCTGCCTGAACTTGCTACAGGATTATCCCATTAGTCAAGCAAAATGAGAATTGAGACTAATAGAATGTGAAAAGTTAACATGAATATTGTGGTGCTTGTTAGCAGAGAAGCATTGACACTTTGCGCCTCAGGATCTTAAAACTGCACCCTGGAAATCTGTGACAGAGACAAAGAACAAGTCCAGATGATGAGGGGGAGGGGACAACAAATGAATAGCAAGGTAGTGCTGCGAATCATCAACTTAGGCAACTGTGGTAACTGGTGTGGTACACCTAAGGCGAATGGCAGCAGCAGGGATGAACTGGCAGCCCAGCCAGAAACTCAGTCAGTCTGCAAGTCAATAAGGCTTAAAACTAGGCTAAAAGACTTTGATTCAGACTTTTGGCTTAAACACATTGATCCCCTGTGGGATTAAACTGACCAAATGCATCTATCTTTTCCATCTTTTGTCTGGTTTCATATAACTAGCTTTTGCCAGTGGATCTCAATTCTGGATCCTAAGCTTCAATGCTTCAGCAGAAATAGAAAAACATGACTATCATCACAAATATTTGAAAACTGAATTGGACAGTAAACTCAGCTTACTGCTTCTTCTCTCAGTTGGAGCCAACAAATTGTTGAATACTTAAGCCATATGTGAATTATTAATTCATGATAAAGTAAAACCAACTAATGATCTACCACTGATCTACAGTGGAGGGTAAATGCATATATATGTCAACAAGCATTTCAGCCCAGATTTTAAATGTTTTTGTTGAGCTGTTTTTGTTAGGACAAAAGCTGAATCAAAGATCAAGTCTGAACTGCCCGGCATGGACACCTGCCGTCACTGTCTTCTCCATCTACCAATGCTTGATGACAGCAGAGTCCAGACCTGCCACTCAACAGCCCATTTTTTCAAAACCTGATATGGTAAGGAAAGGAAAACTGCTGAATTTTCCTCAAGGCTGGTAATGAGACTTGACGATGAAGATTTACATGCCTTTGTCCATGCACATTGCACACAACAGAAAAGACACAGCAAAGTTGTGCCTTAAAAAGTAAAAACTAGCAGCGCTGTGCATTCCATGCATGCTTCACTTCTTATCAAATATAACTGGTAGCCACTGATCAATATAAAACAATCAGTGCTAGAAACGCACTACCTATTCGATCGATGACTCATCGAATCGCCCGGCCGGCACGGCCACGCCCCGGATCAACTGTCTCCTTTCAGCACAAAAAAAGCTCAAAGAGCCTCCTGAAATCTCGTTGCAGTCAATTCAACACTTTTCAATTCATTGCCGGTTCTAAACTGACCTGATAAGCTGTCAGAAAATAGCCGAAATGTTTCAAACATGGGCCATCTACGGATCACGACAGCCTCAACCCGCTCCAGCGGAGACCAAGGCGGAGACGCAAATGGACGAAATGGAACTAATGGGAAATGAACAAGCCAAGGATGGAACAAATGGGCAAGAGCGCGCAAATACTTCTGAGAAGAAATATAGTGATTTGACGTCATCGGTTGAAAATTGATTCCACTCTTTTGATGATACTTCCGCAAAACAATGAAAAATTAGCAATCTACACGTACTTTTTTCATTTTTAAAACTTACAAAAGTCATTTTAAAAGTTATTGAACGAAAATAAATTAGTCCTTATTCCATTATTTTTTAAAGCTTATGACGTCATTTTAATGTTCAATCCATTTTCTACTCATAAAGACGAAGTTCCCTTACATGCGCCATTCTGAAGCAGGGGGGCGACACGGCTATTCGCGCAATGTATTCGTTTATGGGCCGCGCGGGGCCTCGCGATGACGCGGCTGGAGGCAACTGCTCAGCGCGCTAGGATACTTCTGGCGGGGCCGGGCGCTGAATGGTGTGCAATGAATGGGTTATGGTCGGGCAGACAGAGATGAGGCATTGAATTTGAATTGACATCAGCAATCGGGTGGGGAAGGAGAGCATTTCTAATCGAGCTTGGGATGGGGAAAGCCGAAAATATCACGATCGGCTCATAGCTCCGACAGGGCCGGGTGCTGTACCATGTGTAGTATATTTAGGCGGGCAGACAGAGATGAGTTATTGGATTTAAATTCACCTTACCATCGGTTTCTGGTGAGGTTTGAAGACGTCTTTAGTCAAGCTCGGAGTGGGGCAACGGCCACTGGCGGATCCAGGGGAAGGCATTTGGGGCAAATGTCTTCCCCAACAACCAGGGCAGCGCCCGAAATCGATTTTCGAGAATAAATGAAAACTTCACAACTTTTCTGAGGAAATGTTGGTTAATCACACCGCACAGGCCACAGCAGTGCGCAAGGAATCGAAATCCGAGTTTTTTAAATTAATTCCGAGAAACCTTTTTGGGGTAAGCCCCCGCAGTGTCCAATACCGCTTCCTGGATCCGCCAGTTGTGAATAAGTCACGGTCGATACCGAGCTTCGGCGGGACCAGGCGCTGTACACGTTGTTCTTTGAATGAAGAGGTGGACAGACACCTAGCCCCACATCCTACTGCTATGCCCGTGCTTCTGTGGGTGAAGCACTAAAGCATCACGGAATCCCAGAGGACCTGCGAGTCGACGAGGTGGCCGCTTTGGCCGCCGGGTACTGCAGCTCCCTGGAGTTGCCTGGGACCGATGGCAAAACAACAGCTCCGGCGGTGCCCCTATGGGCCGTAGTAATTAGTGAATTCCCGTAATGTAGAGATCATATCCTCAATGATCTCCATTACCATTTTATATTCCTAAACAATATGACAGACCAATTATGCTTGCCTACGTTCAGGCATTACCTCTGATGGTCATACGCCCAGTACAACATGTGTTGTCTGTCAAACAACAATCGACGACAGGATCCCTTCTCATCATCTCTTAAGCCATCGGTTGTCAATTCACCCACCCCGTTTCCCTAAAAATAGACGGTCAGATTCGGCCTGGGTCCTTACAACCCCTCTAAATTCGCCAGAGACGGGATCGGATCGCCGTTATTGCACCCGTCTTCGTGTCTTAAATACTATGACAGCTTCGACCACGGACGTCGGACGTGGTGATCATTCCACGAATGTACGCACCATCCAGGCCTAGGATGCATCGAGGTTTAAAGGGACCCTCCCACCTTAACATTAGATTTGAGTTGAGATAGCCAAAATGGGGTCCCTGGCTCACAATTACCTGTTTCGGCACTCACAACATCGATAAATGCCTTAAATCGGAAATATTGAATTTCAAAATTGCAGCATTTTGATTCAGAGGGGCTAATGCATAGGAATACCCCTCTGAATGTGTGACGTCAGCGCAGATATCTAACGATTTTTAAATGTTTGACTAAAACGTTTTGTAGCACGCGGTGGTAAATGCTGCTTTGCGCGCAACAAATGCCGCACTTTCAAATAAAGTCGCTATAGGAACAGCGGAGATCCCAAAAAGTAAACAAAAGTAAAAGTCTAATATCTTGAAAACCGGTGAATATTTTTCGATGAAATTTGGTAGATATTCGTTTTTGCTCTTTCTGAACCGAGCGACATCACTTTCATGCCAATTCATTTACTTTTTTGAAGGTGGGAGGGTCTCCTTAAAAGGATGCAGTCTGTAGATCAATCAACAAACAATGGTGGTATGCAACCACTTTAAAATATCTCCCTCGCTCCCGCAACGTTCCAACGCCCCTCCGTTATGCATTCGCCCTGTGTGTCCGCCGAGCCGGCTTGCCTCCAATGACGTCATCGGCCGGCCGGCGGCGTTCAAGGTCAAACTGCTGGTGTCCTTACCTGGAGTTCTATAGCCTTGTTCTGAAGCTGCAAGTGCATATTCTTATAAACGTTCCAATATTTTTTATTTTTAGTTGGGCGCGGTCGAGAAAAAACGCATAAAAGTCAATTTTGATTGAAAATTCGTTTATTACAGCCATATTACAGCAACCTAGCACACTGATGGCTATGGGAATTGGGATAGCGTTTTGTTGCAACCTGCATTGCTTTTTGGTTTTCCTTTTTTATTTTTCCGGCAACTCTGAAAGCTATTTCACTTTGACCTGTAAAATTTAGATTCTTTACGCTGGAAAATATTATTCATTGATCATTTTAGCTCTGTTTTTCCTCCTCTCCAAGTGTTCAGTTCTCCAAGTTGTTCAGAGTTGCTTTTTTTTTTAAATTCAGTAGGCGGAACTATGGTCAAGCGTACCCATTTTCGGGAACGCATTTTCGTTCCCATGTTTGGGAACGATAAACCCAAATATGGGAACGCCATGTAGGCATTATTTAAAACAAGAAAAAGAACTGTTAAATGACGTCCAAAAAATATAAAACGATCGTGAACCGCCTGATAGTTGTCTCAATATTGTTGGGAAAGAGTTTGATATTGTAAGGCCCATCGTAGTTTCAAATCGTTCCCCTATTTCTAAAGCAGTCCATCACCCGGGCCGCGAGCCCAAATTTGGGAACGCTGTCGTACACTGGCGCTGCAAGCGTTCCTTATTATGGGAACGGCGTACCCAAAATTGGGAACGATTTCACCGACGCCTTTCAGGGGCTCTTTTCATTAACAAGCATCACGTCCAACGCCGCAAATTATTGTTAACGCAACAATCATCAGATGACCTTTCCGGCAAGACCGTTGCATGTTTCGCCCGGTCTTCTGCGCTTTTATTCCCGTCGATCTCGCAGCGGGCACGCCCCCCTCTGCAGGATTACGTAATCCACAACGCTCAGCGATGTTCAACAAGGTCTTCCATACCTATATCCACCGTCCGCGCCGAGGGTGGAGACATGTCAAGCACCTGTCTGCTAATCACCGAGAGTTGACGAGCACAAGAAGTATCCAAAAATGGGAACGCTGAATATGTTACACCCTCAAAACACCTAGTCCCAATGAAAATCTAGTTTTTTCCTTTCTTAATGAGTGTAAGTGGCAAAAGGCCTGGTAGGATGGGCACGACGTATGATCGAAATCAGCATAAAAATTATAAATAAGCCACACAGAGCGACCTATATCAGAGAAATTCCCCCAACCGATCATGCTTAGAAACGCCGAAGACAAAAACCACGCTCATGACACTGCTTATAAAACAACGCTAAACAGCTAGCATCCAAATAAAATATGTCTTTCAGGGCTGATAAAATACAGCTGAATGATTTTAAACCACTGAAACTGAGTTTACAACAGTAGTTCGGTAAAATCACTGACGTTCCACGCGGTCGATCGCCCCGACACCAAATGTCAACAATATTACCTCGGGACTGTCCGCGTGTTCGCTTGCATATGTCATCATCTGGTGTCGCTAGAATGAAACTTCATAACCAGGCGAAAATTATTATACTTGACCTCAAAATGTAAAAAATGCTTCATTTTCCTTAAACTTGCATGTTAAATGTCGTATAACCCATATTTCCACCATTCTGTCATTTTTAAAAAATCATTAAAAATATCATTCCACGGTCAATTTCCTTGTTCCACGGTCAGATTAAAGATAACTTTATGGAGATTTAGTAGATACTTAAATCAGCGTGCACTTTTTTGAGACGTGATGCACTTTTGAGTTTTAGTGGGCGAACGGCCGAAAAATTGCCTTCCGTTCTCATAAATGGGAACGCCCGTTCCCATATTTGGGAACTCCGTTCCCAAAAATGGGAACGTTCCTATATTTGGGTACTCATGACCATAGTTCCGCCTACTGAATTATGAGCTCTGTTCGCACCCTGTTTATTTATCAGCAGGCTGCGACCATGCTGCTGCTTCTTGGCTCCTCATTGGTCAAATTCAAATGGTCTATTCATTAGGCCAATGAGAGGCCAAGCCGCGCCAGCAATAACTTCCTTATTTGGGGAAAACCGACAGCACGCTGGTATAAAAACCGACCGAACAGGGCCCTGCATTAATCCATATTGTTAATTGTAGTTTTACACAGTATACATATTTCAATGTGGGAGCTAATTGTATCAGTATGTTTGATGCTAACATTCAGCTCATTGATTATTGCTGACATCACAGCTTAACTTTTCTTGCTAGTTCTCTTGTTAGTTATTTTGCTGAAGTGTCCCTGAATTATTTCCTTCGCGTAATGTTCCAAAAACTTACATTCACCTCGCTTTTTTATAGGTTTTTTGCTGAACACAAGGAAACCATTGTTAAGTATCAAAATGGATTACCTTGGTGCTGAAATTAGTAAGAAGATCAAAAGTGCTATAAGGGCAAAGCTGGTAGAGCTTGGAGTTTATGTCGGTGAGTATTTTTGCTCATATATTGGAGTGGATTAAATATTTAGGTACTATTCTGTGCCCTGCAGTCTGCATGATACTATACCTGAGACTTTTCTGCCTTTTAGGTATTCAAAAAGGTGTGGGAGTATCATGAAAAGTTAAGAGAGACATAATGAATTGAATGTACAAGATCTAAAGGCTTATGCTATTTGTTTGAGCAGCATTGTAGGTCAGGCTGATGTTTTGCTCTTGTTCCTGATGACTAAATGTGTCATTACCTGCAAAAGATAGGCCATCAGACAGTGAGATGTTGCTCTGATGTCCCCTGAGTAATGCATATGTCTCATTTTGTTTTGTTTTTCAGATGATGAGTTGCCAGACTACATTATGGTGCTGGTGGCCAACAAGAAAACCAAGAGTCAGATGGAGCGTGACCTGACCCTCTTCCTGAGTGACCACACAGTAGCCTTTGTTCAGTGGCTTCAGGAAGTGCTGGACAAGCTACAGACCATCACACTGGCTAAAGGTAGGCCAATGTATTGAATGTCTGTATGTAACAGCAGTCATGTTTTACTCACTTTATTACCAATTTGAGACTTGGCTAACAATTAGCATCAGCTAGCCTACATAGCTAATAATTGGCTAACCATAGGTATTAGGTGGTAGAAGTTGGCTTCTGATGTCATCCAGGCTCACTGGGATAAGAGGCACCTTTGTAATCAAATCATTCATTTTCAGACAAAGAAGAGGAAGAAAAGAGTGTCACTAAAAGTAGTTCAACCAAGGAGAGGGAGAAGAAAAGAAAATCTTCAGAGGTAGGCTCAGAATCTGCCAAAAAGGTCAAATCAGATGATCCCAAGGAGAAGGATCGCAAACGCTCAAGTGGTGAATCTCACAAAGCCAAAAAGGACAAAGAGAACAAGAATGCTGACAAGGAAAGCAAGCATGTAGACAAGGAAAGCAAACGCACAGGCAAAGAAAGCAAACACGCCGACAAAAGCACCAAGCACTCTGACGCTACTCCCGCCAAAAAGAAGGACGATTCGCGCTCCAAATTGCGCGAATCCCGCGAACGCCGCACGGCCGAGGAGAAGTCAACACGCGAGCGGGCCGCTCCTCCAGCGAAGGCGGCCGACTCCGGCGGCGGCGCGCGGTCGTCCCGCTCGTCTCAGTCTCTGGAGCGAGAGAGCGGGGCGGAGGGTCGCAGTCAGCGCCGCCGTGGAGTCCAGCAGGCTGCGGCGGACAGTAAGAAGCACCCGCGCGTCTTTGCGCCGGTGAAGCCCACCACTGCCACGGCCGCTGCTGCCGCTGCCGCAGCGTCACCACCGCCGGAGGAGGAGGAGGATCAGGATGTGCTCAATCTGAGCGCCGAGGAAGGTGGGTGTGTCAACTGTCGGCCAGACGGATGTGTTCATGTTGTAATGCTGCATGGAGTGTTACCATTTAAAGTTCACCATTTTTATGCAACTGGTATTTTCTTTCATGGCTCCCATCGCTTGCCTGCAATTTTGAAGCAGAATAGTTATCAACAAGCGGCTGCGCCACTTGCTTCGCGGCGTGGTGGTAAAATGCGCAGCAGTCCATTTGCTTTCGAATGGTGTTTGATTCATACAGATGAGTCGTCTGGAAACAGATATAGAGTAAAACGTGCAGAGGAATTTTTTGAAAAAAAGAACTGTTTTAAGGGCTTACATTCTGACCAAACATTAATCAAATACGATCGCGATCAAAATTACGATGCACACTATTTCACCTGCGTCTCTGTCTTGCTATTCACAGATGAACTGGTGAAGGAGCCTGCGCCAGTGGTGGTGGCCGCTCGCCAGCAGCCGGCCGCCGCACCGTCTCGCCCTCAGGCCGCCGCCGCCCCCCGCCAGCAGTCGGTTAAACCTACACCGGTCGTCTCCGTCGCCGCCCCGAAAACTGCGACCGTCCGGCCGGCCTCCTCGGGAGCCTCTGGAGCCTCGGGCGGCGGTCTGAGGGTGGTGAACCTACGGGAGGAGGCCGGCATGTTCGGCAGGAGGGTGGTGACTGAGGAGGCGCCCCCGGTCCGCCGCCGGTCTCGGTCCCGCTCGCCGGTCAGACGGCGGGAGGTCAAGGTCGCTGAGACAGAGGTGAGCTGTGCGCTGCTAACCTGGCTGGGTCGTCTTTTTTATAAATTTTCACGTCTTTATACTTATTTGTCAGTGAGTGTTTATTATCAGCTGTCTCTGTTTGTGTTTCTGTCCATGTCTCTTGGATCTCTCTGTTTATGTAATATGTATCTCTCCATTGTCTTATTTTCGGACGAAGACTATTGCATCATCGTCGTAATAATGTTGTATTCCTCAGCCATTGCTCTGCCTCTCGCTCTCCACGAATCTATCTCCCTCTAAAGTCTAACCAGCCCTTCTCTGCCCCCCTATCCCCCCGCCCGCAGTCTCGAGTTGTGCGGCGCGGCCCCCAGTCCACGGTCGGCGCTGTCGTCTCGCGGGAGGTGGATGACACAGAATACGACCCTCTAAACCCGGCGGTCGGCGCCGTGGCCAGCACGGTACGCGTCACCGAGCGGCCGCGCCGGCCGGCCAACCAGCAGCCGCGTCCCACGCTACTGCTAAAGGCCATGAGGGACGCGCAGCGCTCCACCGTGGCGTCCGTCCGACCGTTTCTGGTCCGGCCGCAGGAGTCGACCAAACCGCAGCGTAATGCCAACAAGGTGTGTTGGGGGAGGCGGAGGGTTGTAGTGGTCGATGATCTGCGTCCGTTTTTGGATGTGTGTATGGGCTTGTAGGTCGAGGCGATTGTGTCTGTTTTTTTTTTTTTTTGCCCGCACTGTTGAAGGTATGTCACCAGTATAACGCCTTTTGGGGCGACTAACGGAGCGAGCGAGAGGGTGGGCCTCGCACGTGCGAAATCGCGAGGGGGTACCTCCAGCTGACTTGTGCACGGCACCCTACTAACCGGTCTCTAGCGATGTGCCAAATTTGAGCACAATCGGCCCAGCCGCTCTCGAGATCTGGAAGCGGCACCCTGCACGTGCGCACGTGCAAAATGGGTCCCAACTGACTTGTGCACGGCACCCTACTAACCGGTCCCTAACCATGTACCAAATTTGAGCGCAATCGGTCCAGCCGTTCTCGAGATCTGGAATCGACCCCTGCACGTGCGCACGTGCAGCAGCACCCCAACTCTGGCACATAGATATGCATTGCCTAGTGGATGCCTACCTACATGCCAACTTTCAGCGCAATCGGCCTAGTAGTTACCGAGATATTGCAACTATTACAAAAGTGACACCTCTTCGTTTTCCACGTGGCACGTGCATAAGGGGTCACCCACATGCATCGGGAATAGTCCAATACTTGGTAGAAGGAATGAAGCTACCCTACAAAAATTACCGCGTGTAAATCGGTCAAGTGGTTGCTGAGATATAAGCGTCGCAAAAGCGTGACCACGGCCGGCCGGCCGGCCGGCCGCTCATACTCAGAAATTTCCGTTAATCTAAGGAAAGACTACGCTCGCTTCGCTCGCTCCGTAATCAAGCTTACTTTATCACCATTTTCCGTTTATCTTTTGTGCTCGTTGAGCGTGAAGACCGTCATTTCCTATGTCGTGGCTTTCTTTGACCGTCGTTAGCCGTGCGTACCATTCCTCCTTATTCTGACCGGCCTTCTCTGCCCCGTTTACAGCGTGATACCCGTGAGCTCTACACAGCCGGTCTGATGAGCCGACAGCGCCGGCCGCCGGTCTCCGCCCCACCCACCACCGCCTCCGATACGGGCGCACCGCGGGCCGTGCAGGCGCGCAGTCAGCGCAGCGGCTCGCCCGAACAGATTGCCATCACAGTGCGTAACTCGCCGCTTGGCACGGAGGCGGAGCCGGAGACGGCGGTGGAGCCGACGGGGAGGTCCGGCCGCCGGCGCCGGCGCCGCTCGCGACAGACTAAGAGTCCGCCGCCGCCGCGGCCCGACACGCCGCCCGCAGGTGGGTGGGATACTGGGGGATGTAGAGGGGTGGGATTAGATTTGGCGTGCATTGATTGATCATTGATGGTGTCCTGTGTCCCGGTGTTCTATTAGTCGCTGAGACTACATGCTGGTGTTCAATGACTTTTGGGCAGGCCAGGGATTGTTGTGTATCGATATGGCCTGAATTTTTACGATTTCCTTGGGCTTATTGGACGCTTGAATGCAATTTTGCGAGGATCATATTAAGAACTACATCCGGGGATAGCCAGAGGCAATGCGTAAGGGAAAGGGGAATTGCTCGTTAGCAATTGACCTGACCTATCGATAAGCTGTCTACATATAAGCTCCGGCTTCCAATGCACTATCAAAATGTTACTTTCTCTCCGCATAGACTTTGACCATATGTTCTCACTACTCCACCGAGCAGAGCCGGTGAAGGAGGCAGCCATGGAGGAGGACGGGGAGGACCCGGCCGGCTCCCCGGACCAGCCGTCCTCGGACGACGAGGACACGGTTCACGTCACCATCGGCAAGGTCAAGGCCCACCCGCAGCGCGCAGGTACGAATACGTCTTGCAGATGGCGGGGGGATGGCAAAAGTTGGAGCGCCACTGATCGAAGTGATCGCCCGAGCTGGAAGTCCATGGTGATTGTTTGGGAGCCGATTTGGGTTGGAGGCTCGTGATTTTATAGTAAGAATGGAGCTAATGCAGCAGCTACAGTCTACACCTTTGTTTTCCTTCGTTGACATTCGGCATTGAGATTAAGATAGTGAAGCTGAAATGGCCCACTAAGTGCTTTCTGAAATTACGTTTTGTCAGAAGCTAGGTGATGCCGCCTCACACAAATGTAAGTTAACTTGTGGCCCAAATTATGATCCCACCTGTGACCTGACCTCTGCCTCCGTCCCGTACCCTCAGAGCCGCCGGCCGAGACACCCGAGTACCGTCCGACGCCGGTGCTGGCCTCCGTGGATGATATATCTGCCATTGTACACGCCGTGGCCGACCGCATCAAAAACCCGCCGCCCCAGACGTACGTACCGCGAGGGAAGCTGACACGGTCGTGTATGCGTGTCGCAGTTTAGTTAAACCCAATTGTTATGAGATCATTTGTGTTCACATTTGGGTATTTTCGCCTGATTTCCTCCATGGAAATGCACATGCACAAACGTGTATGTCGTGATTCAGAACCGCGTCTGTTCACAAACTACAAATAATCGTAGTCAAGAAAATCTTGTGATGAGCAACACCGTCTTGTGTGTATCACATTGCCACCATCATCATCCATCCTTCTCCCTCTCCTGACCACCCTCTCCCCACCATATTCAGCCCTCCAGTCTCCGCGGCGTCACTCCGTCCCGGCCCGTCCAGACCCCACCTCTCTCGCTCCGCCCCCGCTCGGGACGGACGGACTCGGGAGAGAGGCCGATCCCCACCGCCAGAGGAGAGGAGGGTCGCCAGGCGAGACTCCCGGTCATCCTCGCCCGCTCCTCTGTCCCTGCCGAGGGCCCGACGGAAGAGGAGGCGGCGGTACGCACAACTGATGATTTTTGTGTTTTTATCCGATTGTGATTCATAGTGAAAGGACGTATGTGGTAGGCCTGCATTATTTATCTTTTTTGTAATTTTCTTGTCTCTGATCCCTCGTTACTGAATAAATCACTTTATGTTCATCGTTGAGTGTAATCAGTTGCAGCTCTTGTGAAACGTTTTTATCATTCGAACTGGCTGTTAAGTGTATTTTCTTTTACTCATAGAACCTAGTCATTTACCCAAATTGCGCCTTCACACTGCATCACGTCTCTTATACCCCACATAGTTATCTGTATTGTTGTTACAACCTTTCCCTATTCTCCCTCTAACCCACCTCCCTCCCCTACATTTTCACAGCGAGCGCCCATCCAGCCCTACGTTCGTAGTCACGATGACGGGTCTGGGCGCGTCTCGGTTCGCCCGCTCGATCGACTCGGACGGCGCGCTGGGGGCCGAGGACCCTCCCGCCGCCGAGGGGGTGGTTATAGAAGAGGAGGAGGAAGAGGAAGAAGAGGAGCTGGAGGAGGAGGACCTGCGCGCCCAGCTGCTGGAGGACAGGGCGCGCAAACGCGCTCATCCTGGTGAGAGTCGGGCGGCGGTGAGTGGGAGGGGGTGTGATGGTTTGTCCCGTTTTGCATATATTTACATATGTGATCTGGCCCGTCGTGGTAGACGAACTGAACGGCCTTTGCTCACGTATCAGAATATATTCAGAAGGAAGGGTGGGTCACGTAGAGGAGTAGATGGAGGAGTGGAACTGTAAACCAGATGAGGAGTGGGACTGTAGATGTTGTATATCTTTTGGGTATCTTATGCCGTTTTTTCTTACTTTGTGACCGTCCTGGCCATATGACTGACCTGCAGCTCCCCACCTGCCCCAGGTGTGTCTGACATGTGAACCTTCCCCTCTGAGTTCTGACCAGTCTCCTCTGTTCCGTCGGCAGTGATCGCACCTCCAGCTCAGGACCCGGAGCCGGCGCCGCCAGCAGCTCCGGCTCCCAAACAGGGCACCACCACGCGCTGCCGGTTCTGGCCCAACTGTAAAGTGGGCCCTGGCTGCGCCTTCCACCATCCCACCGTGCCCTGCAAGTGAGTTATCGCCGTGAGCTGATGTGTTTTTATGAATGCCAGAAATGCTTACTTTCGTGTGTGCTGTGGGGGGGGGGGAGTTGAAGAGTTTGAGGATTTAGTAATGAATATTAATTCCTGGAAATTATTATTCTGGATTGTTGAATATCATCTACATTGGAGACCAGGACACGAGTCGATATAACCAATCCGTTCCGCGTTTCTCCGTCAGGACGTTCCCGGCGTGCAAGTTCGGCGACGCGTGTCTGTACATCCACCCTCCTTGCAAGTTTGACGGCAGCTGCACCCGATCGGACTGTCGGTTCAGCCACAGTGCGCCACGGCCGGCACTGGCCACCGCCGCCGCCGCGCCCGTCGCAGCGTTCGGTAAGCGAGGGAGAGGGAGGCAGGGAAGGGGAGAACGGGAGGGGAGACGTGAACTAAGGGAGGTACGGGAGGGAAGGCTGGACGTGCAGTGATGAGCTGTCTTTAGCGTGGTTGGCATATCTGGTATGTTTTTTGTAAATTTAGTCCAAACCTGGATTGGAAGGATTCACAAGGACAGAGCCCCCGCTAAGCGAAGCTTGTTGCGTTGGCCCTGCCCTCTACCCTCCGATCGCGCCACTCCGGTTCTATGGCCGAATTTAGAGTCCAAAGTTTATCGTGCGCACAAAGCCGCACACGGCCGGTCCCCTCACTGACTTCGCCTGGCTACGGCCTGCCACCAACCGCAACCATACCTTCAGGAGGCCCATAAACGTCAAGCGCCCGTCGCGCTTCGAACCCGGACTGTTGTAACCGGGAGCGCCAGCTGGTCTCACCACGCGGAGTCCAACGCTCTACCGACTGTGCTACGGAACCGACTGTTTTGTTTATGTTTATGTTTATAACGTTTCCTGGTGCATTTCGCTTCTCACATTTTACTGGGCAAAAAAAAAAAATAACCTGAAAAAGACTAAGCACCATGGATACGAAGCAGTGCTTTCGGAACCTCGGCATTATTGCCTCAGCTGACTGCGAAAGAGCCCTCGGGCTGATGACGTCACAGTCGGCCCATCGGCAAGGCGTCTATATTTATAACCTCGAGTGACGCCGGTCTAAACCACTGTTTCTTCTCTCTCTCTCTCACCAGGTGGCAGTGCGGCGCGACAGGGCTCGATCACTGCCGAGTGTCGATTCTTCCCCAACTGCAACAACCCGACGTGTCCGTATATCCACCCCAAGGTGAGCGTTTGGTTACATTGTTATCTTGCACAGTGTTTTATCGTGGGCCGTCATGGTTGTCTTGGTATCATGGGGCCTCATGGTTATTGATGGCGTGGGTTCGCCGTTCGCCCTGCCTCGCTGAGGCTGGGTTATCGGACCGCTTTCGACACAGGATTGGTTCGGGAGGGATACAGGGTGTAACAAGTATCAGTGACAGGACAGACGTTTATTTTTTATGTGGTCTGTTTGGAAAGCCTAGTAGGAACTCAATGTTATTTGTGAATGAATGACTCTTTAGCTCTGTGCCGACCTCTCCCTCAGGTCCTTCTGCTCTCTGCCCTAAATCTAACCTAACCCATCCTCCCGTGTGCCTCTGTTACAGATGTGCCGGTATGGCGAGGCGTGTACCAACGCCTCCTGCCTGTTCGCACACCCCAGTCCCGCACTGGGCGGCGGCAGACCGCAGTTCAAATGGGTCGCGCGCGGCGCCATCTGAGCCGCACGGTGACGTCACGATTCGGTCAACGATGACGTCATGCGTCACCGATGACGTATCAGCTAGTCGGCTGTGGGAGCGACGCGGCCAGCGCGGACCGCGGGGTCGTGATCGCCTCAGGGTGTGGGGGTGGGGTCACTGCGGGTCCCTGCCGGTCGGCGCCTGAGCTACGGCCTTCTCAGCGTGATGTGGACCCCTGTGGACAGTGTGGATTGGTGGACAGTGTGGATCCCAGTGGACAGCGTGGACTCCAGTGGACGGTGTGGATGTGGAAACGTGGACAGATGAGAGGGCTAGTATCACGCGGATACCGTTTGGTGTTGAGTGGGTGTCAGTTTCGCGAATGATATGATCATCACTTCTCGTTCGACTATACTTTGAGAGCTGAGGTTGGGAGTTTCGCTGAGAGTTTCGCTGAGTGATGGGTGATTTCCGTCAAACCGTCCCCGTTACCATGTCGGACATAGGCAGCCGACTGGTCGCTATCTTCATGATGATTGGCTGTAAGTGAGTTCTCCAAGATGCGTTACCGAACGGCTATGGAATAGGGCGAGCGAGGGAGTAGTGGGGATGTCACTTGGGCGCCGATGTTTGGTTAGGGAAACGCACAGGGATACCGATCCACCGTTGATCTGTGGTGGGTTTTCTGCGCTGAAGCTGACGTTTGTGTAAGAATGGGTCAATGGTGCGGTGTTGGCACCGCGGCAGTTCCTTGGGAGTGGCCAGCGAACACTTGTCGTCACATTCTGTGAATTCGTCAGGTAATTCCGGTACTTAGCGGTCTGAGTGTGTGATTTCCCGTGCGAGAAAGTTCTGTAGTTGTTTTTGTGTGTTTGTCGTTTTTCTTTGGATAAGCTTTTGGTATCAATTTGTATTCTTTTGGTGGGGCAGAGATGCTCTACATCATTACCTCGATCTTCTCAGACTACCTAACTCATCTACGCTTGGATTTCGTTCATTGTAATTCCTCAGTCGGTGTTTATGGCTTCTCGAATGCTGATCAATGACATGACATTTGTGTTCCTTCTTCTTCCAGAAAAGGATAACTACGTTTCCTTATACCCATATATGTATATTTCATTGTGTTAGACACTTAACTTTGATGTTGAAAGATAATCCGGTAGCCCATGGAGAAATTGTATCGTTGAAAAGTTCCGAAAATATGAACTGTTTTGCAGATTTAGCGTTCTGGTGCTTATCGAGCCTGTCAAACACAGCGAGTGTCACGACGATGCCGACAAACGCATCTGGAACACAAACTGGCTACCGAGCCCGTGAAACACTACTTCCAAACAACACTAATAGGCCGTCACGAATGACTGAGGTGCCCGCACGCTGGGTGGAGTTATCAGGTGGATGTTTCGGCCCGCGGATGGGGTGCTTGATTGGGTGTCGAGCACCACTCACGAGACCCTTTTGTGGTTGTAGGGGTCGGATAGGTCAGCCAGAGGCCATGGAAGGGATTTGGGCGGATGGGTCCGCCGTCCGGAAACTGGGAATGAGGCCTTTCGAGGTAGACCCAAGGTGGAGCCGCGGTATTGAGAATGCTTGGACCCCGGCAACTTGCAAGATGACTATAGGCTGCAAGATTGCGCGTGACCTCGTCCCTGCTGGAATTAAGCACGCGGAGCCCGTTGGCGGCCTCATCCTGTCGCCAAGTCCAGGGATATTGTTCAAAACCATCCCAGTGCTTTTAGCACCGTGCATGCGTACCACGAGAGGTCGGGCCGCTCAGGGAAAGCTCATTTAGGGCATTGAGCTCAATAGCAAGCTCAGGTTCGAGCTGGTGAAAAGGGAGGGTGAACAAGGGAGGAAGGAGCACCCACCACGGAGGGGCCGGGATGCAGCAGAGGCCTTCACCTTGGGGTGGGGGAGGCCAAGGCCCAAGAGGAGGCGAGGGTGGAAGATAAGTGCTTTAATCGCGCGAACCTGGCGGAGTAAGTTTAAAGCATAATTAGCTTTTTAGTATTTTGCATTTTGCTGCATTCAATTTGTAACAAATTACCACAATAAAATAATTATATATTTGTGTTGAATCCATTAGGGCAAAAAAGTAACGTTAAAATCAATTATTCAAAATTAATTTATAGGTGGGGCTGCCTTCACCTTTCAATAAACCAAACCATTAAAAATTGCGTGACGCTTGGTGTGGACGGCGGTCAATGGTTCCGTTTATTTTGTAATATTTTTGGATCAAAGTTGCCGATCATCCATAAATTGTGGTAAGATTAGAAGAAGATTTTGTATTTTATCTTCGAGTTTAATATTCATTCTTTTGTGGAGGATTCATTAGAGTAAATTGCTGTTGGTGTTCTTACTGAGCCGAATGTGGCGCATCACCGCGGTTTTTCAGCTTGTTTTAAATTTTCTTTGAAGATTTTGGAGAATTATCGACAGAAAAGTATTGGAAATTTTGTTAAGTACTCAATTGTTTCAATAATTTAAAATGCCTTTTTGTGTCAAATTTGTAAATGCTGGTTTATTTCTGTCCACTTTTTTCAGACGTTTAGTGTTGGCTGTCGGACAATGCTGACAAGTTGGATTGGATAGTGTCATTTTCAATTATTCTTCAATAATGTGTTAAATTTTTCATGAGGCTGAGAAGTCTGGAGTGCCTCACTCACTGCGTGATCATTTGGTATTCTTACCTGGTATTCTTACCTGGTGGGGTTTCCTCCACCTCGCAGCTCAGGTCAGGCAAGGGATGAGGTAGAAGGAAACCCGTGTACAAAGGGACACGCCAGTTTTCAAGATGAACAATGCTTGGTAATGCTTGTTATAAAAATGGAATGTAAAAAAAAGTTGGCAAAGGATGTATCAGTTGGGCAAACTAGACTTTTGGAATCAAAATATGGAGGCATCAATAATTTGATTCTGGTGGGAGGAGCCATGACCAAATATGGGCATGGAATCAATTTTTTGATTCATTTTGGTACACATTTGACTTCAAATGTATCGTTACGGTCGAAAAAAAGGCCCATGACGGTGAGATTTTTCTTTAAAAAGGTAGAAAAATGTGGTAGGTTTGCAAAAAGTGTTACCTCAAAACTAAGAAATTGTCCCTTTGGCCTTGTGAATGGGAAAAAGACAGAGGCACTGTCCATCACGTAAAAGCTGTTTTGAGGAAATCACACTGTATGTTATTTTTGTATCATGAATCACATTCTAAACAATCAGTATTTGTGTAAAATGGCAAAATGAAATTTTTAAACCCCTTATTATCATTGTTATAGTGCTTTTATATTTATTATATTGTTTTTACCTGTTGCTTCAGTTTTTGTATTCTTGACATTTAAAAATTGTGAATTGTTATCAAATGTAGTGAAGGTAAAGTACAACAATGCTATAGGTATCTGTTGTGGTGCTGAGGATACCACTAAATGAGAATAATAGCAAGATAAATGCTGTATTCTTGCGAGTCATTGTTGCCTATCTGTTAACATTACCTGTGAATCAAAATAATGATTAGCCAGCTGATGGGGAATCAATATTATGATTATCTGTTTAAAGTGAATCAATTCCTTGATTGCCTTTTACTACCTATAGAATTCAAATTGTTATGATAGGAGCAATATTATTTTGCTTAGGAGATAGTTCCAGCATTTCTGTTCAAGATCAGGCATGCTCCTTCTTGAAACACTCTCTTATTTTTATGTGATTGGTAAGTTAGAAATGGTCTGCATTTATGCCCAAATATGGTCATAAGGAATCAATCTTTTGATGCCTCCATATTTTGATTCCAAAGGTCTAGTTTGCCCAACTGGTTTAGAATTTGAGTATTCACATGCCGATGTAGTCAGCATAGTTTTTTTACAATTGTATTCTTGTAGCATAGCTTTTAAAAAGTTAAGGCAAAACATGTGGTTGATTGTTACCAGCACAGTTTTCATCAGGATTCAGTTAAAAATGCATTTTTGGCCTTGAATTCTGATGATGAGCTCAGAGTTGTGAATCAAATAATGAATAACCATCTTTTTGTGCCCAAGCTTTTTTGAAATCTATAAGGATAAGGCTTCAATTCTTTCAAAACATAATCCTAGCACAGCTAGTCTCTAAGAAACCTGAAAAATATGACTTATGAGCATGGAATGAAAGTTCCTACCTACATACACTAAGGATGTGTTAGAAACTTTCAATATTTTTTGATGATTTTCACACATAAAACAGTAGTGTTAGACACTGCCACCTATCGCCACCAACACTTAACCCTACCCAACCACCCTACCTACCCATGAAGACAAACTGCTATTAGCAATGATAAATTGCACCTATCTTATTCCCCTCCATCTTGGCTCAAGACTGTCTTTTTTATACCTCTTCAATTTTTATTTTTATCACTCTCATTGATTCTCTGTTTGTCTGTCTGCCTCCCTGTCTCTGTGTCTGTCTCTTAGTTTAGTCTGTCTGTTTGCCTCAGCTGTCTGTCTTAATATCCATCTTTCTCAGTTTTTTTGTCTCTCCATCTTTCTCTGCCTCTGTCTGTTTGTCTCTTCACTTTTTTTTACTCATCTCTCTCTCTCTCTCTCTCTCTCTCTCTCTCTCTCTCTCTCTCTCTCTCTCTCTCTCTCTCTCTCTCTCTCTCTCTCTCTCTCTCTCTCTCTCTCTCTCTCTCTCTCTCTCTCTCTCTCTCTCTCTCTCTCTCTCTCTCTCTCTCTCTCTCTCTCTCTCTCTCTCTCTCTCTCTCTCTCTCTCTCTCTCTCTCGCTCTCGCTCTCGCTCTCGCTCTCGCTCTCGCTCTCGCTCTCGCTCTCGCTCTCGCTCTCGCTCTCGCTCTCGCTCTCGCTCTCGCTCTCGCTCTCGCTCTCGCTCTCGCTCTCGCTCTCGCTCTCGCTCTCGCTCTCGCTCTCGCTCTCTCTCTCTCTCTCTCTCTCTCTCTCTCTCTCTCTCTCTCTCTCTCTCTCTCTCTCTCTCTCTCTCTCTCTCTCTCTCTCTCTCGCTCTCGCTCTCGCTCTCTCTCTCTCTCTCTCTCTCTCTCTCTCTCTCTCTCTCTCTCTTTCTTTCACTCTCTCACTCACTCTCTCCCTCTCCCTCCCTCCCTGCAGATTGCAGAGTGAAGATCAAAGTGATGGGGTGGGATATTATTAGGGTTGACTGCCTGGGAAATGAGTGGTTGCTTTTTTCAAAGTGGGATGGAGTGGACAAAAAAATGCATATCAATATATTGGCAAATCTCTGCAAGAAACAAAGAATGAGGGACATGGACTTTATCACCTTTTGACATAACTTGCTGAGTCATAGAAATGAAGCTGCTGCTGTAAAGAGATGTCAGATGAAAGAGAAGTAGTGGGATGAAGTATGAACATTTCACAATGCAGAACTGGTGCCCCAAACATTTGTGATGGAATCAACGGAAGGCTGAGCCCACTGTGGTGGATGTCTTACTGACCCCACTCATTTGCAAACAATACCTTGCTATTTGAAAAAAGCTGATGATAAATGATCTTTCTCATGTTGTAATGCAATTGTCACAATGTTTTTACAGACCTGCAAGAGCATCATCTGGTACAGCCTGAATTTATTTGTCGACTGCTGGCCGGCAGCTATTTCGGGCTGCTGTGATGCTTCTAACCTAGTTCATTTACGTATGTGCCAGTCAACCATTTTTTTGCCTGCTTCCTGACCGCCGTCTCTCTCCCTGGCAGAGGCCACCCCCTCACCCCAGTCGGCCGGATGAGTGGCGGCCAGCGTGTGTTCCTGGTGGATGGCCAGGCCGTGTACCTGGAGGGCGATGGGGACGTCACGGAGGATGTGCTGCAGCAGGCGCTGTCTCAGCTGGCCACTGGAGGGACGCAGCCCGCGGCGGCAGCAGAGGAGGAGCCGGAGAGCGAGGCCGACACGCCGAAGGCCGACCAGACCATGGGTGAGCTGCGCCGAGTAGCGGGCTGGTTGTGTTTTGTTGTGTGGCGCGGGGTTCTGCCTAGCTTAGTGTGTTCTTTAGGCATCTGATGATTATTTCAGCTGGATAAATAGTTATTTTGTTTGTATCAAGATGCAATGTCAGCTATGCAATCAGCTATGCGTTGGGTGGTTACAGCAACTTATCGAAAGTGCTAATTTGTTGAAGTATTTGCATGCATTTTAGCATGTGAACTTCGGCGTTTTCGTCACCCTGACACTCCCTTTGTGTGTGGCCCGCAGACTCTGAGGAGGGCATCGTCCTGAACGCGGGCGAGGACGGAGACGAGCAGGAGGGCGTGCTGGCCATCCTGCAGGACGAGACGGGTCAGCAGCAGACGGTCCGACTGACCCCCGACCAGGCGGCCGCGCTCGGTATCGACTACGAGCAGCTAGTGGCCGCCGCCGCCGCCGGAGAGGTGCGTGGGAGAGGAACAAGGTGGGAGGGTGGTAGAGGTAAAATCACTGCTAGGTGGCACAAGATGTATTTTCAATTGATCGGTTATTAGGTAGGTAGATGCTGAATTGACGTTAAACCATTCGTCGTTGGTAATTGTTTGTGAAAGTAGCGTGAACGCTGTTATTTCCTTGATTTGTACATATTGAAACTTGCAGCATATTCTCTCAGTAGTTCTGTTAATTCATACAGTAACGACTTCCGTCCGCAAATCATTGTTCCACATCCCTCAACCACCCCGCCGCTCTCCACCCCAGGAGGAGGCGGCCGCCACTCCGGGTGAGCCGGCGGCGGCCTCCGAGTCGGCGCCGGCCGAGCAGACGTCGGCCCAGGAGGTGGCCTCACTGGCCACGTCCGTGGTCCTCGACCTGAACGAGTCGCGGCCCAGCCTGGTCAACCAGTCCCAGGGTGGCGACAAGGTGAGCTGCAAGGGAGTCATTATTTCGAAGCAGGGCTGCGGAGTCGGAGTCGGAGTCGGAGTCGGTCGGAGTCGACAGTTGTGACCGGAGTCGGAGTCGGAGTCGGAGTCGATTTTAGAAACCCGAGCCGGAGTCGGAGTCGGAGTCACCGAAAATCTGTCGACTCCGCAGCCCTGCTAGGTCTGCGGAGTCGGAGTCGGGAGTTGGAGTCGGTCGGAGTCGACAATTCTGCCCGGAGTCGGAGTCGGAGTCGGAACTGGTTTTTGAATGCCGGAGTCGGAGTCGGAGTCGGAGTCGCCGAAAATCCATCGATTCCGCAGCCCTGTTTCGAAGTTTTATGTACGGCTAATATTCTAAGAGGATCATAGTCTTGCATTTTGTAGCATAATTGTTTGTTCTCATAGTGCTCGCTGTCGTTTTTTTCTAACGATCACAACTTTGTGTTCATTAGCTGTCAATATCTCTCCAGCCAACATCTCCCCTTATATCACGTCCCCATCTAACTTTCCCTCCCTACCCAGGTGACGTACACGTTCGAGGTGGTGGACAAGGACGCGGCAGCGGGGACCGGCTCCGGTCAGCGGTCGGCCCCCGCCGGACAGCAGACCGGTCTGCTCACCAAGGCGCGCGACATCATGGTGCCCCGCGTGCGGACCGGTGACGCCCGGCAGATTCAGCAGCAGATCCACAAGACGGCCGCGCAGGTGGGGTGACTGCGAACGAGACAAGAAAAGAGGAGGGGTCATTGTTGTGGTAGCTGGAACGAGGGAGTGTATAATAATTGAGGAGGGCAGTGGATTGCCTGAGGCGTGGTGATTACCAGTGGAACAGAAATCGGAGTTCAGAGTGGATGTAGGCTTTACTTGTCTTTAAGCTATTTCAGCCAGACATTTTACAGCGCTGTTAGATCGTTTACTCAATCGGTGGCCATGCGAAAACTCCAATCTGTCAACTTGACCTGCCAGGCCATGACATGCCTTCCGCCACGCAGGTATTGCGTACCAACACTCCATCCGCCCCGGTGCCGCGGGACCCGATCACTGGCGGCTACATATCACCGGCCACACTGAAAAAGGGCCCGGTCTACAACACGGGGCCGAATGCGCAGCAGAACAACCGGCGGACGATCATCAACACGGCCAGCACCGTGCAGCAGGTTGGTGGAAGGACTCGGCTAGTCGCTCATCAGGACGATAAAATGGGGCAGTGAGGCTGACTGGTAGGGCTCCTCAGGGCGTTCCAAGGACGCAGCCATGAGCCACGTTACAGGAGTCAGTCAGTCCTCGAGTCTATGGTAGTGAGGGTTCGCTTGAGTTGATTGGCGATGACTTTATTTGTCCGATATTTTCCGAGTTTCGTCATTTCCGTAGGCGCTGAAGAGGCTCATGTACACGACTCCGCCTTCATTGTCTTGTCACCCACACCCCCAGGCCTCTGACGCCTCCCCCCCCCCACCCCCTCTCACAGAAGGCCCAGTCGTCGGCCTCGGCCTCGATGCCCACCGTATCGGCCACCTCGGTATCTGGCGACCCGTCTGCCGCGGACCCGGACGAAGACGTGGACGACCTGCCCGTCATCTTGACGCCCGTCTCGGGCTCGGAGCCTCTCCCCGACTACATCGAGCCGCGGCCCGGCATGAAGATCCTGGTGCGGCCCCTGGACATGGCGAGCGTCGGCGGCGGCGACGGGCCGGCGCCCGCGCGGCCAGTCGGTTCGTCCGATAACCCCATCCAGCTGGTGCAACAGGGCAACACGTTCAAGTCGCTGCAGCCGCTGAGTCATGAGCAGCTGAAGCAGATAGCCAGTGTGCTGCAGCAGAGCAGGCTGAATGTGCCCAGCAACTCCAAGAACAGCCTGTATGATGCCGATACCAACACGAGGATCGTCTACAGGTGGGTCGTAGTGGAACTAGAAAACCAACTAGGGAATGTGCTTTGGTTGAGTGAAGAACAGTAATATCTCAACAGATGCGATCAGTTACGATTAATCAAGAATCGTTACAAACGAATTTAAACGATTACGAACAAATCGTTCGACCAACCAACCTCAAGCTTCGCCAATTTATTTGGCGATCCGTCAAATGGTCGTCATTTTTAACAGAGTGGGGTGGCCTGCTGTGTCACCTCTCGCTAACTCTCCCTCCATTTCCCGTCTATCACAGGGTGGTATATCCTGAAGACGTAGGTCGTGGCGGCGGCCGCGGTCGGGGTCGGCGGGGCCGGGGTCGCGGTCGTGGCAGCCGGGGCAGCTACACCAGGAAGGCGGACGATGCCGACGTCGACTGGTCACCGGAGCTCAGCAGGGTACGTCAGACTACATGGGGGATAGATGAAGGTTTGTCTGGCTGAGTGCTAGGCGCTGATGAAACGAACACACCGGGGACTGGATGTCGGGATTTTATGCCTGCGGGGCGAATTAAATCATATTTTGGATGAAGTAGTTTGTAGAAGTCGTCAAAGAGGGCGGGGATGGTCGTCTGGTGTGTCGTTTATTGTTTGTTTCTTGTTTTACTCTGTGATCGCACTCGGAATGGTTGTGAGGACTCATGAGGTAACAATAAGCTGTTAACTGTGAATTTGTCGTTTGTCTCTGGTATGAGAAGGCGGAGCGGAAGCGTCTGGCCACTAAGACTCGGACGGGCCGGGTCTCCAAGCCGCCCAAACACATGGTCAAGGACTACAGGCGCTTACACAGGTCAGTGCAATAGCTTGAGCAAGAACACGGTAAATTGCCCACCCGACTGGTAGGTTATTCAACCGGAAACGAATCTACCGCTTGGTCCATTTGAGATGAAGACGTAGCAGGGGACGGTCGCTGTGCGTCTACCGTAGTCAAACGAGTGTGGGACGGGACGCATAGTTGTCATAGACAGGTCTGTTGATATGCGTACTTTTCATTACCGTGAAATGCTCATCAATTTGTCCGGTGCTGGTAATTTCCATAATATACCGACGCGCCCCGTTGTTTCCAGGCTGGATTTTAACGAGCCGGACCTGGACGATTCGGACGGCGGATATTCGGAGTGGGACGAGGCGGCCGGTGGCGGGGACGACGAGCTGACCCAGGACAGCACTGAGCTCAGCAACGGTAACGGCCGAGCAGGGAAGATACGGGTCTCTAACACGGACTGGCAGGATGCGGGTCTCTACACGGGCTGGGAGGACACGGTTCTCTAACACGGGCTGGCAGGACACGGGTCTCTAACACGGGCTGGCAGGACACGGGTCTCTAACACGGGCTGGCAGAATACGGGTCTCTAACGCCGGCTGGGAGGAATGAGGATAGAACTGCTCGCAGATCAGTCAGCCGGCACACGCTTTTGTTAAATCGATATGGTTCGGTGAGCTATGAAGCTAGAAGTTCTGTAACATATAGCTAATTTTTGTTTCTTTTTTATTATTGAACTTCTTTTACTCAGTCTCCAGCTGTGATACTGGACGTTTGCGCTAGAGAAATGTTAATTTTTACATCCCACCGTGTCCTGTTCACTCACTTCTTTTCTCGCTGTCAGACGCGTCGGCGGCGGGCTCGGACCGACTGGAGGCCTCGCTCAGCACTCCGGCGTCCGAGTCCAAACCCAAGCGCACCCTGCACCAGGCCATCCGCGAGCGGTTCACGTGCCGCACGTGCAACACGCTCTTCATCGGCTACATGCGGCTCGAGGGACACTTTGCCAAGTTCCCCGACCACGAGCGGCCGCGTAAGTACGATTGGCTAGTGACTATGGAGTGGTGCCTTCCCCGGCGGTCCATAATGTACCGATAAAGCACAATATGGAGACCTTTCTCAATGTGAAAAATGTTTTGTTAAAGGAGGATATTTCGAAGGGCTGAGCTGCTAGAACACTATGACCACAGCCAGCTGTATGTACTGAGTGGGGTATCGGTATTCTTAGGTCAGCTGAAGACCACCGTTCTGAGACGTTCCTGAGATCCAATGATTACGAGCGAGCGAGCGCAGCGAGCGAAGTGAGTCTTTTCAATATAACGGAAAAATCTCAGTATGAGCGGCCCGGCCCGGCCCGGCCTGTAACGCTTTTGAGAGGCTTATATCTCAGCAACCGCTGGACTGATTGGCCTGCGGTCTTTTTTGTTGGGTAGCCCCATCCCTTCTACCCCGTAATTGACTACTTTTGATACATCTCAGTGACCGTCGTGGCACGTGCCACGTGAAAAGTCAAGGGTGTTCAAGCTGTTTTGCAAAAGTAGTGATTTTGAGAGGCTCATATCTCAGCAGCCGCTTGGGCGATTGACTTGCGGTAATTTTTATAGGGTAGCAGCATCCCTTCTACCCAAAATAGGATACTCTCGATGCATGTGGGTCACCCCCAGTGCACGTGCAAAATACAACAATAAGAGATGCCAAATTTGTTCCCATTTCAGTAACTCGGTAACTCTGGGGCGATTTCGCTGAAACTTAGCATACAGGTAGGCACCCACCAGGCAATGCATTCCCATGTGTTGCGGTTAGGGTGCTACTGCACGTGCGCACGTGGGCAGTAATCGCCACGCCATGTGTGGATCGCCCATGATCGTAAATACAAATACAAATACACGTGCAGGGGGCGTTTCCAGATCTCGAGAACGGCTGGGCCAATTGCGCTCAAATTTGGTACACGGTTTGGGACCAGTTAGTAGGGTGCCGTGCAAAAGTCATTTTGGACCCCGTTTGCACGTGCGCACGTGCAGAATGCCGCTTCCAGATCTCAGGAACGGCTGGGCCGATTGCGTTCAAATTTGGCACACCGCTAGCGACCAGTTAGAAGGGTGCTTTGCGCAAGCCCGTTGGAAGCACCCTCTCGCCCTTCCGCACGTGCAGGGCTCACTATCTCGCTCGCTCGTTCTTCGCCCAAAAGGCGTTTTACTGGTTATTTTCAGTTTCGTTTCGCGCACTGCATGTTTCTTATGATATCGACATTTGACATGGCTCTGGGTGCCTTCTAACGACGCTGTTTTTTGTTTACAGCGTACGTACCTCCGAAGGGCGGCACTCCGTTCCACAACTACCATGCCGGTGAGTGAGACCTGCAAAGATGTGGAAGAAGACGGTCCATTTTTACCGAGGGGCGCTACATTACACTTATGAGTCAGAACTGCGGGTGATTACGCCCCCTGGGTCCTAATTTCTTTAAGCTTGAGGTCCAGGGACTTCAAGCTGCCTTATTGTCAAGCTACCTGATAGCCGATATCTTAAGATACCGGGTATCTTATTGTCAAGTGTCTCGATTCTTGATTTGTTTATACGGAACACAGCGATTTTGATATTCTATGCTTTTGCTTTGGCAACTATGGGCACTGCACACCAAACTCCCATCACATCGCAACGTTCACCGGCTCCTTTAGTGTGATCTTGCTTCATAAAAGCTCTTGTGTTTCTGGCTGCACGTATCACTGAGAACACCGATCTGCCCCGACCGACCACCCCGCCAGCCTGCGCCCCTCTGACAGTGCGCTCTGGTCGTGTTGCAGGCTCCAACCCGAGAGGTGCCCGCGGCAGGGGCCGGGGCCGGGGCAGAGGCCGGCCGCCACGCCATGCCTACGGTTATACACCGGTGTCGGCTGGACCCAGCGCCAAACGGCTGCGGCTAGAGGAGGTGAATGGAGGTTAAGTGGGGCGCGGGACATGGTAGTGTGGCCGGCAGACTGCTGCTTATAGTGAGAGATACATTTTTTGCAATTATTCAATGGGACAGCGAGGATGTGAACTTTGTCAAAGCGTTGCCGAAATCAACAGGCTAAACTCCTCAAGTTAGGGAAATTGTATTGTACTGATCTTTAAGCAAGGCGTTTGAATCGCTGAATTATGTAAATTAACTATCCTTATTGGATTGCCTATTTGGCCTTATCTTGAGACACTATAATATGAACTTACACTCGCTGCTCCAAACCCTTAGTGCGCCCAGTTCCATGACGTCCCCCCCCCCCCCCCCCCCACAGCCGGAGTTTCCGGCCGCGCGGCTGGTCTCCCAGCTGGAGGCGGCCGCCGGCGGCAGCGTACACCGGCTCTGTGACAGTATGTCAGCAGTGCTGGACCAGTTCAGGGAGCGTGTCCGCTCGGCTGTGACCCCCCTGCCGGCCCGGCAGCGGATAGGGGTGACCGCCACCAGTCGAGCCGTGGATGGACCCGTGCTGAAGGTACGGGGTGGCGATAGAGCACGGGGTTGGCAGGTGGAGAGGGGGTAAAACGAGGGCTGGTGAGGAGAGGTAAGGAGGAAAGGATACGAATAAAATCACGGATGGGGATCATACCGATAGAGGAGAGAATGTATGCCGAAATAATTCATTTTGAGTACTCGTTTCCTTGAGAGACGTCTTGAGAGGCGTCTTATGTACGGTTTGCGTTTTGCAACGAAATTTAGGTATAGCCGTGTGGATAAGATCGCTGCCTCCACCGGCTTGCACTTTCATGTAGGACGTAGGTTTTCATGTAGTTCTCCCGTTGAGTCAGAGTCCGTTCTGCTGGTTTCAGGTGGACGAGGAGCGCGCGTCGCTGACTGGCCTGCCGCTGGGCACCTACGTGCTCTGGCCCGTGGCCCCGGAGCCCGACGACGACCCAGGCGAGTCCATGGGTGATGTGGGGGAGGACGCCGCCGACTCCCCGGCTCCCGCTGAGCCGGCCTCCGTTGCGTCCCCGTCGGCGGCCGCCGCGCTGGGTGAGGCTGTGATGGCCGCAGTGTCAGACGAGGGGTCGCCGCCGGCGGCCGAACACTCAGAACAGGCCTCGCCGAAGGGAGCGACGGCTGGAGGGGAGGCGACGGAGGCGGGTGTAGACGACACACCGGTGACAGTGAAGACGGAGGACTCAGAGCCGGTGGAAGAGGCCAGCACGGCGCCGAACCCGGAGCCGGCCCCGCCGGTGGAGAAGGACGTTCTCTCCGCGGCTGAGCTCTCGCAGGTAGCCCTCTCTGCCACTGAGGGCGCTCACATCCCTCCCCCAGCCGCCGAGAGCGCGCACATGCCGCCCCCGGCTGATGTGAACGCGCCCGTGCCGCTACCGTCGGAGCCGCCGCCGGCGCCGCTGCCAACTACCAACGGCGGAACGCTGCCGCTCTCGGACTCCGAGGCCGCACACCGGGCCGTCTCTGACGTACTGGATGAGTTTGTGGATGGTCTAGTGGACGCGCCTGAGTACCCATTCACCGGGGAGCCAGTGTCGGAGATCGATTCGACGCAGCTACAGCTGAAGATTACGGAAACGGAGACGTTGGCGACGACGGCGACGGGTAACGGTGACATGCCTTTGGTGGGAGATGATCGGTAGTGGTGGTGTGAAACCGTCCAGCATTCTCATCCATACTCTCTGTCACACATCGTCGTGCGCTTTCATGCGTTCCCATACGTCGTCTATCATTCAGGCCGTTAGACGGTGCCCGGTAGTGATCTACCTTTCCGCCAGTGATGTATCAAGAGGCTAGTCGCCAGCTATGGCGGCCGATGTAAGGACCAGGGATCTCTCAGCCGTTGCTGTGAGCCTCCATTGCCTTTTTGTGCGTGAGTGTTCGAAAGTGTACGCTGTGACTGTGAATACCTCGCTGGCTCGCGTGTGCTCCTGCCAGGCAAGGAGTCTGTGCGGGCTCCCAGTTCAGAGACACATTGGGACAGACATGATGGACTTGAACTGCGGAACAGTCATTCTGCAAGCTGTTGATGACGTTATTCCCACAGTATTTCTCATATTCTCATGCAGGGATCATCCGAACGCATGATTACTCAAACGATCACCTACCCATCCTCGCTACTTTCGAGGAAAACTTGACGAGGGATATTTTCGGTCGCCGTTCCATGCTCGCTTCAGTGGACGAAAGATGAGCTATTCCATGTCTATTTCCATGGATGTTTCCCTCATTGAGCCTGTCGCGTAGAAGATGTGATTTGTCGCAGTACAATCCAACGAGTCATTGTTGGGGGCATATCACTGTGTTACCGCGCTTCGGATTTGTGAATATCTTGCGAGCTTGGCATTCCGGTGCGATTCTGCCTTGTGAGGTTGTGCTTCGTGTTTGTTTTTGAGTTGAGAATCGTTTTATATAAAGTGAAATTTGACTAATGGTGTGTATCTGATGGGATAAAACAAATAAGTCTTATTTAAGAAAAGGCTGTGCAAATGTGAATCATAACCGTCGTGTCCGTAGCTATCAGAGTGGAGGAAACTCATAATCCTCGACCTTGCATGCCAATTTCTTTCATGTGATGAGTATTTCCTACAGTTTTGCAGACATCCCTAGACGTTACAGTGCTCATATCACAGCTTCCCTCTTCAATATGACACCTGTTGAGTACTGGCCTATGTATTTATCACGGGTGATATTGGATATGGCAAGACCGCCGTCCCACATTGGACCATCTGATCTCGACTTTCTGCCCCGTCACGGTGTATCGTGAGGCCGATACCGGTATCGGAAGGTCAGATAACGTGCTCTCAAGTCCCCTCGTACGGACACGCCGTCTCCGGGGCGATGTCAAGTGTCGGGACTGCCTGCCCCGCCTCGATAGCGACATCGATAGGGGCCGAGGACAGTGGGCCTGTTAGTGATCCGAGGAGCGCGTGTACTCGATTAGTAATCTCTGAACTCGGTCACTTTTGGCGTTGGAGCGATATGGGCTAGCGACTGGCGCTTAAATGGCACTCAGCTCCGATACCACCTCTCGAGAATGTGGAATGGTTTTCAGCGATGGCTGGGAGTCGCGTAAAATGGATATTGGCATTCTCTCAGCCTCACATATGATATGTACTTTCTTTATTTAGTTGCACTCAAATTCAGCAGCGTTGTATTTTTCTGTCAACTTTGTTTTTCGTCACGAATGGCCGGTCACACTGTTTGCATCAGTTTGTAGAAACTAGAAAGCCTCCCAAGCTAACTTCACCCGTCGTTTATTCATAGGTACGAACGGAACGTAACAACTAACACACAATATACAGAGGAGTATTCCTGCCGGGACTAGGCCCATTCTAGCCACGACCCGATATGGTTTTGTAAGAGTATCAAGAGAGGTTGCTGTCTCACAGACCTTGACCGGCTGCCCCTGCCCGCCTTGGTCATTAATGAGGTTCGGTACTGGCTAAGTCCTTCCTGGCACCTTTGCGGCTCTTTCAGGAGATTTGACTTGACGGCGCAGACCGTTTGGTAACATCTGCCCTCAATCCTGCTGATCAAGCTCAGTAACAAACTTGAGATCGGTGCCCTTCAGTTTCTGTTCGAGCCACTTGTCGAACTTTTCCGTCATCTCGGGCGTGAAGTGGTTCTTCCAGTCGCCCGTCTTGCCCTTCCTGATGAAGTTGCCACGGTCCTTGTGCATCACACCCTGCAGCTTGAAGTGCTCCATGTTGACGTACGGGTTCTTCTTGAAGTTGTCGATGTGCAGGTGCTCGGCCAGCTTGTTCACCTGCTCCTCCGAATAGTCCTTACCGAGGAACTTGGCCACCTTGCGGATCTGCGACTTGAGGTCGCGCTTCATGTCCTCGTAGAAGATGAAGCACATGTTGGGGTGGTGTCGCAGGTTCCAGGCCTCGATCATGTGATCGATGCACGGGTTCAGCTTGATGTTGCCGTCCATGAAGTGCTGCATGAAGAGCTGGAAAAGTGAAGGAGGTTAGCGGGCAAAGTGAATGGTTGATTGCCTTGTAAAATTGATGGAAAGATGAACCGACGTAAGATTCAATCGATATTAATCGACCCGTATATCGTTAAGTAGGTCTTTCTGATGAAGACGAGGAAGTTCAAAAAAATGTAGGAATAATTTCTCTCAGGCACCTACATCTTTACCTGCATTTTGTCAATATTTGTCTAACCTTTTATCGATCGAAAATTATGTACGAGTAACATGCACAAATGGCGACCATTATTTCGGAGTTTGCAAGGCCATTCATTGGCTTGTCGGTACAGACCTCCAGGTTTCCGGTGAAGCCGTGCGTGGCCATGAGCCGGTTGTGGTTGTAGTAGGAGACACACACATCCTTGGGGTTCCTGGCCACGTACACCACCTTGCAGACGTCCAGGAGACGTGGGTTGTTCATCGACAGCGGCAGGTGCGACTTGACGAAGCGGCGCGCGCCCGTGTGCGCGTTGCCGGCCATCGAGTTGGTAGTGATGGTTCGCTTCTCCGGGTCCGCGGGCAGGAACTTCCTGATGCCGTCCTTGTCGACGATGGCGGGCGCCTCCGGGTACAGCCACCTGTGGGATAAGAAACGGTCATCCTTCGGGCCAGTACGGCTAGTCGGTCTCTGGAGGTTTAGTTAACATTTACAAGAGTGAAATGAATTGACGGCTGGTGTCGACTCTTGAGTTGAAACCAGTGAACGAATTGAAAATAAATGTTGAACATGTTTAGCTGAACTACCCTGGCGCGTATTTTCTTCCAAGTAACGAAGTGGTTGTGCTTCCAGACTCAGGCACTCGGTTCTGGTGTTTTTTTTTTCTTCCAGTCATCTTATTGAGCAAACTGTCCTCCCGGTCACCCGTTGTTTTCAGCCTGATCTTTACACTCCAGCCGGGTCTCTCCCCCCCCCCCCAATATCCGCAGTGCTCACCTGTTGGGCAAGAGCGGCGTCTTGGCGCCCTCATAGTCGAGATCATTAGCCAGCAGCCAGATCATCTCCTGGGCCCAGGTGGTACCGCTCTTGGGCGGCGTCATGATCCACACATCTCGCTCCTCCAGCGGGTAGTTGTAAATGTCCTCGAGGAGGTCGTCGGTCACCTTGCCCATCAGCTTGAAGCCCCAGTGGTTGCAGGCGGCCAGGCCGCTCGGCGTGCCCTCGAAGTCGCGCTTCATCTGCTCCTGAAGCTCGCCCTGCAGCGGGCGGATCTTGTACGGGTACGCCAGCCGCTTCTCCTGAGACATCTGGGGAAATGGGACGGTATATTGTAAGCGTCATCTTCATCGTCATCATCATCATCATCATCATCATCATCATTCCGACCTCCCGTCCACAACAGACTACCGTAGGTACTGCTAATGTAAGATTTGGTTATTTCAGTTTCATTTTCAGTTTTATTTAGTCATTTCAGTTATAGCCCACTCAGCATATTCCCAGGAAAATATCTAGCTGCAGTTATATGTCAGTAAGCTCACCTTGTCGTTTTTAGTAGTGCCGGCCGGTCTAAGAGCACCTGTCCCGCCACTCCGCCCTCTCTCGGTACCTGTGTGACACCTCTGACTCTGCCGTCCCGGCCCGGGCAGTCTAGTGCCGCCGATATGATAATATGCATACCACGTGACTTCATGGGCACGGCTATGCACAGAGCACGTGACCGCTGTGGGCCATAGACGGCTCTCAGTCGAGAGGAGCTGATAGGTGGGAACAAAAGCGAGATTAGAAGTTTAGGTTCGTGTCACCTTTGCCCTGATGCTGGGTAAAACCGTATGAGTGGCTTTTGTCACATAAGTGTAATACTTTTATACTGAAATTTAAATATGTAGGTACTTACTGCTTATGCTTAATATGTAATGTAAATATGCAAGTGCAAGTAGGTAGTCAGGTATATGACATGATAGTGTATATCATAACGGCTCGTACTATCACGGATTTGATTTCTATCGGGCTGCCGTCCACACGCGTTGAAAAAGTCACGCCTCTCCAAGCGACGTATATTGGTTATCTGCCCGCAGTAAGGTGGCAACCAGCAACACCACATTAGTAATTACCGATGCAAGGCATGTTAACAATTAACAAATCAAATTTACTTGCAAGCCCGTTCAGGAACGACGCAGGATCCGACCTGGTAACCCGTCGTTGCAGTATGTTATGGGGACCAGGCGGAGGCCGCGTTTGGATTTCAATCAATGGAAAAGAGGCTTTTTACGGGATGTATCAACATTTAGCACAAGACGGCCTTGAAGATGGCCTCAGATCTCTAAAATGCATCTGATTGATATTCGGTATAACGTTAGAAGTGGCGCTATTTTACGCATCACCGTCCTTCAGCGTTGATGGTTCCATGCAGTCGGCTGCTGTGCCGGAGGGCTGCCGTGCTGTGCGGGTCAGTCTAACAGTACGGCGCTCGTCTGTCCTGCGGCACAGCCTGTCAGCCTATCCCCCAGGCTACGAGCTTGGCTCCGCGGGCGGCGTTCTGGTGCGATTGTTGGGTGGTAAATACCGGGTGGCCCAAAAAAACGTTCCCAACTTTAAATCAATATTTCTCAGAAAGTGATAAAGATACAACATTGAAACTTCCAATAGTCAATGCGGCATATATTTTCAGTAAATGGTATGATTTTTATGTTATTCGGTCAATTACTTTTTAAATGGTTCGTGTTTCTAGCATGCCATGTAAAAATTACTTTTTTGCTCAGATTTTTACTAAAAGATATGAGTGAACGGGCCACTTCCATCTCGGCACCACGGCCTGCAGCCATGACTGCTACTGGCAACTAGTCTCGTTGATGGTTCAGGCCTCAGGGTGACACATTCCCTCTAGCTTTTTTTCCTTATTCGGTCGATAACTAGTTGATCTTCTTGAAGGGAGGGCGATCAGCAGTAACCCATGCACCGTGCCACTCCTGCTCGAAACAGGACTTGTTAAAACAAATGGCATCCATTAACACTATTTTGGCTCAGTATTTGAATATTTGGCACATAAGTGGGAAAAAATATTTAAAATAACAACACACGTTCTGGTTTCATTCACGTGTTCTATTTTTTCATTCTTTTTTCGAACATGGTACGTCTAAGCCAATCATTACTGCCGTTCAACATCGGCAAAAAAAGCAAAAACGTGTTACTTAATTCAACATAAGATTGCTGGCTTGAAAATGATGTTACAGTGTTATAATTTGGGATATCAATGCGCAAAGAAGTGACGCTACCTTGATGAAAATTTTGGCTCGTTATTTGCACTCGAATTTGAGATATAGGCCTCCAAAGTTCGGAACGTTTTTTTTGGGCCACCCGGTATGCGCATGAGCGTGACGATGGCAGTTTCGTGATATTCGAGGTTCGTTGTGTGAAGTTTATATATCGCGATGTTCGTATCTAAACAATATTTTTCGTAACTTGTATGTAGTACCTAGTGATACCTAGTGATATAGATACAGGGGGCATGCAATGAGACGGTCATAAACCTCCCCCTTTCAAAAAAAAAAAACAAAGAAGCAAACGATTTGCATCCAGCACTGTCCAACTGTATTATATAGATTCACATCTTGCATTCCATTGAACATGATGAGATGGACACCTTATTCCGATGTCCAGTCCACGGACCAGCAACAACGTTTGGCCTAAAGCTGGTCATTGCTAGCGCCGTTAGCACGATATATATTTATAGTACTCTGGCACGATCACTTGCTTCACATTATCGTAAGACATCGCCTCACTATAGAGCTCTTTTAACTTTGGCAAACAATTGAATTGCCCTTTTATACTACCGAAAAGTGAAACGCTTGATTCTACCTATCGCATTTCGACCATAAGTGGAACGTGAATGGAAACGTTAAAAAGACTTTCTACAGTATAACATGATAGCAGAATTGGATAAAAAAAAATGTTTCTATACTGCATGTAAAACTGAAAGTCGTCACAACAACCCGGCGATATGTTTGCGATGGCTGATTCGAACGTGCTGTCCTGTCCGTCTATTTATCGTGGTAGAGTTCCATTCACAATTATTCGTATCACCCTGCGTTACACGCACGCTTTTTTATGTAACACTGCACTCGGCTAGGCACCTATGGCGCCCAACAAGCTCACTTTGTTATGCGTGTCGGGCTGTCCACACATAAAACACAACTTATCCCGCCAACACAGCACCAGAAAGCTCAGTATCTGGCTGAAGCTCGTTTGTTGTCCTGGCTCGGACCTCCCGCAGAGCTCGGTCCGTAAAAGCTGCTTCCCTCCTCTCTGTAGATGTCGCGCCGGTCAGCCGAGACCGGGCCCTCGCCTATAAACGACAGGCGTCCCTGGTGTGAGCCTGCCGCGCAACTCTCACCGCCTCTGCGAGAGGGGTCACCCAGCAGCGGCTGGTAGGCGTCCCGTGGCACCCCCTGGTGCTCCCTGACCCTCCACAAGGGATCGGTATGTCCCCGCGTGCCCGGCTGGCACTCGAAGGGGAAGACACCGCAGGCCATGACCTCTGCGGTGTCGTCCTCCACTCCCTGCCGAGGAGCGGTGACCCTGATGACGTCACCGTTCTGTGATGTCACTCTGTGTGGTCGGCTGTAGCGAGCTGAACAGTCGGAGCTCCTGCCGCTGCCTCTGGTGGAGAACACGCCGAAGGAGGAGGTGGAGATGTCGCGGGATTTGCGACACGAGTCCATCCACGAGTCGTCGCTGCCTGAAAGACGAACACAGGGCTATAAGAGCACGAGCATGGCTATGGGTTCATAGGCAAACTGGTAGCGCTCGATCACCATCCATCCTGTCCATTTTCGCCCTCCACCGACTCACCCGTCTGCAATAACGCCGTGGTAGCGTACGGTGTCGGCGACGGTACGCTGTCCACGAGCCCTCGGCCCCGACCTCCCGTGCCGGTAGGCGGATTTCGGTCGCTCTCGGTCCGTCTGCCGGTCAGCTCGGCACTCCACACACTGCCCTCCATCCAAGAGGCCGGTCGGACCGAGCTGGGCAGCAGCGAGACGCCATCACGTCGCTTCTCGTCCGATTCTGGTGGACAGAGAGGGGTGAAAGATGACCGTCAGTACTCAGTTGTGTTGGAGAGGAAGGAGGATGGGGAAGTAGAGAGACGGGTCATCTTGCGATGCGCCTAGGCTTTCATTCTTTTGCTGAGAACGGCTAGATTGCGACTCTCCAACATCTCAAGGCACGACTGTCCTCCCATGTCCCAACAGAACGTCACTCTGACCTGAGTCCCGTCCACACCTCCAATATGGTTGACGTTGATCCAGCGCTGACCCGAAGCTACCGACCCAGCTTCGCACCCCTGACCCTCTTTCCTTGTGACCTTGTCCAACCCATCCCATTCTCACCTGACTGCTGTTTCCTGCGCACCCGTCTGACCCATCCACTGATGGCCAGACCGCTCAGTGTCAGCAGGACCAGGGTCGACACGGCAGCGGCTAGCCAGATGTGACCCGCCGGGGGCCGGCGAGGTCCTCCCGCCGGCACCGGGGCCAGGTCAGAGGTCAGGTCACCGTCCGGGCCGGGCGGCGGCAGGTCCAGGGAGACGGGCGGGGAGAGGGGAGGAGCGGCATCCGGCAGCTGCAGGGTGACCGGAGGAGAGGGCACGCTCTCCCCTCCCGGGGACACAGAGGTCACCCAGATGGTGTAGGTGGCGCCGGTGGTCAGGTTTGACAGCGTCACCTGCGAATGGGTCATGTCAGGTCAACCAGGGCCGTGTCAGGTCAGCCATGGTAGTGCCTATATATTGAAGTATTTAGCGTTGCGGTTCAATGTTTCGAGCTACTGGCGTGCTTGTGGTTTGGCTATCCAGTCTCAGTAATGCTTAGCGTGACTTACATATTTTGGGGGTTACTTCTAGCTATCTCTCTTGCTGCAATTATCAGAATCATGTTTAAGTAAGCATAATAATTCGCATTATGCTGTAATGCCCTTCTCGGGACTGAGCTCGTATCATCCGCTTGCTCTCATTTTACGTCATAATACGATCAACTCCAAACCGGAATGGAATCTCATTCCAGTGTGATTACAAGTCCATGTGATTAGTGGTCGTCTTCGCTCGTCCGTCTTACCTGAGAGGTGTTGGCGTCAGCCCTCAGTCGACTCCGATGACCCGCCTCTGACCTGGCGTACACCTGGTACCCCTCGGGCTGCAGAGGGGTCATCGCGGGGTCACCGGTCACCTCCCAGGTCACCAGGGCTGACCTCCCGTCCGCGGGGACCGCCGTGACATTGGCCGGAGGAGGCGGCAACTCTGTGAAAGGGAACGAACATGTCCGGTGATTTGTCCGCCCTGTGCTGTCTTTGTTGCTTGTATCGTATCTAAAATGAATGACGAATGAATGACGACGCTAGGACGCGATAGGAAACCCCGGCTCTCCATTTTCTATGGTGACAGCACAATACTGACGGAATACAGCCCCTTATGATTGATTATGACAAAGTCTTCTTTGTAACATTGCTTCCACTGAAAAGCCTGTCTCAGCTCCTCCTGAAAGCCACAGGCCCACCCTCACTGTTTTATCCATGAAATCACGGTATTTAAGATCCCGTGTCTTAGCCTCTGAAGTTCTCTTACCGCTGACGGCAAGCTGTGCAGGTCGGGAGCGTCTCTTCATCCCGGCGTAGTTCTTGGCCACGCACCAGTAGGTGCCCGTGTCACTCAGGGTGACGTTCGGTATGACCAGGTCACCCTCTCCGGCCAGCGAGAACCGGCTGCGGAGGAACAATCAAGCACAGAGTTAGCTTATCTCCCGCGGTGATACGCATCGGCGACATTGAGGGAGGATGGCGGAGGACGTTTAATTCCGGCTTCGGATGCCTGGGCGCGAGAGACTGTGACCCAAGACAACAACATTGATTCCGGCTATCGGTGCTTAGATAATTTTAATCCGACACTCCGGATGCTGATAAAAGATTTGTCTTAAAGTGCCGTTCTTTTAAGAAAACAGCATACGAGTATTTACTTATTCTTTCAACGGTTTGATCATTTAGTGTCTGTCGCTTGAAGCTTCTCGGTACAGTTTTGTAAACAGCTCGATTGTGTACGTTAACTCTGGTTCGTAAACGTCAGACGTATACAAGATCCACTGATGGAAAGCGCTGATGTATGGGATCGATTGACGTCTGAGATGACGTGTCCGTCTGCCTCTCTCTCTCTCTCTCCCTCTCTCTCTCTCCCTCTCTCCCCCCCTCTCTCTCTCTCTCTCTCTCTCTCTCTCTCTCTCTCTCTCTCTCTCTCTCCCTCTCTCACCTGTGAGGCTCGTTGAAGTCGACCTGTGAGTAATCCTTGATCCACCCCACAGTCGGTGGTGGATCGCCCTTGGGTGGGGAGCAGCGCAGAGTCACCCGTGACCCCACGCTGACCTCTGTGTCCTGGGGCGAGACGCGAAACTCCTCCCGCAAAACTGGGGGCATGAGGGGTCGAGTCAGGTCACATACAAGGAACTTTTTACATAGTAACTATAGAAGCAAAAATATTCGTGTTCATTTAGCATTTCATATCAATTATCAAACTCAAGTAATGATAAATGCAGATAGATATTTTACAAAAGTAAATGAAGCGAACGTACGTCTAAATCGACCGAAGTCCGATCGCATTATCTGATATTGATTTCCACACATCAAGCATCCCTAATAGCGATTTCATGTTCGACGTCTTCTTTTGTCAAGAAGTTTCAGAACTTCATAGTTCCTAATGATATTCTTTCACAGAACGAAGAAAGTTTATTCGCTGCGACTGATTTCTGGAGCGCACTGTGTTTTCCCATTTTTCAATATGGCCAGTCTTTCAGAATATCCATATCCGCACCAATGACTTCAAGTGCGCGTGAAAATCCAATATCCTCTCGTCTCCTTCCAATCGAAAGCACCCTAAGAAAAACATCCGCCGGTGCGAAATCGCCGAAAAGTCGGATCGTCGACGGCGGGCCAGTCTGCGGTAAAAACGAGCGGTCCGGCCGGCGGCGTCACCGCCGATGTGACGACTACCGGGGCCGTAACGAACGGCTCCGTCAGCGCCGCGCGCGGCCCCATCGCTCCTCCTGTCCTCCAATTAGCGGCTGTGTTTGAGGCGGCGAGTGGCGCGGCCCGTGCGCCGTTTTTGTCGACGACAGGTGCCGCGGACGGGACGGTGTCCCTGGCTAAGTAATGGCAGTGCTCGCCGTGTGACCGGTAATAGGGGGCGGGGTCGGAACCGACCAACTGGGAATGTCACTGAATGCGCACGGTCCTCGGTGCGAACTTTTTGTCTCCACTCCGTCGCGGGTCGTTCGTTGCGTCGAGAGGAACCGTCAATAGCGATTCTATAGATCTCCCGGCAGCGGCCGGGCGCAGAAAATGTGATTTGGCTGAAGCTTTTGCGAAAAGAAAGCTCGAGCTTGGTTCGGACGGAGATGGAGAGAGCTTAGCGCGGATCGGCGCGGTGCTTGTCTCGTCTGCGCCGGGACTGTCGACCCACCGGCCATTCGGCGATCCAGCGCGTCCCGGTGGCGTTTGACGCTGTTTTGAACGTCTGAGAAGCATCGCAAACATTGCAAACACCGTCTATTTCTCGTCGCTGACAGCGGGTAAAACTATGTTTGTGCTGGCTTCTGCCCTGCTCCAGATCCTGTTTTAGATGCATTAAAGGCGACCTTCCATTTTCTTTATCTTAATTTGAACTGCCGCCTTGCTGACGTGAACATTCTTTGCGTGCACGTCTAGATTCTGCCGATTAAAGAGGATTCCACCAACCGCAAATAGGATGTCCTTGTGTGGCCTTGCATCTCTACATGATGCCACCAGTGACCGTTTCCTCTCGCTATTTTGGTCTTGTTTTTGTCTCTCCGAATGCCCTCTCCGCTAGCGAGCGAGTTTAAATGTGCGGAGTTGGATGCAGCATGGTTTGACCCGATTCCCAGTCGGCAGACGATCGGCATTCGTGGCTCGTCTGCGGCCACTCGAGATTCGGAACTTCTGAGTGAACTGGGAAACGGGTAAACGGCGAAGTACATAGAAACTGTTTAAAACTATCATGCCGGCACGGATTTTCTGTGAACATGTGCTCTTTTCTACTTCAAGCAAAGCAATGTTGCTGTGCTATGCAATCTCCATGCTAATTACTGATATAGCTCTATACATGTTGCTGTCGATGTACGTAATTGACTAATAGATGACTAATAGACCCTTTAGATTTATTGATTTTATCCCCGTCATACCGTAGATAATGATCTGAGATTATTGTATGTTTATTGTTTACAGACCCTCGCATAATGTCGGCATAACCCTCGCATCTCGCAATAATGCCAATGAACTGAATGCAACTTTATATATGTATGTAGTAAGGCAACATTCAATAGCACCCTCCCTTGCTGTCTTTTCCGTGATTAGTCCGCAGGTGCCTGACTCGCGTGTTTACGCTTCTTGGATTTTGATTAATCCCTCCCCTTCAGCACCATACTCTTTTGACATCCACGCTTCGATTCTGCCACAACTACTCCATTTGGCTAAGCACGCCTTTCATCAGTTGGAATGGCAAAAATCCGCGCCGGGACTACTCCCATCAGCGTGCAGCCTACTGTCATAATATTGTCTCTCGGCCGCTAATGCAACAGCGGCGGCTCGCACAAAACAGGCCGCTGCCGCGGTTCGCCGCTGCGCTAATGTTGACGGCAGCCGAGAGAGCGAACATTCAGACCGAGTATTCAGCGGGCCAGAGATGAGCTCAGCCAGCTCATTACGCGTCCATTATGGCTCGTTTCGGACGGACGGGCCGCGGACGTGGCTTGGAGGAGGATGGTAAACCGACTCCGCTAACATTGAAACTGGTTATGGTCCGGGCAGAGGATTTCATCCTTCTGGGATGGAGGCTTTGTCTGGCCTTTGCTCGTTTTCTAAAGCAAAGTCTTAGAGAAACTAGTAAGGCATGTTCATTGTTCGTAACGATGAAACGATGAATTAAATGTTTATGAGAGCAATGTGTTTCCAAAGGATGACGCTCCTTAATTATGCTAATACGAGTAATACACTTAACTCAGCTCGCCCTAGGGGCTATAGGAATCCTCGTCTCACTCCCCACGGGCCACGACTGACTTGCGGTAGTTAGTAAGGTGGAAGGCCTTCCTACTGATCCCACCCGTCCCCTGTCCTGTCCTCTTCTCTCCTTATCCCTCTTCCCACTGACCTGCAGCAGTCAGCACCGCCTCTCTGCTGCTCGCCTCTCCTGCCCTGTTGACGGCCACACAGCGGTATCGTCCGGCATCCGCCCTCGCCACGGCCAGTACGAACAGCGACCCGCTGGGCAGGGCCACCCAGGTCGGGGAGGGCGCCTCCACAGGACGACCGTCCCGCTCCCAGTGGATGGACGGCGCTGGGGACCCGTCCGCCTTGCAGTTGAGCATTGCAGGGCTGCCCCGTGCCACTGTGGTGTCCGATGGGTGCTCGGTGATCCGGGGAGGCCGGTCACCGGAGGGCGAAGACGCTGTCGGGGAGAGGTCACAGGTCAGGGGTGTTACGACGGGTACAGACAATGACGATCGGGTGTTGTGCTATGATGTTGGGATTTATGAAAGTCACGTAAAGTAAGGCAAGGTGTCAGGTAAAAGTGACCTCGGATAAATCCTAAATGACTTTGCCACAGCGCGTGGCTGAATGCTCGTGAATGCATGATTGTGTGTGAGTGTTTAGGGAGGTGCGGGTGGGGGGTAGGGGGAGGGCTTGCGTTTGTTAGTGTTTCCGCATGTTAGCCCCTTACGTTCGTTATTTATCTCGTATTCAATGGGCGGTAATGACATGGGGTTTATCAACGATAACCAACCCGCTCGTAACTTAGATTGGATTGAATTGGACTGATGAGTGTAGTTCGACTGTTGCCCGTTTAGGGGACGGTCCGTTCTATTCGCTCTGGTTATCCCCTACCAGGCCGGCTAAACAGGAACATGATCGAATATGATCGTTATGGATAAGATAATGCGAATAAATGAATAATCGCAAATCTGCTACCAGTTAGAATGCGAAACCGCAAAATAAAATCGACGAATTGTCTCATCCTCTCCTTCTTTGTTCTCCCTTTGAACGTTAGCGAAAACATTACGAAAGTGTCTGGCCATTAGTGTCTTAAAGTTAAACTACGACCATCCCTAAATGGGTCATAAAAGCTGCAGAAACTTTTAAACGCTGAGATGATGAGTTCAAGAAACAGTGCACTTAGTTGATATCACCAGTCAAATATAAATGACTGCTCGAGCATTAGGCCATTACATCTCTGTTACGACATCGATTTAAATGATAAAAAGACAGGTTCATAGGACATTTTATTTCAACTAACACATTAGACATTACTTATGATAACTGCTGAGCAATGAACAGGGATTTGGCAAACCCTTATCTAGACGTTCTATATAACTTTGCTTTTGCTCATATTTCCATAGCTGTTTAATTGGGACTTTTTTAATAAAAAAAAAAGAAAAAGACTGTGAAAAAGACTAGGACTGTGTGCTTTGTGCGATATTTTCCTGAAAAGAAAGTTAATTGACCTTCTTAATCTGATATATTGTAGGTTTTGTCTTAATATTATCCAGCATTAAATCGCAGTGCAACGGTCCCGGGCTATTTAATCAATGTTTGGTTGTTTATTCATATCTATGTAGTTAGTTAATTACCTAGCTCATTAGAAAGGTAGCTAACGCCTGCCATTATTTGTTGGATCAAGTAAATCTGCTCTTTTCTTGTAATCCGCAACATAAATAGAGCCTGTAATTTGTAACTGACAGAATGCTTAGAAAATCCTTAGTTGTGCTTCATGACAGATATCTGCTGTCATCGTCGCCTGATCAGCTAAATTGTCAGTTTACTGGCTAAATGACGCAAATTTTCAGGCTGCGGGTTATGTCTTAGCGCTTAACTGACGAGCTTACCCTTTCTCATGAACAGAGATATCAGCAAGGTACTAACTGCTGAAACCGGCAGCTTCTGCACATTAAACCGATAAAGTGCTAGTTTCTTAGACGCCGAACGCGCACGCCTATAAATTAAAATGTTTTTATGGGATGTTACAATGATATCTGTCACTTATTCTTACAAAAGGCCTCACTCATAAGACGTTTTTACAGCCAGACCACTGACAGTACTGGCAACTAAGCGATTTAATTCCCAGACTGGTTGTTGACGTTATCATAGAATCAATAAAGCTTCTCCATCGGTTTCGAGACATCTTAAGAGCTTACGCTACCGGGTGTTTCAATAGAGCCATTTCATGTCCATAAAACAGCCTTAAACGGCATCGACCATTTTATTTGTATCTGATGTTCTTGTAGTTCAATTGTTTTCCTTGTTTCTAATTGCCCTTATTTTCCTGCCGCATATTTTACACGAACAGATGTCACATCTGCACTGTTTGTGGACCACTCCTACGTGACAGGCTGTGGAGTGCCTCTCCCGCCGCTCGCTGCTGTTGTTTTCCGTCACGTCAGTGACATCAGGTGACGTCATGTGTGTGACGGGTGACAGGGCTGAGGTGGACGGCGACACGGAATGTGTCAGAGCCGCTCACACTCAACATCTTCCGACCGTCTACCCCGTCCCCGCCCCTCCATCTGCAGCTGATTTCGTGCAGCGAGGTTCCAAATCTGACCCGACTAAACTCAACAGACAGACGGACGGAAGATGGTTGGCAGCGAGACACTCCTCCCCTTCCCCTCTCCCTCTTCCGCTAACGACTGATCCGGGTGACGCGTGACACGTGACGTGACTCATCTCCGCGGAATAAACGTTGCCGACGCGTCACATACGCCGCTGTCGGCGGTAGCTTTATCCCTACTCCCGTGCTTCTCGGAGCGCGACCGGGCGCGGCCAAACTGGATTATCCCGTCGGGCGGCGTCGGCGCGCGCTTTTTGGCCGTGTCGGCGCGCGCTTTTTGCCGTCTGTCATACACGACTGCGTCGGGAGTGATTCGCCGGAGTGACGGCGCCGCTCGTCCGTGTCGCCGCCGACGGATCGGTTCCGACGGGCGGCTCGCGATGGACGGACCGGTGATCGGAGCCAGCCGCCGGGCTGACGAGCGGCGCGCTGCAGCTGCCCCCCGGCCGTCGCGCCACTTACCGCCACCAGCGCCGCGGCCAAAGCGGCGCGCCAGAAAATGGAGCGCCCGTTGACGGCTGTGACGGCTGAACGATGGTGTTATTTCCCGGCCAGAGTGCGCTCAATCGGCGCATTTGCATTTCCCGAATTGAACGGAGCTCAGCTGATGGCTCCGGCGGCAGTTCCACGGCGAGGAATTTACGGGGATCGCTGAGCTACTCAGCTCATGTAGTTTGGAATGTCTTACATTAACGACTAATGTTCCATGAGGTTTCCGAATTTAGTTTAATTAAGTGTTCTTAGTACGTACTCGCACTTAATTAACTGGCATTAGGCGTAAGCAACTCACTAAACTGAAGCGAAGTCACGAAATAACTATAGCGGTGTATTAGCTCGACTGCTGTACCTTTGACAAGATTTTGAGACAGGCTCATTCTCCAAGATTTTTTATGTTGAGATGTACCGGTTTCAGTTGTTTGCCCCTGCACTAAGCAAAACAGTTAAAACGCTCTGCGCATGACTAAATTTTAAACACCCATTCTTTGATCCGAGTCACGAACCGCGGTGTTTGCCAGTTCCAAATTGGCATTCAGCTTTGGTTCGACTGAGCCCTGAGGTCCGCACCTGGGACCGGGCCGCTAACTCCCACCGGCCGATACCCGTGGATCGATCCTCCGGTGTAACACAGGCTGTTGGTGTAACACGTGCCGCTGGTGTAACCCGTGCCGCTGATATGACACGTGCTGTCGGTATAACCCGTGCTGTTGGTGCAACCCGCTAATGTGACCCATGCGCCGATGTAACACGTTCCGCTGGTGTAACCCGTGCCTTTGATGTAACTCGTGTCGCTAGTGTAAACGTGCGCCAATGTAACACGTGCCGCTGTGTAGCATGTACCGCTGGTGTATGTAAATACCGCTGGTGTAACCCGTGCCCCTGGTGTCATACATGCCGTTGCAGCCCATACCGCTGGTGTAACACGTGCCGACAGTGTCACACGTTCCACCTCTGTAACCGGCACTGCCCACTCTCAATTAACCGCGGAAGCTGACAGAGACAGCGGCCCACGGCACAGGTGGCAGCCTGATGACCCGGGGCTCGGTCAGAGGACCGTATTACCCACCGAGAGACTCACGGCGAGACGAGCCCAGACCGTTGCTAGGCAACGAACATAAACCGGTGTTTGATGGCCACAGGGTGTCGGAGCGTGGCCCGAAACGGCACGTCGCGGTGTGCGCGAGCTAATACGGTCCGAAAGGCCGGAGTCGCGCGGTCGGGAAAATCTCAGTACCCTCTGTCGCTAAGACAAGATGTTTGAGAATTGCTGTGTTTGTCTGATTTGTATCGATTTAGGGAAAGGTGACAAGACTCGGGACTTTTGATCATTAACTGTTATCACGTTTTAACATCTAAATGCCAGGTGCTGGTTAGAATGTAACTAGATGACTATTTCATGCGATGATTCAAGAAGGGCTGCAGCTCTTCGGCCATGAATTACGATTTACGAGTAAAGCAAGTCGTGCGCATGTTCAGGCCGCCGCTTAAGATCTCAAGAACGGCTGGGCCAATTGCGTTCATCGTTCATATTTGATAGATGATCGTTAGGAACCGATTAGCAGGAAGCCCTGCACAATTCAGTTTGGGATACCTCTTGTCACTTGCACAGATGCACGGCTCACACTGCACCACGCTCGCTCATTTGTCGCCTCTAAAGGCGTCTTTTAAGTGTATTTCAGTTCCTTCCTCTAAAACTCAACTTAGGACTTCTTATTTACCCATTAGTTTCATCATCCAGAAAAAGCTGCAAAACACTTGAATCGTCTCTTGACACTCATACACGTTATTGTCACCCCGCCAACGGCCGGAGGCGTCTCCTTCATAATGAAACCGTCGCAAAAAAATTACTCCGAGAGGACTGAAAACATTTGCATCTTTCTACTCATCTCGGAATTTAGACGTTGGTGACACCCGCGCAGAAGATTAAGACGAAAAATAAAGGCTACTGGCTTCAGCCAGCAGAGAGAAAAAAAGAATCTCTAAGCGTTTGAAGAGCCGCGCCGCGCGTAACTCAAAATTAAACGTTGAGACTGTAAAAGATACTATAAGATACTAAAAGATAAAAAAGATACTAAAAGATACTATATATAGTATAACTATATACTATTATATAGTTGATTTTCAGGAACAGACAGTACCTCGTGGAAGGAATTATGGATCTTCGCATTTACTCAGTCATATATTGTCTTTGTACGTATAATTTGCGTTAGTTTCATTTTTTCGAAACGTATGTACCTATACATGATAGGTATAGGAATATGACCCTAACTGCTTCCGAGGTTCGTCCCAATCGCTTCACAGACAAATTCCTTTTACCCAGTGAATGAGACAAAGACAACATTCAACACGTTTTTTTAGGTCGCTCTGATCCTAGCATCCATACCATCCCGACTTTAGGGTAACGACTGCTTACAAATTGTCGGTCAATGTGATAGTAGCCGACCTTGAATCGACATGCAACGCCTAACAAACAGCTATCCTTTCTGAGCTGTTTGGCGGCGAAAACTCTGTGCTGAATGTCGCAGCTGATACAGTAAAACTAAAGAAAACATCCCATAGTAAGACTTGATGTCAAATTGGTGTCGTTTTCCCGTATGAACTGCTATCTGGCTACATTGACTTCACGGCGATGTTAGGCTATAGGAAACGGCGGTGGCGTCTGTAATATCCCCAGTTCCACAAATCGATGCGTGCTACGAAAGTATCTTTTGTTCATTTTGCAAACATATTTAAACATGTGTTTGAATTGTATATTGCTGTGCTAGTTATCTAAGTTGATGTTCATAACATTTATAGTTTAATTGCCTTGGTTGTAAATAGGCTTCACGCATCGGCAAAGAGGAAAATCGGAAATTTAAGCGTTGTACCACGGTTGTACGCAACATGCAGAACAAGGTGATGATCACTGACTGTATAATAGTTTTAGCAATGGGCTGTGAGGAGAACCTTGTTAGCCGGTGCAAGAGGTAATTCACGGTTAGTTTAGGATGCCTACTTAGGTTGACATTTTCAAAACGTCCGCTATCGGCTCATTGTAATAGTCTCTAAACAAATCGAGCTTTTTGACAAAAAGTAAACTTTGGTTTTCGACCCTTGCCCTTAACTATTCTATGGATGCCATTTAATTTCCACCTTTATGCCCCTAAGGAGAGAAATGATGACTGGACCAAAAAACCCACAAGCGAATAGAGAATGCCACGTTAAAGTCATTCAAACATCTATCTGCTATCTGCCTTAATTCACTCCTCTCCACCCGTGCCAAACCTCCATACCACCACACCTCCACGTCTGGCCTTCGCTTGGGTCCCCGGCACCACGCCGTGCAAATTCCCACGCATCGGTGCATTTCCCTCAGTGGCGGCGGACTGCTGGCCACAAACAGTCTCAGTCGGCTCCTGGTCCGGCCGTGCTTCGGTTTTCAGCGGAATCCCGCTCCAGTTTAGACGACCCAACAGCAGCTGGACGATATGTGAACTTGTAAACAACTTCCTTTGTTTCTGACGGTTGTGTGATACGGTCTGATGTCAATTGAATTCCGGCATTATTTAGCTGCGATTGTTTTATTGCGAAATGCCACGCTTAACTTTTGCGTGCATGCATCGGCATTTAGTAAACCCTGCGTTTCTGCTCCATTGTGCATAACATTGCATTCTATTAAAACGTTAAAATAACAAAGGCTGTTGTAATTATCATTACTTTACAAGACTTACGATTCCATCCACATTGAAAGTGGTGGCTGGGACCGTTAATCTCTCAGGCATCGTATATAACAACAAACAGCATTCCACAATGATTGCCGCCTGTATGATCGCACATGTGCAACACGGTGCACATGAACATCAATTCGCCACCCAGCTAGCACACACGATGATCTGTGAGGTGTTTTGTGTCGGTCTCAGCGCCCCACCGTGGTTTACCGTTATTGGTTTGTTGACGCGAGTGTGGTTTGTTTTCTGTAAGCCGGCCGTGGCTGGAGGTCTGTCATCACGCCTCAGACTGCGTCACAGAGCTGAGAGCATTGTATAGACGATCCTGTCACTTACCGGAGCTGACTGTGAGGTGGCAGAGAGTCGCCACATAGAAGAACAACACAGGAGGCGCCGCCATGGTCCGGGGTGACGCCGCGCCGGGCTGCCGAGGGGCACAGTGGGGCAAGGTTTCCGATCCCGTCACGCGTGACTCGTGAGTCAGTATCTGAAGCGTTTCGCGATCAGATACTGACTCACGATCAGAACGGTATCGTTTGTAGGGAGCAAATGTCTGTCACTGGATGTCACTTCGCCACTGGTGCGATGTCACTCACACACGCATCATTGTCACTCATGCGCACCAAACAAATGTCACTAACGAGTCACAAAGTTCACCGCCAGTGCCGACCGGCCACTATTATGAACCTTCTCTTCTCCCCTCGTGTCTCGTCTCCTCGTGCGCTGCAGATGATTTGCCGTCTCCGTCTGGGACCGTCTCCAAAATCTCCTCGATTGCTCCAGTGTCCAGCTCACACACTAGCCTCCCACTCCGTGCACCGTGCCCGCTGGACTGACTAACCCGTGCCGACGGTTCGCCCGCACCGAGGGAGCCCCGCTCCGACCAGCTGCCGGTTCGGTGTCTGAACGGACACTGCACGGCCGTCCGCCGTCCGCTGCTTCCTGCCCCCCCCCCCCGTCTCCCACCCCGCCCGTGCTGGACCGGACATACTGGTGTCTTCGTCTTGGCAGAGTGCAGAGGTGGGTAAAGGTAGGGTGAGACGGTACGGTATGATACTGTCTGATGAGATATCGCTTCCGTCATTGCTGGAAATTGAAACAATTAATATAAGGTAGGTATAAAGTGCGATTCGGTTCGACATTTTATTTTACGATGCGGGTCCCTACGACACATACAGCATGGCACGGTTCTACATTTTATGTAGACGAATATTCCTGTGGAATCTTGCGATAAGGTTCGGTACGGTAAGGAGGGACACAGTACCTACAGTGCAGCTGTACGATTCGTTTCATTTGTTGACATTTATAGCACTGTCAGACATTTTACGGAACTGTCAGTGTCAGACATTTTACGGTGCTGCTCGACATTTTACGTTATTGATGATTTGACTGATTACGGTACGGTACGGTACGGAACCTTATGGTACGTTATACCGGGTCTACGACATTGTATGTATGTACGGTACACCGAGTCTACGACATTCTACGGTATCGTTCTGCTTACGGTACGAGTCTACGACATCGTACGGTACGGCACGGTCAGCTGATGACATACGGCTGGGAGCCCAACGGGGTCATTATTAGCGTAATTGGCCAACTGCAGTCTGTCATGACGCATATGGGCGCACGCGGCGACAGCATATTGCTGTGTTTGTAGGAGCATGGGTATTTTCGGCTTACAGTAAATATTCTAATGAGTGTACGTTAGATATTTATGAAGCATAAAGGCCGAGCTACACTATGCGTTTTCTGCGTGCGTTTTTTTTTTTTGCGAGTTTGCGTGATTTGCGTACCTAATATCGTTCTAGAAAGAAACGGCATCACGTTTTTGTTATATTTTTCATATAAAGTTTTAATTAATATGAAATATTTTATTAACTTTTATATGAATATTAAAGAAGTTATATTAGTAATAACATTTTTTCTAGAACGATATTACGCAAATCACGCAAACTCGCAAAAAAAAACGCACGCAGAAAACGCATAGTGTAGCCAGGCCTTTAGTCAGGGTGATGCGACTATATTGTAGTGCTGATCATATGTGTGACATTCAACCGCCGCGCTTCCACATTTGGCTCATGTGTAGGTTCACAATGCCTTCACTTCTAAATGACAGCCTTTCACGTGTATCTATGGTATCAATAAGTAAAATGCAATTAATTATTGAAAACGCTTATTAGTGTTGTTACGAAACTGCTTACAAACCAACACTTTTATAGACAAAGCGAGATTTGAAGAGCGCTGTGATGAACTCGCTGATTGGTTTCCCTTCTAAGAAAATCCATGTTAACCCTCGCCCCGTTGGGGGGGGGGGCCATTTTGGCCCCCCCCTGTGGTTTTTCCTGAATAGCAAGAAAACGGCGGCGCGCAGCGCCGCCAAATTTTCAGTACCTTCCTGGGCATCAATTTGACACCTTCACACCAAATTTCAAGTCTTAGGTCACCTTAGGTCAGGAGTTATTGAGGTCAAACTGAGGTCATGTTCGAGCAAAAATGAGCAAAAAACATGCAATCTTGAAGCGCTCATCAAATCTACAGTTATCAAGCAATTTCAAAGTTCTTTATATGGTCTAGTAGACAAAAAGCGGCGCTACAAAACTGCTATCTCGGATTTTCAAAATTTTTGGTTTTTGACCCAAAAAAATTCAAAAAATTGATTTCTTTAGAAAAACTTTGAAAAAATCCAAAATTTTTCCGAATTTCGAAAAAACCGGAATATATGTGATAGTCCCAGCGCTCTTCTATATACATACCAAATTTCAGATTGATATCTCGTTTTTTGGCCAAGTTATAGCGAAAAAGCTGTTCAAAAATGATGACGTCAAATTTTTGAACTCAATTTTTAGCAATTCTAGACAACGTACGGCAAAAAAAAAGACCACCATTGAACTCCCCGTGACGAGCTGCATCGATTCGATACCCATTTTATGCAAAAATATTAACTTTGAAATTTGACCTAATTTGACCTGACCTTGACCTGACCTTGACCTGACCTTGATCAAAACGTGATCTAAGCTGGCACCAAAGGCTGCCTGACCCATATAATCGCATTCGTCACGTAAAATGGACCATAAAACATGTATCACACGACACTTTCATATTGTGACCCCCCCGTGACCTGACCTCTGTGACCTGACCTGGTATCAGTGACCTCAAATAGCAAAATATGTGTTTGAAGAACATTTCCCCATCGATGATTTTAAATGAAATGCATTTTACTCGATTTTACAACGCATTTCTTGAAGTGCCTGTAAACGGTGAAAATTGGACCTTTGACCTGACCTGTGACGTCATCGGTTTGACCTAGGTCAATAAAATTGGGTCACAAGGTAGTTCCCCGTTGGGGCTATCCAACGCCGTTTACCGCTTGTCGCTATGTTGCGTGGTTCTCGAGATCTTAGGGGGGGGGGGCAAAATGGCCCCCCTAAGAACCGGGCGCGTTGCTCGGCAGAGCCCAACGGGGCGCGGGTTAAAGCATAAATCTTCAAAGCATCATTTTGAATTCGAGGTTTGTAGGAATATCATTGTTGATAGCACATACGAATTGTAAAAAGTTGCATTTCCATTTGTCGCAAGTAGTCTCCGTTTTCTTAACCCTCGCACGACCAGGCCATTTCTCATAACACGAACGACCAGGGGGGGGGGGGGTTGTTACGACCCCCCCCCTGGCGTTTCGAAACGGAAGGTCGTAGAGCTTAGCGGAAAAACCAACGGATTGCTCTCAACGAGATCTCGCGATTGGTGGTATATTTTTTGGTCCTAGGTCAACATTTGACCTACTTATGACCGGTCAAAGGTCAAATTTTCCGAAAAAAATCAAACTTTTTCAACTTTCCGCGGCGATTGCGGCAAAACGGTGGGAGATATCGACTTGAAACCTTCACTATCGTGTTCCTTGATCAATTCTCTATCGTTTGGTATGTATTTCGTTTCCCTAGCTCTAAAAATGGCGCGTTGGGAGCGCCGGAAGTCGGCAAGGTCACAGTCGGCGGCAGAAATTCGAAAAATCAAAATTTAAATTTTTGAAATCTGCTTGTATTTTTGGATTTGGGAGGTCCATTTGCTCCCTATAGAAGCTAATATTGCTGCATATTCCCATTGAGGTGACAAGAATTAGCAAAATAGTGGTTCGGGCGCTTTTCAAAAATAGTACCGGACGCTGTTCCTCTTGTGACGTCATAGCTCCGTGACCTGACCTGACCCGGTCAATTTTCTTGCACCACACGATAGCCAATGCTTGCCCCAACATGCATGGGAAGTTTCATCATGATCCATCAAACAATGTGGGTATCACCGGCAGAAAACCTAGGGATTCGGCGCACACGTTTGGTAACTGTCGGCCGGAGGCTGTACCTCTTATGACGTCATAACTCCGTGACCTGACATGACCCGATCAATTTTTTTCGGCAAAAGATGCGCAAAGGTTGCCCCAGAGGGTATTGAAAATTTCAGCCCGCTACGACAAGCCGTTTAGCGTGCACTTCGAAAAAAAACTCAGGGGGGGGTTGATACACCCCCCCCTAGGCGTTCTAGGGTTAATAGACTGTCCCGCAATGCACCTGTGCGCGGCGGAACATACCACGTTTATCTTTATGAACATTTTACCAATAAAAGAAGAGCTATTAGGGCCCCATTACCTGTTGTCGGTTGACACGAGACACTGAATGACTGCTTTCCATACATGCCTGCGATCGCAGGTCAGATAGTGTCCCACTTTGCGCTGTTATCCGCCGATCATAATTCATTGTGCGACTAATTTCTCGCGTGTCGCACTGGCCGTCTCCGAACCTGTCTGACCAGCTGGCTCATTCCGCCTGGCTAATGCTCAGAGCAGGACAGCTTCGCAAGACTTACACGATATGGCTATATGGTCCAGTGAGCATAGAACAGCCTCCAGAAACCTGCAACTGCCGGACAAGAACAGATAAAAGCTAAGCGCAATCCGGCGAGTCCTAATGAATGGATACTTTGGGTGGCTGGTCCGCGCCTCAAAGCTCCGTTCCTGTTAATCCGATATGTGAGCGCTGAGTGTTAAAAATGCGAAGGGACACTGAACATAGCCACGCAAGTGTCTGCAGCGCGGCTTTCGCTCACCACGGCGACAGCAGCGGCAGGTCCTCGTGTGTTCAGGGCAGATTCGAGGCGAAACGGATGGATATCAGGAATGCCGCCGCACGTGTGTCCAGAGGTGGCCTTATCTCTTATCATATCATTGGCAACTTCCAGACCGACTGATGTCGTATCTTGTTAATTCCTGTACCCTCGCAGACCTAGCCGGTTGAGTCCTGTCTGTCCCTGTTTTCGTTTAAAAAAAAAAACGCTCCCCCAAGTCCCAGGTAAGTTGGTGTCCTTGATTGTTGAATGACATCGCAATTACCTCTCATCCGACGCTGGCATAGTGGATGGACACTGGTAATGGGAACATCACAAAGCTTTCAAATCGATGCATAAAATATTTCCTACTTTATTATCTACTTTGCTTTCCGTTCGCGGTACGTCCTGACCTGGAGCTGGAATACAGAGGGAAACTGATGTCCACAAAGACAGGTAAACTGTCCCTCGACTGCAAATGCACCATGGATGGTTCTTTGCATTGACCATTACCCTCACCACTCCTCAAAAGAACATTCATAACTTTGTCATATTTTCATCACTTCTCACGTCTGTCCTCCATCAATCCCTCGGCCACGTCTGAAGTTCCGAGCATTACTTTGTCCAATCGCTAGTCGTGAATCGCTTCATCGCGATCACTATCCTGCTGATGTCTACATACAATCATTGAACCAAACCAGCCAAGATACCTGCACCCCAAGCCCCGAAACATTTCACTTCACCATCAATGGCCTCCTGAACAGTGACGCCCGTCCGGTCAGGACTCAGAGGTGACATTCTCTTGAACAAGGTACGTACCGGAGAGGGGAGACAGCTGACACCTCTGCCGCGGAGGCTGAATTATGGCCGGATCACCGCGTCGGCAGGAATGTTGCTCTGTTTCGGACACCGTGTTCGAGTCGCTCCATGCTCTGTTTCTGTGTCTGCTGCTAGTGAGAAGTGGACGATTTGTCACGTACGGCGGAGTATCGGCTGGGTTTTATGATGTTTGAGATGTCAAGAGGTAGATCAGTGCATGCCTTTCGGCTTAAAATAACAGCTAACTGGACTAGGATTACCAGTAGCTGGACCCTGTCACCTTCACTGTATGTCACTATCTCTGCCTTGAGAAGAACGAATGGAGCAAAGAAAGAGGATGCGTCTTATTTATGGACATCCGTTACTCTATTCTTTTACGTAAAATATCCATGTTGCGCTTGAAGTTATAACTCTTGCTACCTACCTGTGTCCACTGATGGTAAGACGGATAAACGCACCAGAGGAGCTCCAAGACCGTCCACTTCTCCCGAATTAAATAGGTTTTCTATGGACACGTGCTTTTCCAGTCAGGTCCAGCCATTCTGTGTATGAGTGTTAGCCACGTTTCGTTTATGAGTGTAAAGAAGCGGTGCACAAGAAGTAGGAACACTTTTGTGCACGGCCCACACCTGGCATGCCGTGTGGAATGCTGAGCTCATGATGGAATGCAAAAACGCTTCTACATAGTGCATGCTGACAAAAACAATCACTAGATGAGCGATACCCATTCTATGAAATTAAGCATAGCATCACTTTACGTCATTAAAAAATGCAAGAATGCCGTAATGCTATTTGCAGAGTTCGAAAGTACGGCATGTACGCAAAGTAGCTTCATACCATCGGATTTCTTTGACCGAAGACATCCCACAAAGACAAAGACTAATCATCCCGGCCAGATGCTGTCCCACAATTTTCCCAACTAAATGCCTGGGCGCAGACGAATGTATTTCCAAGGGTCACACCCGGGGACTGCATGACTGTACAATCGTCACACTTCTCAGTAAATGTGCTCATAGCATGTAATAAGAAGACCGAGATACAGCGAAGAATGCCTCAATTAACGAGGTGAATTATGTTGACTGGGTATAAGTTTTGTCATAATCATCTTGTCAGCATAACTGATATAGGATAAAAGTATAAGGCACTCCCTAGTAATGTAACCGTCTAGGCAGCCGCGCCCATATTATGCATTAGGAAAACAATGTTTACATAAAGATTTGAGCGTTCAGCGGCTCACTCTCTAGACTCTAAATACCATTTTATGTTGTCATTTCCGGAGATTTCTTATGCAGTTTCGACCGCGGTCTGTTTCATCACACGACGATCATACCTGTCTCTTGAAAAATATGAATGTTTGTTTTATATCTTGAAAAAAATAGCGCTAAGTGTTATAAAATACGTGGCTGCCGGTTGGTACATTGAAAATGTTCCATGAGCTTGTATGATGCCTTATTACGAACGTTGCAAATGGCTGCAAATTTATTCGAACCGTAGCTCAGGCCGCAGCTCAGGTATACCTAGCCGTACGATAAGGTCATCAGTGTGTTGACTGATGAAAACGCTTCACGTGTCGCATTTCTTTTTCCTTCCATAAATTATAAAGCTGCAAAAGAACGGTACCAGAGTAAGAACGGACTGTGGATGCTTTTGAAGCGAATAATTTTTGTGTGTACTTGTATGATGCATGTGTTGCATTTACCTTGCGTACGGTTACCAACAGGACGGGCTACTTTGATCGAGTAGAGATCTTTAGTATTCCGCCAGCACCGATACAACATACCGATAACCGATACACAATACTGTCAGTGTCAGTCCCCCCCCCCCGAATGATTGACGCCCCCCCCCCCCGTCTGTGTTCCACCGCGCACATCGCTTCTGACTGGAACACGGAAAACTGCGACCGCCGGGATCTCCCAAACCAGCCCGCAGCAGCATGTTGACATGTCACAAACGACACGGAACCGTTTCGCTCTGCCGACAGCGATTCGCCGAGCGTGCTTCAAAGGCCTTTTCCGGCAGGGAGACCGTTTCGCTTTGAAACCGTTAACGACTGCTGAACAGAGCACGAGTAATCCCCGCAGACTCGGCGAACGGTTGCACAAGGGATTATAACTAAAAAGACGAGCAAAAATCCGATGTAGGTACTCCTGCAATAGTTTGACGTAAGCCGTGCGTACGCATTTAAGTTCATTCAGCTGTAAGGGCTGAACAAGACGGGTCCAAGGCTGCTATTTCTGGTAGTGTTAACCATCTACAGTCATCTATCAATCAATTCACTCACCTATAATAAGACATTTGCATTGTATAATTTGTAATAATATACTTTATAATAATATAATAATAATATATTATATATATTATATCATAATATAATATATAATATAATATATAATATATAATAATAATATAATATATTATTATATTAATAATATAATATATATTATATTATAATATAATATAATATATAATAATATAATACTATATTTTTTATAATTTTGTTGTATAATGGTGTAGGATCTAGAGCCTGGAGCAGCGCTTCAGTGCATTGCCTTTATAAAATATGTCAAGTGAAAAACTATTTGGGTCTACTGAGCGATACACATAAATTAAACGGACTTCGCGATCACGAAACTCATTTATCACGAAACTCATTTGACCGTATGAAGCTATGCATATTCCTCGCAGTCACAAATAAAACAGCTAAAAACAATCTTCGGAGACCTACATTTCATCTCTGTGCCGTTTTGATATGCCGACATTTTGTGACAGCATACAATTCTGGAGGCTCTCCAAGCACATCTCTGAGGACCGAATTTCCCAGAGTTGTGGGCTCGAGTGGGCGAGGAAGGCGCGGCTGGGTGACAGCTGTGTGACAGCCGACGGCGGCTCTGTGACAGTTGTGACAGGTCGCTGTCAGTGCCGGTCAGCGGACACGGACACGCCGCTCAGGACACGGACAATTTCATTAGCAGCCGCCCGAGTGACAGACGTGCTCGGTCAGACACCGCGACAACAACACTGGGAGTCAGGGGCGATTGGAAGGTGGCACCATGTCCCTATCAGAGTGATACATTCCTCGCTATTCCAGAAGTTCATGGGTATGTATGTATGTATGTATGTATTGCTTATCTTTGGAGAAACCAATGGGTGCCTGCTACTGGAAGAGCCACACCCATGACTGCACGCCACTCCGAATTAGAATCGGTAGCGTGTGGGTGGGTTTGGTTGCTTCCAAATATTGCAGGGATAGACATTACAGAACCGATACGGGCATCATCGGCACCTAAGGCGAGCCGACCGACCCAACGTCTTCCGTCAAGATGAATGACACGTCCAAAGGGGGTAACATGGTTATCGTATGGCCCATACATGGAAGAACGAGTGATAAATGATAATACAGACACTCCTGAAGCAAGAAACTTCCAACTGGCTTTTGGGCAGATTTCGACGTCAGAACGACTGTTGTAACACATAAGGACCAATCAATAAAGATCAGGATAAATGCTTGTGGTCCGCCAAACAATTTCGGCTTTAGAATTCATATCGGAGTGTGCATCGAAGTTGCATGTAAAATCCTTGCGTGCAATGCAAAAGTGACTGCTTTGATTTGACATCCGAGGTGATCTTCTTGAAAATCAGTCATTACTCGTCGGAAACGACCCGTAGTAAGGACTCGACACTGCCCGATTCAGTAGCGAGGCCGCGTTGTTGTCAGAGTCGGATCGTTTCCGAGTCGCCCCCCTCACGTCGCCAATCGACGTCAAGAACCAGACACATTGTGTGCCCATCCGACAGCCCAAGTGAGATTTGTCGACTTCATTTCCTCTCGGATTCCTGTTGACCCATTTTTCCACGAAGTTATTTAGTCTGGTCAGTAAATTGTGGGACAAAACATACGGTGCAGTTTGCAGATGCATTTTAGGGCGAAATGTTTTTGGTGGTAGATGAGAACATCGATCAGCATAAAGTATGTTGCCTTTCTGACTTTCAGACAAGAGTCCCAGTGGGTTTATCAGCTTTCAGTCTAGCAGACGGTCCCGTCGAATTCAGCATCAACGAACGCCTGCCGCTGCAACGCAAGGCGTCACCTTCACAACACACACTCGCTCAACATTTCCATACTCTGACCCGGTGACAGCGTTCCACTCGACTGACCCGAGACGGATCATATCGCTGCGACACCTCCCTCCGTCCCCGCCGTCCCGGCCCGCTCAGCCCGGCCGCAGGTACGCGTGTGGTGTCGCTGTGTTTCAGCAGGTTTTTATCCATCGGATGATTTCCCCCGGGCGCTGTCATATCCGGGGAATTCACAGAGCGGTTCCAGCGCGCGGTCGGCCGCACATGTCTGCGCCAGCGCTGCCGAAAACAAGATGACACGATCCGATAGGTTCAACAGTCTATGGTTCAGTGGCGCTTGTCGGGGTTGGACAGGTTAGGATGGGTGAGGTTCAGGCTAGCATATGTAATAAATCAGCGTCACTGGCAAAGCAGCACAGCCGAATGCGACTGTGTTCTGCGCAGTTCGAACAAAGCAACGCTAGAGATCGCCATGTACGATCACAACACACGAACTACCCTCGGACATGACATTCAACTGCAACTAGAAGCTTTGAATATTGTGGCTGTTTGGCGCGTATTCTACCGCACAGTTTCTCACAGTCATCAAAATTACCTCACCCATCCTCACCATATAACAAGCTCGTATGCAAGTCTTCCCCAAAGTGGCAGAATACGCATCAGAAAAAGCCGGACAAGTCTGCTTAGAGCACGCCCAAAAAGGCCTCCTTAAAAGGACAGTTTATTATACACAATATGGTTGAGAACACATGGATAAGACGCTCTAGCCCTGGCCACCCGCCGTCCGTCGCAGTGCTTCTCAGGAAACATGGGTGTTCACACTCGCAAAATACAGAGAGACAGACAGAAGTCAAAACTCGTGAGGCGGTGAACAACAACACCTCCACGTGAAAATGGCGTGTGGAAGCTGAGAATGCTGCCTGTGCTACCAATACTGATGAGAGGCCGATTTCGGACATTCGCCGAGACACAGATACGGCCGCTGATAGAGAAACGTCATAGATAACACCCATGGTTCGCGTGAGAGAGCACCCTTAACCCACCGCTGCGCGTCGCTCGATGTTGTATAGCCGTGGCTGAACCGGCGCGGGCCTGTACATACACATGGCGCACGCAATCATCGACACCGTTCGGCAAGCGCGACCACCGGACCGGCATGGCTGCGACTCCCCGCTAAAAGAGCCTTCTCTAATGATTAAAGCCCGGCGGACCACCGGCGGCCGGCCGATCGCGGTCGGTTCTGACCCCACACGTCCGAGGGACACCGCCCGAGACGTGGCCTGGACGTGGCCGAGACGTGACCGAGACGTGGCCTGGACCCAGCGGCCGGCGGGACCGTCCAGTCTCCGGTCTCTTCCCGTCGAACTCCGTGGTGTATCGAGGTGGTTATATACAGACCAGACGCGGTGGGGAAGCCAGGGGACGGCCCAAATCGGTTCGGTGACTTCGAGAGGACGTAAGGGGTGAGTCACACGAGTCAGAGGACCCATACCGCGGCGGGACCGCCCGGATATCGCTCCTCGGCACACCAGGCCTCTCTCTGCACTTCGACCGTGGCAGTTAGACACAGCACACCCAGCGGGACAGACCAGCACAGGCGAACAGCGGGGGACGGGGTGAGTTTCTGATATATGCCGCAGGAGCGCTGCGTTAAAACACTGACTGTGGGTACGTAATAAAGCAACGCGGTTCCGAAGGTATCACTCCTCTGAGCAAATGACGCAGCAACAAACTGTGGTGTAGTTATATAGAAACGTATTTCATACCGCTGGGCCTTCTAATGGTCCACGCCGAATCTTTCATAGCAGCACAAGGCGACACTCCGCGATAAACTTAGACAAATAAATCCATCCTCCTCTCTAGTCTACCGCTAGAGAAATCAAGGCCACACACGCACACACACAAACCCCCATTCTGAGCCGGCCACGAGCCCATGATAGTTGATAGTTTCTGCGTCACCAAATACATACTAAAGCATACCAGGACACAACACAAGGCCTCGGCCGCCGCGATACAAAAGTGCAAAACAGGGCGGCTCGGCCGGCCGGAGGGCAGTAACCGGCCGGGTCGGGGCGGCAGCTGCAGGGTGGCTGGATGTCCGTCCGCTCCCCTCCGGCCTCCAACTCTCTGTCCTCTCCATAACGAGCTCCCTCCTACCTCCGCTCATCTTCCGTCTCCTGATCGTACTCCCTTCTCGCTTCATCTTCTCTTCCTCCTCACAGGCCCACCCTAGCCGCATCCCGTCCCTTACGGTTCTTAGGTATACCAGCCTGACTCCTGTACACTTTTACATTCTAAAGCCGCCTATCCCGGCCCTCCCAGGTTCAAGCAATGGCGAGCTCATCCCTTATCCTTTCTTCCAACAGCGGCGGCCCTTTCTGAGACTGAGAACATAATTGGGCCACCCAGATATTGTCTCGCTCCCACCCACACCTCCGCCCAAGGGGACACGTGCCGGTAAATAAGATTGTTATCTCATAATGCTTATCATTCGCAGATTCCCATATCAATGCATCTGACCATCCATTCACCGCTGCCTATAGACATCTCCATCTCAAATTGGCGCCTCGCAATTCTCCCCATTTCGAATCCCTCCTCCTCTCTTCCTTCCCTCCTAATCTCACTCTCTTCAATATCGCCTCACCACCTTCTCCCTCACTCCTCGCTCCTCCTCCTCCTATCTGGCTCACCCTCCGCTTCTCATTCTCCTTTTCCGCCTTCACACCCCCATCATTCCACCAGTCTCCACCTCCTGCCTTTCCACTCCCTGCGCCGCCACTCCACCGCCATCCTTCGTACCTTCCGTGTCCCGCCGGCCGCATTGGACGCACCCTGGCCACCGTGCCGTGCCTTCTGAGACCACTGTCAGGGCGCGCGTGTCCACCCAGCGAGCGGAGAGTGGCCGTCAAGGCACCAGCGTCCCACCGCTCACCGCCGCCGCTGAGCTTACTTCTACGATGGTGCCGAGCCGTTACTCGAGAGATCGGAAGCCCCGCTGCCGCCCGCCGGCCGGCCGGACGCTGAAACAACAGAGGAGGTTCGGTCATGGTTTGTGCCCTGCGGAAAAGGGTTCACCACGCGGAAATCACTCGTAGAAAGGCAGCGAGGATGGAGGAAGAGAAAAGGGAAGATCGAATGATGGGAGGTATATGAGACGAATGGAGATTCAGATGGTAATTATTCCGACGAAAAGAAAGTGAACTGGGGGTGGCCTTTGTTACGCACAAACTATATACGTTTATGAATCCCCTGTGGTCAACGAGTTCAGAATTAGCCACCACAACAACACATAACTGAGGAATAGCTACTCTTACAGAATCTCACCACATCGTCCCCTCCCGGCCCGCCCAACTGCACCTCTCTTAACATCGTCTTCCCCGCTCCGTATCACTCACATGAGCTCCTGTACTGGGCGGCGGGAGCCCAGACGCGCACGGTGCAGTCGTCACTGCAGGAGACCAGCATGCTGGGACACTGCGGGTTCCAGCTGACGCAGCTGACCGTGTTGGTGTGGCCCTGCAGCACGGCTACCGGCTTCTCGCGGCGCGTGTTCCAGATATACACGTTACACTCTGGGGGACAGGCAGGAGAGGTGTTAGCGCCGCGTGTTCCAGATGTACACGTTACACTCTGAAGGGGGACAGGAGAGGTGTTAGCGGCGCGTGTTCCAGATGTACACGTTACACTCTGGAGGAAAACGGAGGTAGGGTTAACACGGGAACGATTGACGAATTCAGACATTTTTTTAAGAAACAGAAGGTGGCCTTGAATCATAAATTACACAGCAACATGACAGCTCAACAGCGGATCTTATTAAACGCATTGCGCACCTATTCAGAAATATCTCGAGTCTCAGCTGTCAATTTGGGCTGACCCTCGAAATAAAGCACCTCTCGTCACGCAACCAAGTTGACACACCTAAGCCGTCTCAATTTCCATAGATCCCCCTCCCCCAGTCCACACAACTCTAACTACACACTCCCAAGACAGTCCCAATGCCAATCGCCTCAGGTCACGCAGAGGCGCCCCAGTCACCACCACCCCGCCCCATGCAACTGACCTTCACTACCCGAGGCCACAAACTCCTGATTGATGCCGCCGAAGCAGCTGTACACGTTGAACGTGCCCTGCGTCAGGCCCTGGAACTTCCGAACCAGCACCTTATCCTGTGGAAGAGGTGGTGGGTGGGCGTTCACGGACACACACCCTATCGCTGAGGTAAATTTGGCACATTTGATAGTGTTGGAGAGAAAACGGCGGATTAGAATTCGTGGGGCGATAAATATTGAACGGAGCATGTAGGTTTAGTTGGTATTTTCCACAGAAAAAAAAAAACAGTATTAACTGCACACATACTTCAGGCAAATTTTCCGGTAATCCAGCTAGGTAATGAACTCGAGCTATTTAACGTTATCCCTTTTAACAGCCGTCATGCTCCCAGTCCCTCACCTCTCCCTCCTCTCTCTAGGCCCCAGTTCCGTACCTGCAGGTCCCAGAGGTGGACGCCCTTGTTCGCCACGTTCAGCACAGCCATGTTACCCTCGTCGTTGATGCACATGGATATCACGTCGCCGCTCTCCGTGAGGCTGTGGGCAGACGACAGGCAGTCAATCAGACAGACAGACAGAAAGTCATCAGTCAGTCAGTCAGATAGTCAGACCAGTCAGTCAGTCAGTCAGTCAGTCAGTCAGACAGATAGTGACTAGGTCGGTGCCGACTGCCCGCGGCGCATATCACAGAGACGTTGGTATACAACACATAGCTCGCCATCGACCATTGAGACACTGACAAGACCATGTAACAGACACGTGTGCGGCATCCGTATATAGCCGTCGCTATATATGGAAACGCACACCACCGGGCATTGATAGCCTGACACACCCACACACAACCGCAAGGCTGTCACATAGGGTATAACGAGCTCGTCTGTGTATGACGGGGTTATTGACACATGTGTGTCACAGTGTGTATTAGTGATGTCGATTACAGAAAATCGGAATACCGATACCAAACCAAATACCAACCAAAACCGTGAGGAAATACCGAAACCGAACCAACCTAGGAACATGAGACAAATACCAAATTTATACCAATTTCTCAGCCTCTTATATATAAGTGAGGGTTCATAACACCAACAAAATACCAGGTACATTAGGATTAAAATACCAAATACCAAGTTGGTATCGGTTTGGTATCGGTATACCAAAAGGTTGGCATCCGATTGACATCTCTAGTGTGTATGTAGGTTCCAAGGCCGAATATAACACACAGATGGGAGGTTCAGCAGTCCAGAGGGCGCCACAGCGAGGCTGTTTATATTTCATTTCGCCGTCACTGACTCCCGGTATAACGAACGCATAAAGCCGAAGATAGCCTTCTTAGAAGACTAAGCCAGACTTCCGTTGATCAATAAAGTCTTATTCACTACATGTCCAAGGATAGCCTTTTTAGCTCCATCAGTTCCTACAAAAGACTCGTGTACCAGACGCTTGCGTAACACCTCGGATCTAATTTATCTGCAGTAACTGAGCATCAATGACGCCAATAATACCATTTGGGATTTACAGCCAATTATCTGCGCCAGCTGCGTCATCGATTCTATATATTGACCGTCATCCCGTCCACATGCGTCATCAACGAGTAACATATGTATATATATGGTCGAGCACACCACATTCATTCCCGCGTCTTCTCTTGGCTCTCCGCTCATCTCTGTCCTTTACACAGACCCTTCCATTTCCTTCCCCCCTCTGACCGTTCCCCGCGCTCCTCCCATCCAACCCACTCCCTCCTCTCTTCCCCTTATCTTCACTCACATTTCGTAAGGTTTCGGATCGTCCGAGTAGAAGCCACAGACGCGGTTATGTGTGTCGGCCGCCAGAATCATGTGACCGTCGTTCTGGAACCAGAGTGAGCGCACCCGCACGCCCTCCCACCGGTCGTGCTGGGTGCCGCGGATGTCCTGCCGGGAGACAGGGACTCAGAACGCTATAAGACCAAGACCCCGGCGCCTATGACCGACACTAGGTAAGCTATTAAAGACCCATTCTCAGCGTTACACGATCATAAGTTCATCAATGTTTTAAATTTGATTAAGTTACCAAGTAACAGGATTTAACTGACAGCATATTGATCGAATTGCGTTCAAACAGTGTATGAAAGCCAAACATCCTGGTTTTCAAATAGAATCCACTGCAAACTTCCTTCAGCAAGACACCAGGACCATCAGCTACAACATACTTTAACAATTTACACCGGGCGGCACTGGCTCTACTCGTCCGTCTACCAGCACTGCCTACTCTCGAGCCCCACGTCCACTCACTGAGAGATAGAACTGGCCGTGTGTGCCACCACAGACGAACTTGGTGCCGTCCGGGTGCCAGGCGCCGCACATGATGGCGTCGTTGCTGGAGTGGTTGACGCTCTTCTCCAAGGTGCCGTGGATAGCGTCCCAGATCTGAGAACCGGAGAACGGTCAATTAGTTTATATAGAGGGAGCGTAAGCGAAACGAGCGCAACAGGGGATGGTGGGCGCGTATGGAACATGTCAGAGTAGCACTTCGTAAAATGACTTCCGGTGACAACCAATGACTCTCAACGACTGATGACTCTCAGTGTTTCCCAATGACGAGCTCACAGACACTTTAGATACCTAAATAACACCCAGCTTCCAGCAATGCTTCAGTAACTCCATCTGCCCCCTAGTGACGTCTAGTGACGTTCGACGACTCCCCGACTCCTCTGACTCACCCGAACCTCAGGCGACTCGTGCGCGGCCAGAAGGTAGCGTGAGTCGGGCGACCAGGCCAGGTAGCAGAGCGCGTACCCGTGAGGACCGTCCATGTGACCCAGCAGCGTGTGGCGCGGCTTCAGCGTGTACGTGTCCTGTGGAGTGAGACGAGCAGAGAGACATTGGTCAGAATGGGACCGGTGTCATGATACTAGGCGATAAGGGTAAGAAGTTTTGGAAACGTACGGATTAACCAATCGCTATAGGCGGTGTGTCGCATCCCTACCCCAAAGTGTAAAGGAAATATCACGAACACACTCAGAACTCAAGTCAAATCCCTCTCATCCTGTCATACCACAATCTCCCTTCTCACATCCTGATCTCACCCTGCTCACAACCTTCTCCTACCGCTCACACCTTAATATCTCTCTTCTCACGATTCACATTCCTCTTTCACCCCACTCAAATCCCTCCCTCACTCCGTTCACATCCCTCTCTTCTCTCATCCTCCTCATACCTCTCTCCCACTCCGTTCAAAATCCTCTCTCACCCCGCTCCCACCCTACTCTCTCACCATGTTGACATCCCACACTATGATGGTGCTGTCCTTGGAGCCGGACGCCAGCAGCCGGCCGTCCGGTGAAAATTTACAGAACCACACCTCGTCGTTGTGCTCCTGGAGAATCTGCACCGTCTCCGTGGGAAACTGCTCCCTGAGGGTTAGCAGAGGGAGGCGCGTCAGACCGATGGGGGATGGGGTTATTTTGGGGATGATGGTGAGGTTAAAGTATGCGTCGATGTCATGAAATAAGTTGAGGTCACCAGTGGGAGGTAACTACGTACCCCTGGCAGCAGTCCCTTCATTCCTCCCACCGTAACTACCTGGATCAGAGAGAGCCGTTCTCTTCCGCCTTTCCCTTCCCCAACCGGTGTCTCAATCGGATGTATCCGTCCGTTCCCTATATTACCCCGAGCCATCTTAAATCCGTCCGCCTCGGCCAGTGCACACCAACATCTAGTTACTAGGCAAGACCACTGCAGTTGGCCGCCTCACTCCATACCACCTTACCTGGAGCGGTTTGCCGCCCTCCTTAAGTCCTCCCTTCCTCTGTGTTTACCTGGAGCAAACGTGGTCGACCAGCAGACCATGATCAGCCGTGTCTGCGGCGGTGTTGTGGAACGGACACCGACTGCGCTGCAGCTCGGCAGACTGTTCCAGCAGCGTCTCCAGGCGGTTACCGGGCACCATCACCGACGGCGGCAGAAACTGCTGCAGACGGGACATCAGCAGACCGCGCGACTCGGCACTGGCGCCCGGCCAGCCCGACTGTTCGCGCAGGTCCTCAGACGTGCTGCACATTATGTAACTGCGGGACGAAAAAAAACAGTGGTCATTATATTGTCCGATGTCTGCAGAAGGGACCCAGATCACAGGTCCTCCGATGTACTGCACATTTTATAACTGGAGTACGCATAAAGAGCAGTGGTCACGACACAGTGTGGTGTCTGCAGCAGGGACCCAAATCACACGTCGTCCCATGTGCTACATATTATATAAATGTGCGACAAGCATGGCACGATGGTAGGCAATATGCGTCACATTAAGACTGTAATCAATGAACTAAAGTCGCTGTCATGGCCAGTGCGGACATCTATGTGTCAGCTTCAGAATACAATTTAAAGCTACGCCACGCATCCCATCTAATTTTCCACTCGCGTTTACACTTATATGTAGGCTACGTTGCGTTACATCCTGTTGTGCCCGTAGTCTATGCCAAGCAGTCTTATCCAGTTCCTTCCCCCGTCGGCGGCACCACGCACCTGCTGAGCTGATGGACGCGCTGCACGTTGTGTTTGAGCGGCGTGAGCTGATGACGGAGCACCTCCAGCGCATCGATGGCCCTGCCGTCCTCCAGCAGCTCCAGGTACTTTTGCTCCAGCAGCAGGAACCGCATCTTCTGCGGGACCCAGGACGGAAGGATGTCGGGGTCAGTGGTGGGGTAAGATGAAGCATAAGTAGTGAGTCTCTACATATCCATTCATCAAGTTGCTTAATACATATAGTAGAATCGAGGAAAAGCAGTGATGTCAAAACAATCAGGTACTTAAGATACCTCATCAAAAGCAAACAGACTTGAAAATGTTTATAGAAATTACGTTACCGGTTACTTACTGATAAGAGCTTCTCGTGGCAGAAGTTACATGCGGCGATAAAGAGCTACTTACAACGACATCGTCCGGATCATCCAGCAGGTTCTTCAGCTCCAGAAGATCCGCTTCAGCCTGGAACGACAGCGCATCATCACCACCCGCCATACTAACTATTTCCTGCACACGTAGGTTTTGCAAAGTAAAGGCGCTAACAACCGAAGTACTTCTATGATGGCTTTCAGCTACCTTTCGAACGCCGCTTACCGCTTGTCGCTAAGTGGCTCAGAACCCGAGCTATACGGTGATGTTCAACCCCTACCCCACAGAAAGGCGTGAAAATCCAAGAGCCCTCAGCGGAGCGCCGGTTAACTTTCTATCACCGACAACGAGAGTGTTCACCTCTCTGTCCCAGAGTATTTAAGAGGATTGCCGCAATAGAACTCAGTATCGTCTGCGAAATTGTCCAGGATTTCAATATGTCACCGATGCCATGGTGAAGTGCAGAATCGATGAATGTAACGTGATACCGCAAACGATCTAAATGTACACGACCTTCCCTGAAGCAATTTAGATTTTAGATCATTCAGACAACCCATAGCTGGCCCAGATACCTAAAAACACCACCCGACTTTTGGGAATTGACGTCTACCCTCCAGTAAATTACAGGATTGGACCCCGCAACACATTTTTCGGTATTTTCAGTTGTATTTCAAAAACATTCATACGGCGAGTGCCCATAACTAGCAACCTCTGGCGGGACCCTGACCTGTGACCTTTAACAAGCGGCAAAGGGACAGGCGACGTCACACGGCGACCTGGTTACCATGGAAACGAGACATTTGACCCCGGCAACTGAATAACAATTTTTCGACGACAAAGAATGAATAAATGTAACATCAAGTAGTCTACTTGTTGAAGACTGCTCCCCATGTATGGAAGACCCATCCCGAACCAGGTTTATATAAACGTCAGTCGAGCTCGTAGATAACTGGCTAGAGAGAGGGCCGCACTAGGCCGGGGAGGACTGCGCCCTATTTACCTGCGGTACGTTCAACTTTCTTGTTAACTTACACCGGTGAAACGAACGTACGCAAGGCCATCAGTTGGACTGGACCATTATATTGTCTCGGGAAGTTGGAAACAACTACGCAACAATTGACGACGAGGCTTCGAGCACTGACGATGTTTCCGACGGACTTGATGATTTCCCCAGTAACAGGCTGTTTTTATAAAGGGACAACACTGCCTGACATGAGGCATGGCGTAGCATAACTTGTGCATCATGACATCATACAACTATAGGAACGTGAAATGACATAATTCGCTCAGTATAAAGTCGAGCGATTTGTACTGCATGACGTCATGCAACTCGTGCTTTATGACGTTTCTTGACCATTAACATGACGTCATTTGATTCGCGGCATGACGTTAAACACGACAACATGGCAACAGCCAGTCTCCGAGCCACCGCTAATTGGTTCAAGTTCATTATATAATAACGGCCGAAATATGTGGTGGAAGGCACAAGTAGGCAGGTATCTGTCAACGGTGCGAATTCTCGCCATCAGGAATGACTTGGGCGTACATGGGAATTCTTGAATCGATCTTCGATAATACGATAAAAAGGAGTCGTAGAAACACAGATATCGCTTGAGAATGGATCTAGGTAAGCGGACACCTCACCAGCATAGCTAAATTTGCCACTATCCATAACAAAGGCAGGGGAAATGGCTATCACTACGAGTCCGGCACCTCGTTGAAGTCCTGAAGTTGTGTTACGTGATAAGTGTACTTATCGACGAGACGAGAAGACGGTGTCAATATTTACCGTAAGGAGATCTGAATAGTCCTCAATTCAACCTATATATTCCATTCTGTCTCACTCTCTCTCCAACCTGAACCAAGTCATCCAAGCACTGAGAATGTTCACCTCTGGGCCTGATCACCCCACGCCTTTCCTCCCCTGCCCTGCCTTTCCACCTAGCTGTCCGCATTGTTTACACATCCTTTCCCATATCAGTAAAATGTATCGTGGCTCCGGTACCGACCGAATTATTATAATGGATCGAAACCTCAGCCCCCACATTATTGATATCAATGAGTGGTTCTGAATGAATTGTGATTAAAACAGGATAGAAGTGATGGATGCAGCATGGACACTAATTGGACAGCACACATGGAACAAAGAAAGAAGACTGAATCATGCATTGGATTTTATCAACAAATCAGGTGGTCAGTAATGAAACTAGACATCTTAAAATTCTAAAATCTTCAATCTGAGCTATTGCAAATGCTACCAAATCAGCAACTTCTGCATTTTTACATATATGTCTTGTTAAATAATAAAAACACTTTCCTACTTCAGCCTTAAATTATTACTCTATACACTTTACAAAGCATATTTCATCCATTACCTTAAATTCGAGGCCTTAGCTCTAAAAACACTATAGGAGCATTACCAACATAACCTTTCAGAATTAGTCCTCATAGTATTACTATGCATTTGGATAAAAAGACCCCTAGAGTGTTGCTTAAGTGTTACAGCTTGGCCTCCCTCTGAAGGCCTAGTCCTCATTCTGAGGACTGCCTAGTCCTCATTCTGAGGACTGCCTAATCCTCATTCTGATAGTCCTCATAGTCCTCATATACCACATGTCCTTAAACTCCTAGTCCTCATTCTGAGGGCTAAGCTTGCTGGTTGCCTGGTTGGCTTGTTCACCAGGATGTGAGGTGAGTGTATGACTCACCTTGACCCACTCTCCTGACAGGATGTGCTGGTGGAACCTAGCTGCTGCTGGGTGGTTCAGGCAGAGACCGGACTCCTCCATCAGCTGATCCACACTCTTACTGAAACAGCACCAACAGGATCACTGAAACAGCAGCTGCACAGCCATGTGAGAGCTGCACTAAATACACAACAGCATGCCTGGTTCTCTCAGTATGAGTAGTCTGAAAATGTTGCTACATTTCAGCCAGGTGCAAATGTGGATTAGGGCTTAGGCTCATGATTCAGGAGCCAAATAAGGTTAAGCAAGTTCAATTAAGGTCTATTCATATCCAATAATGATAGTTTTCTAGAATGCTGTCATTTTGCAGAGAATGTACAGAAACCCTAGACAATAATGCAGGTTTGGAGAATATTTTAACACAGTTCCAGCATTCTATATAGCACAATTGGCTTAAGTAAAAAAGTATAAGGTTAAATAAAAACACCAAACTTCAATTACACCAGAAACATTGCAAATAACACCCTCTGAATCGGGAGCAATAAGAATTACAAAAAGACAAAGGATTACACAATGGGTGGGCACATTCATCAAACACTGGTGTTTTAGATATATGCAGTGAACTACTTATATAATGGCTAGTTGCTAAATTATTTAATGAACCATATCAAACTCACGTTAATCCAAGATCTTGAAGGTATTGGCCTACCAAGCGGATTACGTCACCATCTCTTTTGGAAATTTTTGGAGGCCTTCCAGATGAGCTTTGCCCATTGGTGGATGCCCCATTGAGGGCAGAGGTGGCTCCATCGCCATGTGCAGCATTCTTCGAACTTCCATTCGTAGCCTGCTGCATACTAACGAGCCTGGTCTTCTTTCGCGGTGGGGGCGAAAAACCACCGTCGCTCGATTCCCCACTAGAGGCCAGAATGGCTACCAGCGCGTGGGATAATTCTGGACTGTGAATACAACCTTGGAGATCACCAACCCACTCCCATTTACGATAACAAAGGCCTCAACACGCCACCTCCCGATAAGGAACGTTTTTACAACATCTACTGCCAAACAAAGCCACACAAAGCAAACAAATCGCAGTCGCTCCCCGTCCTCTCAGTGTTTTGACCTCTTTCGACTCTCAGCTGTGCATTGTTTTGATGACGATGCCAAGTCAAAGTTATACTAAAAAGATCAGCAGTAGGCTACTAAATTGGACAGCTCTGCATTTCCATTTCTTAAAAGCTGCATTTCAACCGGAAATAGTTTCCCTAATTTATAACAATTTGCAATTTTATAGAAGAATATTGATTTTGGAAATGGTAACTGATGTGATAAGTATTTTCTTAGTCATGATTTCTAGATGAACTTATTCTGGTTCAGACAGTTTAGTAGCATTTGTTCCGTAAAATGCGCGCTTGAGACATTTGTGAAACATCGAGTTGGATAATGCATTTGTTTACAGTTTTACGGTACCAATTTCTGAAAGGTGCTGTTTGAAGATGTCAATAGCTAGGCTTTTCCTACCCCGACCAGGGCCTCGGCCTGTCGGGAGCAAAATTCAAAAAAAAAAAAAAATTTACTTTTTTTGTAAATACTTTGAAAAAAAATCATTTTAATTTCATCTGGTAGGGAGATGGCACTTTTGAATGTGACAGGGAAAACTGAGAGGAAACTGAAACTTTAACTGAAACGAAACGCATCATCATAACAATAAAATTTCTCCATTTTTGGATCATTTTTGTTATTAGTCAAAGTTTTGTTTGAAAGGCTTGGTAGGGTCACTTTGAGTAACTTTTTGTTGGAGCTTATTTCATGCATCTGACACTCAAGTTGGGACTGAGACAATTTTCAAGTTTTTCAGTTAAAGTGTTTCACTGGAGCAAATTGGAGCACTGCAATGATCTGATTTTATCATTATCATGGTGTAGGTATGAACAGATTCAGAACCTCTCATTTAATCCAGATTTGATGATTGCTGGCTGACATTTTGATCTTATTTCCCACAGCTATTCCTTTTACACTTGGCAGTATCCGGCCAACCAATGGTTAAGCTCGCTATGCACAGCGGGCTGTCTGATGAAAGCTACTTCATCAGCAGAGCCAAGGAATTGGAGGCCTCTTGTCCAGATGAGGCCAGGGCATGGCTTTTGACAGCCAAAACTCTATTTCCAAGAAGCTTCTCAATACAGGTATGGACAAGCAATTCAATCATTGGTTGTCTAACACAATTTGATCCTTATTATAGAAGGATGATTTGATTGTTTAATCACGTATTTATTATTCAATAAAGAAGTGGAGCATACCTGATGTTTTTTTAATATTTGTGCCATTGTCAGATATTGCTCTTGCCAATAACCATAAGTCCATTAACGTTAAGTCCATTAAGTCCATTACAGTCGGGGGAGGTTTGGTCAATCGTTGTCATTTTTAGCACGTGCTATTTTTGTCACACGTGCTAAAAATGACAACGATTCTGCTATTTTTGACAACGATGAGGCCGATCTCACTCCTCAGCGAGGAAATGAAGATTTTGGAAAGATAAACACTGATTTTGGAAAAGAAGTGCTGCCACCTGGTGCAAGACGAAGAATCCAGCTTTAATATGCCTGTTATTTGTATGGTAGTTTGTTTTGTGGCCTGAAGTTGGAACTTAAAATTGAAGCATCCGAAAATGATCGATATTGATCGAAAACATGATGTTGATGAAAAAAATAATATTTTAAGTTGAGAGAGGAGGCCATTTTATCCAGATGCAGTAGTTTACTTCTTGAAATTATTTTTGCTAATGACGGCTGCTAATTATCCCTCATTACATGGCAGTCGTCGTAAGCAAACATAATTTCAAGAAGTAAACCACCGCATCTGGATAAAATGGCCTCCTCTCTCAACTTAACATATTATTTTTTCATCAACATCATGATTTCGATAAATATCGATCATTTTCGGATGCTTCAATTTAAAGTTCCAACTTCGGGCCACAAAAAAGGGTATACTTCAACGTTGGACTACCATACAAACAACGGCCATATTAAAGCTGGTTTCTTCTTCTTGCACCAGGTGGCAGCACTTCTTTTCCAAAATCAGTGCTTGTATTTCCAAAATCGTGATTTCCTCGCTGAGGAGTGAAATCGGCTTCGTTGCTAAAAATAGCTGATAGCGTTGTCATTTTTAGCACATGGTTGCCAAAAATGGCATGTGCTAAAAATGACAACCATTGACCAAACCTCCCCCAACTGATTAACATAACATAAGTCATTAACATAAGTCCATTAACATAAGTCCATTAAGTTAGTCTTAGGACTTCTCTGTTCACATTAATCACATTTACTACATTTGCCTTCCTTTTGCAGTTTGAGTCCTACAGGCTTGATCGAGAAGCACTCAGTGTCAAGGACTCAGCTGCTCACCTGGAAAGACTGTAAGTGCCAGCTGCTGCAATATCATTGATTCATCAACAATGCACAAGAAGTGCTGTTGCATCAAGAGCAGAGTGTTCCATTTGAGATTGACACATTCAATGTACCTTTTGTCTGTGATTTGGTCTATTAATGTTCTGTGCTGAAACCAGTACCTAATAAGCTCATCAATATATATTTATAGTAACATTGACTTGATGTCAGCTAAACAAAGTTGTATTTTAGTTCATGCTGCAGCTTACATAATCCTTTAAAGGTAGACTGCCACCTTTTTTTCACAAAACGGTTTTCACTAGAGCTGAGCCACCTATGTCCCAGACTGAAGTCGGTTTTCCGAAATTCGAACCCGTTTGCGAGAAATCGGAGACCAAAGTTCAGTTTGATGCCATTTTTTTAGTCCAAGAAAACCGACATCTCTACTGTTTATCGATAACTTTGAAACATGAATTTTCTTATCTTTTGGTAAATATATGTCAAAACTTTGATTGTTTCGAGATCAGAGAAGAATTTTGGAGTGTCAAAATAAAAGTTAAACTTATATATTCAGTACCGTAAAATGGGGTGTTAAGGGACAGTGGGGTGTTAAGGGACAGTTGCATGGAAAAAAACTTTGAGTCATATTAACTTCCTAATTTGAGAAGGTTCAATAAAAACTTCAGTGTGGTAGTTGACACTGTTTTGCTCTTGACCATAGGAGAAAATGGTATGGTTTTTCATGCAAGTGATTTGGTTCAAAAATGGATTTGAAAATCATGCTACATTTTCACAAAATTGAAACATCTCCAAAACTCTGTGTGTACCACATAAACTAGTGGGTGTACAGGGAAAATGAATGCATAGGTGTATTGTCACATGTATTGCACATGTTTCCTGAAAAACTTGTGCAAATCCACCCATTCATTCATCATCCTCTTCCTCTTTTCCGGATACACGCATATTTTGAGGTGGATGTGGGGTGCTAAGGGACAGGGAAGAAAAAATAAAAAATAATATCTAAATATAATTTAATTAAGTAGGCATGGAAAACACCAAATTCCACATAAAATGCTGGCAAGTTCATGCTTTTATCTCTAACACATCTTTAGTTATGTAACAAACCATCTCAACACTCTCTTTTACAATGATGGGTCAATGGAGACTGATGTAGGTAAATGTGATGTCATCATAAAAAGGCTAAAACAAAGAGGGCAACATAATGACAAGTGACTAGCTTCAAGATGGGTTTTTATTGATGACAGAAGATTACTTTTTGGTTCTGTTTACCTTATAATTAGCACATTTTCCACAAGCGTAAACTGCATTACACGTAACTGGCTAAAAAGGTCATGAGTGGTGAATGAACCTGACTTGCTTTGTGACAGAATATGCAAAACATTTCAATAAATAAATTGTGTGCCCTTCCACACCCCAATTGTGGGCATTTGATGACCATTTCTTGGAATAATATAGGTGTCCCTTAACACCCCACATTGGGGTGCTAAGGGACAGTGATGAAAAATAATAAAAATAATATGCATGTATATATTTTTAAAACTTTAATGTAGCAGGCATGTAAAGCACCAAATTCCACATAAAATGCTGACAATTTGATGCTTCTATCTCCAACCCTTCTTGAGTTATATAACAAAACACCTTAAAACTGTCTGTCCCCGTTTTACGGTAGTTCATTTTTCCAAAAAAGTGTGGGAAATGGGGTTTAACATGGGCCAGACCCATTCCAAATGAGCCATGATTTTTTTAATGTTTTACGAACTTAAATGCAAAATAAATTAAACATGGCCAATTTCTTATGAAATCATATATTAGTAAATCATAAAATACCTTACTTTTTCAAATAAAATGTAATAATCTTATGACCTTGAAGTCTAGTGATGTGTAAACATTGTCGCTAGACATTAACCGATTGATAATTGTATGATAATCGACAATTTTTTTCGCGATTCACGTGATGATACTTTGTCAGGTGAATTCTAAAATTTTGTTTTGTCCAGGGAATAAATCATAGGCCGATCTGAGAAAACTTTTTGAAGGTGGCAGTCTTCCTTTAACCCGCGAGTTGCTGGGGGGGGGCGTTAAACGCCCCCACTTTTTTCGCCGGGCCATAGCATAAAAACGGCGCGCCGCAGGCGCGCCAAATTTCGGGTACCTGTAGGAAATTGATTGAAGTTTATTGTGACAAAGTTTCAAAAAAATCGGTCGGAAAATTTTTGAGATATCGAGGTTTTAGTGACGTCATGATTTCTGAGTTTTCGACCAAAAACGGTATATGTTCAAAAAATCATATAAAATCACAGAATAGATATACAGACATGCCGTAAACGCCATTAGACTGCCAATACCATGAGCAATCTAATGGCTATCTTCGATTATTGATTATTGTTCCGCATTTTCCAAAATCTTGAACTGAATCTTGGTAATTTCTCGTGACTACTTCACGACCATGATACATGAATTTCGTAAATTGAACTTTTTGAGCCAAACTCGTACACATATGAGAAAAATAATGTCACCATCGTGTTCTACGCTCCAAATTACCCATAAAACATGTGTCACAGGTTGCGAATATCAGTTTTGATTTTCGGGGATATGTGCCTAGCCGGTTGACCTGACCTTGACCCTGACCTATGCTTGACTGACCCCTACATGGAGCTGACACTCCTGTAAGCCTTATATGATGGATTGTGCACCGTTTTGACAGAGTTTATGACGAGAGGCGCCCATTGCGAAGTCCTGAAATCCATGCTACTGAAAGCCCGATTTCCGGTGTTTGACCTGACCTTGACCTGACCTGTGACCTCAAAATTCAACTTTTAAGTACTCATCTGAAGCGTCTCGTCGCGCTCTTTCGTTTGCCGCCTCGTGCGTTTCGCTGCGCCTATTGGTTCTCGAGTTATCGGCTGGGGGCGTTTAACGCCCCCCCCCAGCAAACGGTGGGTGGCGAAATACCCCAGCAACTGCCGGGTTAATCCTTCTGTGATATAGCCAGCTTGAGCATACTTTAATCCCTCTGTGAAACGACCACCTTATCTCTCCATATTTACCCGCAGTTGCCGCGAGTTCCCCGATGAGCCCGACCTGTGGGCCGAGATGCGAGTGCTGGCGGACGCTCTCCGCTGCGAGGACGATGACGGACAAAGCAAGTTTCTCCGCGAGGTGTTCTGTCAGCTCTCCACCGGTGAGTGTAGCTCTGTCTGCCGGATGACAAGACTCGGTTCGTGACAAGACTCGGACAAGTTTTGTCAAGTGGTGATGTAGTTGGTAAACTGATTCTCGTTTGTCTTTTTCCGACCGGAGCATCCGCATACGCCGTGTCCAGTAGATTCTCGGTCCGTTTATCACGTCATCAATACATGGTCGGTCACATTGGCGGCGATCCGGTAAACTGCAGGTTATATCCACTCACAGAGATACGCGCCTCTGACGTTTTGTCAACTAAGCTATGGAACGGAACTAATTGGCAATTTCGGAAGTTTACTGATATTTCGTAACTTTGCGTTGTGCTGTATACGGCACAAGACATTGTAGTCCACTCCAGACCGAATCCCGCTTTTTCGATTTTCAGCCACTGCTCGTTGCCATTTGGTACCACAGCTCGTTGCCGTTTCGGCCAGAGGTGTGTGGTGAAATGTTAACACATATTATGTGTCCAACGCTATAGACAAGTGTTTGGTGACCTGACGCGATGCTATCGTTTCATTGACTACGTTCCTGCACACCAGACTTTCTACCATGTCCGCTGACGTGGTCTGTCCTCCGTTACAGACCTGCAGCACCGCGGCCTCTCAGTGATCGCGGACCGGAGCAGCGACACCCTGGAGCACTGCCAGCTGGTGCTGCTGCTGCTCAACAAGTTCCCCAACATGGTCAACGGACACGGAGTCAGTGATGAACGTCACCTGTGGTTACATTCCAGTGGCTGGGCTTTAGAGATGGCTTGAGATAGTGCGATGGTGGGCGTTTTGGAACGAGTTGTGGTTCTAAAATTTGTGTCGATTTTTTGGTATTCTGTTCCCTATTTCGCTGTGCTCATTGTTCTTCCTCCTTCAGTTCCATGGAGTTGTAAAAACTGCTAGGAAATTAACATTTCAGTAGAGATGCTGACTAGTTGGTAATTGACATTGACAGCTGAGCCTAGGGTTCGTGATGTCAGTAATGAGTCATTGATAGACACTCTATTTATGTCTGGATTGTCTCTCGACTTCTCCTGAGGCTATACTTTGTTAGGTTTTGACAGGTCAAATATTCATCAAAAGGATGTCGGTTTTCTGCTGCACTGATGACTGACGTATTACCGTCCATTTCGTTAGCTAACCAACCCTGGACAGCGGGACCAACTCATTTCGCTCACTAACCAATCACCGACTATTCGTTTGGCAGACGAGGGTCGTGGATCTTCTGCTTACCTCAGAAAAGCACGCACACTTCAAGTCGCCGCTGAATAAGTACAGGAAATTTCTGGGTGAGTTCTATTTTGACATGGTTTCTATGTTTCGCCAAACATGATTGATTGACGTATCGAGCATTGTAAAATACTGGGGTTTAGCGAAAAAAAAAACGCTTGAAAAACTCATGCGTTTTATTGATATATCTATCTGCCTGCTACTTTCACCATTAGTCGTATTGCTGCTTTGCGACTGCTAACGAACTATCCCTTTACCTCTGTCGTTCATTTCCGTGTTTGATTTGACGGCGGATTATACGAAATTTAACAGCTACGTGACTGTAACCTCCTGGGTCTCCAAACCATTCATTTGTTGTGTATGGGTTTTCAATCAGTTTATGCTGATTGTACTTTGATTGTTGGCCATAAGTCTAACAGTATATCGTAGTTATTGATAGTTGCGTGTGTTACTGTCGAGGGTGGAGTGTCACGTGCCGTATCGATGAGTGTCCTGCTCCGAAGGCACTCGCTATTGCTCCAGATCGTGACCAGACCTGACCCGTACCCATCGTCCCATTCTCTGACCCGAGCTAACACGCGCCCGTTTCAGTGTGCGACCTTTTGCCGAGTCTACTCAGCTCTAGCGCCTCAGACCTCACTCATAAACAGCTGACGCGCCTATTTCTACGCACCGTCGAGTTCTACGTCTGTTATATGGCGTCGGATAATACCAAAATACAGGTCAGCCCTGGCCCTGCGTTACACCATAATTGTCCGAGCAATTCCTTGACGACAGTAAATAACGACTAGAATCGTACAACTATATACAACTATATATTATAGACTCTACTATGCAGTAGCGGCGAAACACCTTCAATTAAGGGGGGGGGGGGGGCACTGCCGACTTTTGGTCCCATTCTTTCCATGCAACGTCCATAGGGCTAATGTTAAAATGGCAAAATCAAGGGGGGCACAGTGCCCCGGTGCCCCCTCCCCCCGTTCCGCCGCCTATGAGACTACGCGTAATTTACCATGTAGTTCCGTGTTCAGCTACGATAGGTACGATCTGAAATACCCAGACTGAGTCGGCTAAGTTCACCGCTCGGTGTGTGATGAACCTTACAATGATAACACTGACACACAGCATACTACGACTCACTTTCGAGTTTTAATGACCACCCACTTCACATAAATCGATCCCCTCCGCCTACGCCGTTCCCCGTTACACCCTGTCTCCATGCCGGTCTACTTAACACCGATGTCAACCACCACCCCTACCCATCGTCGACGCAGACTACATCATCCATTACAGTTTATGGTCCTGTAGCACCCCTGATCGTTGCACTTCCTGTGACCCGCTACATATTGGCCGGCCCCTGGGCAATCTCCGCCGGTAGCACCTTGCAACTGATGAGTATCGATCCAGGACAGGGTGGGGAAATTAGAGCCTATCGAGCGACTAGGACTGCGGTGGGTGGTTGGAACATTCTGGGTAATTGGTATGGTATAGTGCTAATGAAGTACGAGGTTGATGACGGTGAAATGTCGTGTGTCAATGGTGGGCAGTTGTGATGATTGTTTTGTGGTTAACCGTCGTTGTTAAATCGTGCCGTGAATATCGAACTGCGCAATCTGCAATATGAGCTTTGTGTACCTTGAACTGTACTGTGGGCACTAAGTACTGTTTGTACTACACTGTATTGTACCTTCTATAGGGAACAGGAGCGGAGGAACCGGTGGAGCTGCGCCTGGCCGACCCCTGGAAGGACATGTGCAGTCTGTGTCAGCTGGCCGCCAACAAACTGCACTGGCCACTGGCCGACGTCTTCACGCACAAGCGGTAAATATCGGACCGATTTAGATTGGACGCTCAAAACGCACTTGATGCTCACCATGTTCCAAATTCGTTATTGTATTGTATTACTCGTACCTACTCGTTGATGACATGTGTTACGTTCGTAGCCTCGTCTTTGCAACTCGCTTCCTGACATAATTATGACTTAACGCAACTCTCTTCTGACACACTGACTTGTTCTCGCACAATTTTCCATTATTTTACAGTCCCCTTCCCTGCGCTAACCTATTCTATCTGTTTGCAGGTCCCGTGACCTGGTGTGGCAGCAGCTGGCCTCCTTTTTCCGCGAGCACTCTGCCCGCCAGGAGGACCCGTTCGTTCACTCTCAGCTGGTGTACTGTACCGTGGCCGTAATGCTGCAGGCGGTGGTCGAATACAGTCACAAAATCGACCCCACGATGGCGCCGGGTGAGTCGTGAGGGTGGGACGCTGGGGGTACGGGAGGGGGAGGTTGGGTCTGATGGAGGGAGTACCGGAGTGGTGGGTCGAGGAGGGACGACCGGAGCCAGCCCTGCCGGATGAAGACGCCCTGCTGCCCCACAAGCCATGCCTACGCAGAGTGGGCCAGTGGACTCTGAGGGAGGCGGGAGTGTCGGGCTGCCCAGCGGAGCCGTTCCTGAGGGTGTCATCGGAGCCGCCGTGGTCGGCCCATCAGGGGTCAGTGACCTTCATCGTGGACTTACCAACCACCACGCGGCGGACAGACCCACCTGACAAGAGGAGAGAGGCGGCAGAGCGCGCCCTGGCCGCCCTGCCCGCGCCAGACTGCTCCATATGGAGTGACGGCTCGGCGGCCGGAGGCACGTCCAACGGAGGAGGAGGAGCGGCCATCATCCTGCACCGGGAGAACGACCGCAGGATCGAGTGTCTGGCAGCTGCAGGCACCCACTGCAGCAGCACCAGGGCGGAGCTGGTGGCAGTCCGGGAGGCACTGAAGTCCCTGGCGAGCCTGCCAGCCGACTCCCTAGACGCCATCAAGGAGATCCGCCTTTGCACCGACTCCAGGGCGTGCCTACAGACGCTCCAGCGCGGGCAGGCAGCCCAACAGGAGGAGCTACCGGCGAGCATCTGGGCCTCTCTCCATGACTTCACGTGTTTCGGGAAGCACGTCACCCTCCAGTGGGTACCGGGGCATGCTGGCATCCCTGGTAATGAGGACGCCGACAGGCTAGCCAACCGAGCCGCGGCAGAGCTAAGCCAGGCAGCGGTCCCGCTGGACATGGCCGGCGCCCGAGCGGCGATACGCCACAGATCCGCCGAGTGGACCGCAGCCCGAGCCAAAGCTCATCCTCACCTACCACCCACGCCCGGACACGAGGACCTGACCAGGTGGGAGCAGGTGACACTGTCTCAACTGAGAGTGGGAAGATCAGTGCTCACAAGGAAGACTCCACGAGATCGGTCTTGCGACAAGCCCCGACTGCCTGAACTGCGAGGAGGAAGACTCGGTTGCACACTTGCTGACCGAATTGGAATGCCCAGCGTACGCCCGCATGAGGTCCCGCCTGTGGGGCGGACCTCTGCCGAGCCTGGGGCGTGTGCTGGGCGGATCAGCGACTCTCATCTTCGAGTACCTGCGGCGGGTGGGCCGTGTCGACCCCCCGGTCGACGCTGCCACGGCCGTGGCCGCCCCGGCGGCCACGGCGTGACGTGTAGAAGAAGAAGTGGTGGGTCGATGTATGACTGTTGTAAAAGTGTCAATGTCAATGCAGTTTGTAAACTTGATGGCGATGTAGCTTTGTGTTTCGATGCCTGGACCCCTGAATGCATGCATCTTCGTATGATATGAGTAGGATTGCTACTGGCATGAACGCCCTGGCTCCTCCACTCTAGATACATCGAATTGAGAATGTGTATAAACCTGCCTCGTCAACCATCTGACACCCCTACTCCCCGCCCACTCTCCGCAGGCTCTCAGAGCAGCAGCGGCGGCGGCGGTGGCGGAGCGGCGCCTCCCAGTCTGATGCTGGTGGAGGCCTTCCCCGAGCCCCTCTCATCCACCACCTCCCTCCTCGGCTCCGTCCCCGGTCCGTCAGTGCCGGGGCCTGGGCCGGCGCACCGGCGCCACCGCTCCCAGGAGCTGGACCCCACCGAGCCACTGCTCACGGTGTCCCGGCAGGTGACGTTCAAACCGCAGCAGCTCACCCTGGCCTTCCTGACGGGTGTCCGCTGCTGGAGCCTGCTCTCGCAGAACCCGGCGCTCGAGAAAGGTGTGTGGTCTTGGGAAGAGGATGGACGAGGAAGATGATTTGACGAGCTGTCACGGAATGTTCCTTGAGTACTCTCGTCTAACGGTTAAAAAAGTCGAAACTACACACTACACAGACCCACGTAATAATCCGGGATTGAACGCCCATTTGATCTTTCGATTCCATTCATGTCGCTCTTTTTGCACATTTGCTTTTCTTCCAATCAGTTCTAATGTGGTACAATGCTTACACGTAACCGTATAACGCAATGGAGCTCTAGCCAACATACCAAGCTTGTGGCATCATTCGCTCTCCCCCCGCCCGGCAGAGTTCCAGCGCGTGTGGCAGCACGTGCTGAGCGGCAACAGCTGGCCGTGGTTCCAGTCGTTTGTCACCGACGTCCATCTGTACGCCGACCGACTGCAGGAGCTCGCCTACCGCACGGACGCGGCGGCAGCCGCCGGTCTGGGCGGCACGGGCGGCACCGGCGCCCACTGCTGCCGGGCGCTGCTACAGAGGATGGCCGCAGCGTTCGGCACCGGCGACTATCAGGTGGGGGAGGGGGAGAGTCTTGGGAATTAAGTACAGGGTCATGGGGATTGTTAGATGAGTCATGGGGGCAGAGTTCTGGATATCACCTGCTCAACTAGCCCGATGATCAAGCGGATACTCTAGGTGGACTTAGTGATTGTGATGATTTGTAAGATTGTGATGTTTATAAGTCGGTCGACTCAAAATCATAGTGCCTTCCTGTGGCGTACCTAGTTATTTGAGTGTGACGACACGTTAGCTGTCAGACAGCCTGTACGCTGATGCTCGTGGGACCTCCATTTTCCTCCCTACACCTCACGGTTGACGTCTTTCTGTCAATTCGCTTCCAGCTGGCCGGTGAGCTGTGTCTCCACATCCTGACGGGACCTCTGCTGCCGTCTGCACTCGGTGACCCGGCCAAAACTCAGGTAGTGGCCCAGTGTGCCCAGAACCGGCACCTGCACTTCCTCAGCTACACGCAGGCCGATGTCAGCAAGTACTGCATCAAGGTGCTCACACTCTGTCTGCAGGTAAGGACACCGTGACGGCTCGCAGTTCATTGTTGCTGTTCTTCGTTTGGTGTGCCAGCTTTTCGTCTTCTAAGGTAATATACTTTCTGACTGGTTAAATGATGCATGAAGTGCGCTAAATATATCTGCAGCTGGTTGGCCTTATAAGCTTCCAAGTTTCCAACTCACCATTAATAGTATCATCATCGATCATCTCCATCATTCACTGACACAAAAATGGTTTACTTTGCCTGAAATTCGATGACATTCTCTGGACGTGTACTCACCTTGTCTTATTCTCTCCACAGAAGAAGGTGCTGGGCCCGGGTGCGTTTCAGGATAACGCTGTCGGCCACTTGATCGTGTTACTGCAGTACGACTGGCCCACCGAAGAGCCCATCTTCTCCAAGGTGCGGCCTACGTTATGATAATCTGGGTTCCTATGCTGACTTCGTGGGGGTGGTTGCAGCGCTGAGGTGTTGGGGCCTGGGGGGGGGGTCTGGGGGGACATTTGGGGGGATGGAGACATTTTGGTTTGTTATTATGGGGCTCTAAGTTCTACGGACTTATGCGGCGTCTTGACTTTTGGGGTTGATGGTGAATGCCACATGAACAATAATATTGTAGTACCCTTTTGGTGTTCGCTTTCCTCAGTTCTCTGTGACTCGATTTTCATACTCTGCCGTTGCCTGGCTGCGACCCAGTGATATCTAAGACGCTGATACTCCTCCCTTTGTCCAACACCCCCCGTCCCTCCCTCGTTTCAGGTGGTTCATCTGATTCGACAGCACGGCACCCTGACGTACCCTCAGTTCGTCCACTACGTCACCTGTCCCGACATTGTGGAGGAGTTTGTGTACCTCAACACGGAGCACGGGGGCGGACTCACGTTCAGTCTAGTGCCCGCCCAGCAGCCGCGGTTAGTATCCGACAGAAAACCCTACATCGGTTACCAAGGCTAAAGTGGTTCCGTGAGTTCAGTTGAGATGATGGTACTTTTGATTCAGTCATATGTCCCTTGTAACTGTCCTGGGTCATTTCGGTGACGATTCATTTACTCAATGAACAGCAGCAGACTTCTGAGTACGATTCGTATCGAGGCGTGCGATGCTGCTGAAATTTGTCTCGTCTCAGTAACCGGTGCTCCATGATGCATGATGGGCACGGGGCATGTCTCATCTCCCCTGCCATGTATCACTCCCCCCCTCCCCCACACCCCACACTCGTCACTACCCGCGCCCCGCCTAACGCCGTCGCTCCCGTCCCATTTCCAGCCAGCGGACGATATCGACCCGGGGCGTGGACAAGGGCGCCCGGGAGGAGTTTCGCATGGCCATGCTGCAACAGATTCGACGCACGGAGTCTACGCTGACACTCATAGGCGAGTTCCTAACGGCGCAGAAAGACGACGTGCTGCGCTGTCTCAGGTGATCGATGGCTCGCGGAGAGGCGAGACGGGAAGGGAAAGAGAGAGTAGAGTAGAGGAGGGGAGAGGGGAGGCTGGGGTAGGGTGATACCTTCTCATGGCACATTGCCATCGCCCAGTCCTTGATACGACGAAGTCTTGGTCGACAGTGGTGGCATGGAAGGGTGACCAACATTGTATTTCGCTGTGATTTGTTTCGTTCCCCGTGCTGTCATGAATTACCGTCACGCATGCAAGCCACTACCGTCATGAATTTGCTTACATCTCGCTCGTACAAATGCGGTTTTACCGAGCGATACGAAGTGACGTTGTTTGTGATATGAAAATGTCGCCTTGCTTGTCTCGCGCGCTAGCAAATGAAATGGTTCATGAAGTGTTGATACAGCATGCTGTGCTCTTTATTAGAGCATGCCAAGTGATTCATTCAATGAACTCGACAGGCAGAGGTTGAATAATGTGAAACTGACACAAGTGCATGCGAGGGAATCAGTTTTCTAATAAAATGTCAATTTCTTGCTTGATAGCGCAGTTGATGCCTGTGAACATGGGCAAAAGTAATTCTGACGTGGCTCGGGACGTTGACAGCGTTGTATTTGTCAAATTAAGCCAATGGCGGAAAGTTTTGAACAGATCCTTACATCGCAATATTAACTCCGTAGCCCAGCCCGCTCCTATTCCACAGCTGGGGACGACTGCTGGAAGTACGGATGGCACCGGGAATCGAACCCTGGTCGTCCCGGTCCCCGAACTGGCACCCTACCACCCGCTCCACCAGTGCCACACAAGGTCCCACTTCCACCATAAGACACCCAAACTCACTGCTGTTGTGCCTCGATGGTTTATTTTTCGATAACACGTAAATGATTGCGAGAACAGCTAGGTATCGACTAAGAATGCGGATACGACGATACTCTTACATTGGTGAACGAGTGGCGTCTGAACAGCCGTGCGCCGCTCAGGCTGGCCGATCGCCACCGTTCCAAACAAAACAACAGTTCGCGCCGCCGGCTATGTACACACATGAATAAATAATCCTCTCTCCAGTCCACATCTGTCTCAGCTAAGATATCTACACACGCGCCCAGCTGCCTTGTCTTTGACGGCGCCCGCGCGCCCTCGTCTCTTATGGAATCTTACCCTGACCGCAGTGGCGCCATCTCTTGACAGCGACGACACACAAGTACGGCAAACAACGCAAACTAGGAATCACAGATACTGTAGACGTCGGGCCGCCTCCGAGCCTCCACCCTCGCCACCGAGCGGCTGGGCCGATGTCGGCCCGGCCGGAAGCTCTCCCGTCCCCGAAACGACGCCGTCCTGCACGCGAAACAACGCCCGCAGCCGCACGCGCGAGCGAGCACACACTAGTCCAACAATGGAGACGGAAAGAAATCGTCGGCGATTTGTACGCTAGCGAAGCGGGCGTGGCTCGGCGGCCGGCGCCAAAATGACACAAGATGACATCATGATATGCGTGTAAGTCAGACTGGGCGATTCGCTGGTATAGCGCCGCCCATGGGACCCAGCGTCCGCCGGCATTCGAGCTGCTAGAAGACCGCCGCAGGGACCAGGACGCGGACCAGGGGTCACTCTGGTCGGTCCCGAGGTCAGGACTGCGGGACCGGAGGTCCTGGTGGGTCAGCTCGGGCGGGTCACCGACCGTGACCGGTCAGCGGACGGCCAGAGGTCACAGGTCATGGTCAACAGCTCAGGGCGACCCGAGAGGATCGGCGGGACCTACAGCGTGTCATCAGTGCCAATGGACACCTCGCGAGGTCACAGGTCACGACTCTTTGCCTCCGCCGGATCGCCCCGCGTCAGTCTCTGAGCCTATCAGTCGGCAGAGCGTCCCTACGACTGCGGCGCATACCAGGCCGCTGGCGACTTGAGCGCGTCATAGCTCCCGGGCGACTTTGGCGAACTATGATAGAGGTGGAACCCGGTCGGGTCAGGGTAGAGCCTGCTGGGGTCGCCGCCGAACTGACTCTGCTCCAGGCCGGCCAGGTACGGGTACGGCTGCGGTTTGAACGACTCAAATCTCGGGTCGAACTGTTCACCGTGCGCGGCCTTGTCTCGAGGAGACACAGATGACGGAGGAGTCATGCTGTGGTAGTCGTACCCGGCTGATACGCCCCCTCCGCCGTACGGCAGCGCGTACCCGTCCGTGGCCAGCTTGTAGAACTGCTCGTTGTACGTCTCGCCGCCCGGCGGGGTGGGTAACATGTTCTGCATATCGGGGTAGTAGGCGGCGCGGCTTGCCGCTGCCTGGATGTTGGAGCGTATGACGCTCTCACGACTGGCGTACAGCTGTCGGAGCAGGGTGGAGGCGGGCGCCTGGCTGCCCGCACCGATCCACTGGATGGTCGGCCGCTGCTGGTTTCTCAGCAGCGCGTCGGCGCTGAAATCCGTCGGCTCTCCGGGAAGGTGTTTGGACATGGCCGACTCGAGCTCCTTCACTGAGCTGGTCTCGTCACAGCGGGTGGGTTTCCAGCGGGGTTCCGCCCCGCGCTCCGGCGGCGGCTCGGCCGTTCCGCGCGGACTGGGCGCCGGCCGCGGCTCCGGAGTCTCCTCCGGCGCCAGTTTCCGTTTCCGGGAGCGGGCGGTGTCCGGAGCCGGAGCGGCCGGAACCGGAGCGGCAGAGAGCGGAGCCACGGCCGGAGCCACAGACAGGTTCATGGAGCCGGACGCCTCCGCACGCTCCGAGCCCTCGAACGACGAACTCGTCTGTCGGAAAACACGGCGTCTGTTAGGACCACAGTGCTCGACAAGAGATAGACATTTTTCCTGATGATTGATGGGTCCTGTGGGTAATTGAACCTCACGCTTTTCAGAAAAAAAAAGAAGAGAACTTCCAAACTGTCGGGAGCTTGGAAGCTGCTTGGCTTTACAGCACTATGGAAAGTCCGAGGGCCACTCGCGAAACTGACAGCTGGAATCAGCTAGTGCTCACCTCCGTTTTCACTTTGGTGTGATCCTGTGACATTTGTTTGGCCGATCCTTTCGACTCGACCACGCCGTCAATACGCAGATCACTCGTGCTCTCGCTGGCTCCCGGGGACGACTCGGACGCCGTGCTGCTGCCATCTGTGGACAATTAACGGAACCGTCAGTTTCCTTCCTCTCCGCCTCATCTCCGGAGATACGGCGCTGACATCGCTGTCAACAAGCCGCCCCGACCTGTGTGGGCGACACCAATCGCGACGCGGCAGAACAATGTACGCCCAGTCAGAACGGCAGCTTTTTGTCGAGTTCGGATGGTCTTTAGACGACGGTAAAAACCACGGCAGCCGCTCATGCGACACACCACGGTCTGGGCGTTCGCCGGTTTCTGACATGAGAATCGTATGACATTGGCCACACAGGGCGGTGTTTCCGACCGCGAGGGACACCACTCGAAGCAGGACCGTTACTTTGTAACACCCAGCCCTGCGCGGCGTCTTAGCGCAGCCCTCCTCCGAGCTATTGCTGCATCCGGTACAGAGTCAGCCAATGCTGATGAATGTCCCGCCCCCGGTGCTGAGATGATAAATATTGTATTTTGGGCTGAATGACGTGTTATTACGCTCATCCGATAAGCAATATATCTGCACACTCCCTCATTGAGTCGATTTATGGTCATTACTCAATCAGGCATGTCATTAAACTGATGCCACCCGTAAGCTTCAAAGGGCTCTCCGCCGCCTCTGCTGCGGCGCGGTATAACAATGCTCCTGTCGACTGACCAGTCAGTTGACCAGCCGTGACCTCGAGGTGACCCCGCTGTGACTTGACACTGACCTGTCCTCTCCGGGCCGGTCGAAGGCAGGCCGCCGCCGTCATCCGACCGTGTGGAGACGCCTCCTGTCATCTGGGACTGGTCCATAAATACACCCTCCTGCTCCGTCCGACTGTGGAAAAAAGAGTTGTCTGAGTTAGGACATAGTCGCTTCGGATCATAGGCGAGGGAGCCGGGGGGGGGGGCAGTGGGGGCAGCTTGCCCCCCCCCCAACTCTGGGGCCGTGGGGGCGATGCCCCCACAGCTTTGAGACGGAATACCACACTTTTTTGCAAATGTTTTCTTTTTTGTTGAAAAAGCCAAGGGATGAAAAATAAGTGGCCTAAAACCGGTGAGAAAACTAGATTTGGGGGTACCCTAGGTTGATCTCTATTATGGTGTGCCCCCCCCCAGTCTGAACGTAGTTCCCGCGCCCCTGCTCGGATGGTTTGGAGTCTTGGACGGAGTCGTCCGAGTTAGAGGGGTCGAATGAGTCTGGATGAGCCTGGCCATGAGTTATTTTACTTGAGGTCACGATTCGGGAGTGAATATCAAATCTGATGAGTCAAGAGTCTTTGTAATCGCCAGCAAGAAAACAAGCAAACAGAGTACAGACACTAAATTTGACCGAAACAGTTCGTTACCAGCGTTAAATATCATCCGCAGCCCGAAGACGAATCCCGTTCTACTCACGATATGACGGTGTTGACGCAGATGATCATCTGTTCCTCGGCGTTTTTGTTATTGCACACGATGGTGGCGCAGGTCTGAAGCCAGGTGTAGCCGCCTGACTTGTTCAGTAGTCGGTAGTAGGAGGTAAGCACCTGACCTTTGTTCAACACTGAAACACACAGACGCACATGATAATACAGATGAGCAGCTGCAATAGTTTTTGGAGTTCACATGCCCTATGAACACAGTAAAGGGAAACGGATTTAGTACCGAAATGGTGTGTTGCCAGTGAGAAAAAAAAAATGCACTGCAGCACAGTCATTTTTCGTCACCTGGCTAAGCAAAACGAACCCACGGTTATCACAAAAATAACCGACGGTTGTGTGTCGGAACACAAACTACCTCCCTCGGGCTCAGTCTGCTCCCTAAAAGGGGAAGCCCGGGAGAATTAGGAGGCCATAATCCTGTGTCCTCCGGTAGGAAATCACGCCTCTGGTTTGGAAAACCCAGCCTCCCGGTCTGCCGGTCCACGGGCCACCGTGTGGGCCGGGCGGGGCGCCGGCGGGTCACCGGGTGCGCCGGTGAGCCCGCCTCCTCAGGAGCCGCGCCGCCGGCCCCCAGCCGCTAGTATATCATCCCGCGGCGCGTTTATTAACACTGGACGGGTGTAAATTGTCTACAGCGTGCAGAGAGCTGCATATCAACACCGCGCCGGCAGAGGTGGCGGCATGTCGACGGGTGGCATGGCCGGGCGAGAACCCTGTTTGACCCCGGAAAGAACCCTGCCTAACCGGGCGAGAACCTTGCTGACCTGGGTGAGAACCCGCGACCTCGGGATGAGAGCCGTCTGACCGAGACAATAACGCTGGTCTTTCTAGGACTTAACGCATAACCAGAGTCAAAAGCAGAGAATTTCTCTAATCAAGAATCCAGCCTCAAGCAGACGTCAGCACTCGATTACGGTATTAGGCAAGATGTCAGAAGGTTCTCGGGGTGGACTCGAGTACGGTAGCAGGCAAGTTGTCAGAAGGCTCGCGGGGTGGATAGGGCCCACTTACGGTCTACGTGCGCCTTCCTCAGCAGGTGGGCGTCGGCTCCGTGGCAGAGCGTGTACAGACTGCGACCGGTCAGCTCCTCAGCACTGTAGTCGAGCATCTCAGATACCCTGTGACGGACGAAGAACGGTCAGAGAACGGTCAGAGAATGGTCAGAAAACGGTGAGAGAACGGAGGGAGAGAGAATGAGAGAGAGAGAGAGAGAGAGAGAGAGAGAGAGAGAGAGAGAGAGAGCGTGTGAGAGAGAGAGAGAGAGAGAGAGAGAGAGAGAGAGAGAGAATAGAGAGAGAATAGAGAGAGAGAGGGGACAGAGAGTCGTAAGAGGGTGATTAAAAAGCGATCGGTGGACACACGCGGTAACCAGAGAGAGAAGTCAGACGGCGGTCAGCGAGAGGGCGGACGTCGGCCAGACAGGCCGGCAGTAAGGCGGGCAGACGTGTCTGCAGATCCAGCAGGACAAATCGGCAGCTCGTTCTTCAATCACAAACGTCCGATACGATCCGCGCTGAAAGCAGCGCTAATTGGAAGCTGGGTAGGTGCCTTTAACGGACATATCTAACTACAGCTGTGGTTACTAATTAGACAATAAAAAGCTGCCGTCGAATTAATCACTACACCTTTCCCGCTCCCGGTCCCACAGCCCTCTCTCTTCCAGCTCCTCCCGCTCTTGCATCCCTTCTGTCTCTCCCTCTATTCTATCGTCCCCAACCTTTCCTTCCACTATAACTCTGTCGTCTACTTAATTCTTTATCCGTCTCCTCCTGCGCTCTATTTCTCATCCTTTCCTTTGCATGCTCCAGTCAACCCTCTATACCTCCTTCTACACTACATACACTACCCTAATATATCAGTCCTCGTGCCTCTCCCTCCCTGCTCCCCCGTTTCCACTCCCATGCCGTCGTGCTGCTGATAACAGTGATCTCCGCACTCACTTGGGCTCGCAGTGGGCGATTTGAAAGTCGAACGTCAGCCTGGTGACGAACATGTCAGCGTCCAGGCGCACTTCATTGACGCTCGGAGGCGGCAGCGCTATCGCCATGGCGACCAGACCGAGCAGGTTCGGGGACGACGTCTTCCGATTGTGGGAGAACGCGTACTGTGGCCTCAGGCGGCACTGCAGAAGAACGACCTGGGGACGGGACGGCGAGGGGTTAGGGGAGGTTTTTGGGGGCGATGGGGGCGGGTAGTGACGGTGGTTTAGTCCGTCTGTAGATAAAACGATAAATGTAAGATGAACGACGAACGTTATTAACAAAGTAACCTTTTTTACTTTAAATAAATGCCACACATTAAATTCATCAATAAGCCGTCACTTGCATGCAGTTCGGCACAAACAGGACGCAATAGGTATATTGCTTGTGCCGACTCCATAGGTCACTGTTGCATGAACGCCACGAGACATACCCTGTATCCGGGCGTTTTGAAGTGGCAGCCCCTCTTGGTGAGCGTGGACTTCATCCGTACACAGATGGCCCGGTCCAAGCCGTCGTATCCGCTGTTTGAGTCCACCGTCATCACGGCGTTCACTGCGGAACAGAGGTCAGGTCAGGTCAGGTCAGGTCAGGTCACCTGCAGTGATGTCAGTCGTTAGGGGATACACGATCATGATGGTGCTCACTGCAGGGCGCATGCCAGGTCAGGTCATCAGAGGTAACGAGTCACGGCGCTTAATTTAAGGAAGAGGTCAGATCAGGTCAAACTACATCTCTGTTACATCAGGTCAGGCTGCCAGGAAACACATCTTAACTAACATTCTACATAACCGAACGAAAGCTCGGAGATCGCTAATATCTTAGCCTCCAGTACGTGGGTGTTCAACCACGCTCCAGGCACCATGGTCTTAAACGGTCGCCAGGGGCACTGAGCTCTCAGCTCACTGGCCGAGGCTGACGGGCTCAGCTCGACCAAAGCTCTCTGATCCCGGGGCTCGGGCGGCTCCGGAGGTGAGACGTGACCCAGCAGGTGCGGCAAGGAAGGTAGCTGCGGCTGCACGGGTGGGGACAGTGGGGGCTAAAGGAAGGTCCTAGATGGGAAAAGCTACAAAGCTGCTGCGCCTATTTCAGCTAGCTCACAGGTGTCCATTGTGGTGTATGCGATTGTCGTTGTCCGACCGTCGAATCACGTCTCAGAAACTGCGGTACCATGTCACGATTTCGTTGCCAGCCAGGTCGCCGGAATCAGGGGTCACCCGGTCCTTCCCCTTCCCCGGAGGGGGGGGGGGGCAGGGCGAATGTGGGGCACGTGCGCCGGCCGCCAGCCGCTCCATAAAGTATTTAGCCCCGGATGGCTCCGGCCGGCTTAAGTGCGCGGCGGATTTTGTTTTATAGTGGCCATTCCGGCGTTTATCTGGAGTCGGCCGGCACGTTTTATTGAGAGACATAGTGAGTTGGGCAGGCCACCGGCGCACCGGCATACCAACTGCGACAAAGCCAGCGCGGCCAATCCTTTTAAGGCCACTTCAGACCGGTAATTGGAGCGATGTGATTCGGAGACGGTGTTTGTAACGGAGACGACCGCCGTTTGATGAGAGTTGGCAGAGCGAGCCACCTGATCAGGACAAGTCTTGGTTTTAGTTTTTGTCCTGGTTTGGTATCTTATCGTTGTAATTTACAGCCCAGCTACGAGATGACGTACTTTGTGGAAACAATAACCGTATTAGTCGTTATCGTCTTTCCATTTGGGACGGACGGCCTGACTACCGTACTACGCGACCTGCACAAAAAAAACGAACATCTGATAAAACGTGAACAGGGACGTGTTTTGTCCTACGAACCACCAGCGGATTAAACAGACTTTTTATACGTCATCATCAGAGGAGAGATTCCTGAGGAAGCTGGCCGGCTGTGTGCGCCGCTGACGCGTCGTCACAGCCTGTCACGGGTGTCAGGGGCTCGCCGTGGGCGGGCTGTGTCTGGGAACAGCGGGGCTGTGTACGAGGTGGCGAGGAACAGCAGGACGGTGACGGGGACAGACAGGTAGGCGGCTCCTGAGCCACGGAGCGCCGGCTCCCGAGCCACGGAGCGCCGGCAGCCACACAGGCGAGGTGTCTGAGGAATTCAGGAAGGAACGGGGATACGCAGACTCTGCAGACACCGTGACTTGAGTGACAGAAGAACCGTGAGGATGGATACGAAAAAAGCGAGGCAAACCGAATGCAGATTAAACTATTCAAACGGGTGCCTTGCCTTGCGGTTCTTTACATATTGCTATGTAGGAAACCAATAAGTCAGATGAATCGCGACAAATATATGTGGTATATTATAGCTTTTTTTCGCGATGTTCTCATCGGTGATATTCATCTCCCGACTCACATGTGTCACCACTGGTAAGAGCCCTCTCCCAACTCACTCTCCCCATAGTGAGAGCCCTCTCCCAACTCACCGTCGGGGTTGTGCGTGCCGACCGGACCGGCGTTCTCCTCTCCCGGTGAGGCGAGCGGTCGCCCGTTACTCAGCGTGAGTCCCGTGTGCTCGGCGAACTCGGCGTGATCCTGGGAGTGAATGTAGTCGAAAATACTACTGCCGCACATCTCCACCTGAGAGAGAGAGAGAGAGAGAGAGAGAGAGAGAGAGAGAGAGAGAGAGAGAGAGAGAGAGGGGGGTCAAATGCGGTGCCTTTGTCTAAGCAGTGTGGCATTTGCACGGTACTTTCATCATTCATGCATGATAAACGATGCAACATGTCCGGGGCTTACAGCTCATATTACCTTACCAGCTTACACTCTAAACTAACACCCGTGATTACCCGGCCTACATTATGTTAACACCACGCATTAGGCGTTCCGGCTACTGGGCGTATAATGTAAACCCATGGGCGCATAGTGCACGCAACATTTATCATCATTTCTAAAAATACAGCGGCATATAACACCTGCTCACCACCCACTGCACGTCTCAGGGGCTTCACTGGGCCCGGTGCACACTTCTCGAGCTGCGCACAACCCACTGCACTGGCCAATACGCACCACCAACCCAATCAGTACGATATGGTACGGAACCATTCGGGACAGTTAATTGGCTGCAGCATACGAGTACGCCTGCAAAGCGCTGGGTTACTGCATTACGCTGCTTTACTGCAATGCGTCTCTTAACCCTATTAGTGGCAGGCTCCTGGCTACCCCTATTAGTGGCAGGTGGGGGGCTGTTTACGACCCCCCCTTGATATCTCGAGATCTAACGGGCCGATTTTCAAAATTCAAACGGCATTCGACTTCGCTCAACGTGATCTACATTTCTAAAAAATAAAAATTAAGAAAATGTCAAAAGGGGGGTGGAGGGGGGTAAAAACGGGCAAATTGCAGATACATTTTAGACTGTTTATCACGGCCAGGTTTCTGAACCAATCTTAACGCAACTTTTGCCGATCGATAGAGAATGAACCAGGAATTCACATGGATCCTAAAAATATGCATTTTCAAAAATCATAGGCGGATACAGATCATTGAGATTGGGGGTACACAAAAGGTATAGTAAATAAGGTTTTTGTTGGTACTGTTTCTAAAAAGGGTGGTAATGGTCTTGTTATGTTACAATTTTCTTATGAGAGAACGACTACAATTGTATTGGTCATGCATAGGCGGTGTCAGGGCACCTATGTTGGGAGGTAAAACATAACCCCCCTTTTTGGACGCCTGGATCCGCCTATTATAGCAAAAACGTGTCAAAAGAGGATGCACAATAACTTTGTATATGTTATCACATGATAAAACTGGTGCATACAGTTATAATACATCAGCATCGTGATCATCGCCCAAATGACTCGCTTCACGAATAGGACCCCCCAATTCCCAGTGCTCTGGAGCCGCCCTTGGTAAAGTTATGAACTTGAAATTTTCAGGGAATGTGCCCAATTTAGTTTTAGGAAAAGTCAGAAAATTTCAGCATCGTAGCTTCAGCGGTTTCGGAGATATTCCCGAAAAACCTGAGGGGTGGATGAAAACAACCCCCCCCTGCCACTAATAGGGTTAACTGCAGTGCGCCGCTTTATTATCAACCAACGCTGGCGGCGCAAATTTACCGATTTTAGACCAGTGCCTGGGTGGAAAACGGTGCGCCGCCGTGCCGCGGGCGCCGCGCGCCATCAATAAGGCCAGCGCCGAGCACTGCGCCCCGTCAGTGCCCGTTGGCGGGCAAACTGTCAATTTGGCAAGTAATTGTCTGATCGGTCTATCGGGATGTTTCGGGCGGCGTCATTTGATAAGCGGTGCCGCAGAGATATTTCATGGAGGCGGCCCATGAACGGGGCTTTAGTATGGTTTATGGTAATTGAAAACGGGTCGCCGTTGATGGAGGGTCGACAGCCACGAGTGGTGGCCGCTCACCAGAGCTGTACCAGCGGCCGCCCAACGATGATACGTATTGAAACGCCGGAACGAGTGTGTGTCTGTGTGGATGTTTATATGGAGATCTATACGTCCGTCATATTTGCCCGTTGTCTATAGGTGCCCGTTGTATAGCACTACCTCAGCGCAAAAGTATAACTGCACCACTTACTAAGCAACAGTCTGAGACCATAAGCGGCTGGGCCACTACAGAATAAGGTTCATTGAACTCCTACAGTCTACACTTGTTGCAGGGTGGCGGATCGTCATTCTGATTACTTATATATTGATTGTCATTGTTTGTCAGAGACATCCTCATTAAATAGAGGAAACAGTCCGTCAATACGACCCGAACAGCCTCCGGAATCATTCCTTCCCGCAATCCCGCCTCAATCAACACTTATCCCATTAAACCACAACGCCACACAGCCGACACACTTACCTGGGACAACCCTAGGTAGATGGACACCGTTTCCGATATGTACAAAAATCTTCCGTCGGTGGCTAATGTGAAGGCGAATCCATCCAGGGACTGAAACAGGGCAAACCAAACATAGTGTGACCAGACGTTCGTGAGTCATAACTCACGAATTACTACATACCGGTCCCAATTACACTCCGGTTACTCTCAGTCAGTGCGAGTCAGTTATGGGGAAGGGAGCTGCGCGACGGATGGTATGCGAGTGTAGAAGCGTTATACATTCGTCGCACAAAATAGGTCGGATCGGAAAGGCGTATGGGTGACTCACGACAGAAAAGGCAGGCGGCATCGGATAGCAAAACAACGACCAGCGAAATGAAGTGAGGATTACAGCAGTAATGTTTACCAAACGATACCGTTTACCAATCAATACGAGAGCACCTTTGTAAGGTAGGTGGATCTAGACGTGTGATTGGCTGGATTACCTGCAGTATGTGCGTGCCCTGGTGGCTGTCGAAGACGTCAGTCACCGACATCGGGATGCCGCGAGACCGCAGATGTGTGCCTGAAAAGACAAAGCCACCCAACGTAAATGGCGAGACAAAGACACATTCTGAGTCCGGAGCAAAACGACATATAGTCAATATCCCATCCGATAAATCAGCTTGTAACGACACTGGCCAAAGGTTAATGTAGCCCGTTCCATGTGGGCTGCGGACAAAGAGAGACATAATTCAGGTGTAATCTCAGTTATCCAATAACTACATGCAAACGGTCATTGACTCAGCAGCCCGAGATACCAATCTAGGCGATTTGTCCGCTTTCCCAATGTCCAGTTTCATCAACTAGCAGATTTGCGCATCAGCGCTGGCCATTCTGACCGTTAGTTGGTCAGTTTCGCCATCCCCATACGATCACCCGCTGTAAAATTACACAGCCTCTCAATGTGTACGATCGGCCATCGCAGCCATGTCATTGCAGCCCATTGCCTTGCGTGGAGACCCGTCCTTGGATTGCGCAGTGCGCCGGCATGTCTGTAACGACCGGCAATCAGCAGTATAATGCGCGACCCGGTGCGGGGCCGAGCGGCGAGGACCGAACAGCTGCCGCGGTCATCAGACAGTCGCCTCCCTCGCCAACGCCGAGCTGGCGGGCGCGGAACACTGGCCGACGCCGAGCTGGCGGGTGCGGAACACTGGCCGTCGCCGAGCTGGCGGGTGCGGAACACTGCTCGCATTGAGACGGCGCTCCGGCGGCGGTCGGTGGCAATTTTCCGGCCCGTCAGTTTCTCCGACTCACTGCGGCCGCCGGCGGCGGCGGCGACGGCATCGGCGGCCACTCATCGGCGTCCGACCGGAGCGGTCCGACGGCGGCGCGTCGGACCCCGGACGGAGGATTAGCGCGGCGACGGACCGACGCGTCCGACCGGCGCGTGGCAGCGTCGGGACAGGAGCGGGGGTGACTGCTGATAGTTGAAGATATAATCGCAATTAGACGCATTCTTACTAGAATCTCGGATATATTCACTTCTGGTTGCTCCTCAACTATGCCTAAATAAACCTACATAAGTCAATGAAAAGTCGACTCATATCTCTCCACCCCGTCAGCTCGGCTACCCTCGGCTTCTCCCAGCTACCCTCAGCTACCCCTGGCTGCCCTCTGACCCCTGTCCGACCCCTGCTCGACCCCTGGCCATCTCGGCGGGTGTCCACGTCTGGGTGTCGGTCGGAGGCGCCTCGCCCTGCCGATCCGGTTGTTTATGGCCCCACCGTCTGGGTCGCGCCACTCAGCCGGCCAAATCCACTTACTTCTCCCCTAAACGGTTATTAAAGCCACGCTCTCCCCGCCAATTTATGGCTATGTCCGTAGTCTAATTAAGAAAAATGCGGAAACTAGTGCGGGGGCATATGAGCGTTTATTGGCGAGGGGTGGTCGCGGGTGATATCTTGATGTGTCGTTACGATGGAAATGGACAGAGAGCAGAGCTCGCGGCGGGGGAGGTCGGAGGGAGGGGTCACCGCTCCGGCTCTGTCTCAGAACAAGCGCTTCCCCAAAGTGCAATCACCATATGTGGAATGAAATGGAGCGCACTGGACAACTTTTGTCCGGACGGAGGTCGTGCCGTCCATTACGTGGGCGGCAGCGCCGGGGGTCCGCCGCGGTCACGGACCAGTGTGGAACTTTGTCATCCCTCTGACAGTGGCCCTCTGTTTGCTGACAGTACCCGGAGCGGACACAGGCTGCGCCGCCACAACTCTCAACGAGACCATTCATTTCCAGACTAATCCGAGAGGAATTTCCTTCGTGGATGAGATCCGCATTGCGTGCATGCTTTACTACAAAACAATGTCAATATATTCGAACGATTCATCTTGTATAAACGGCACCCGATCGATCCCCGATATCCGTCACTGAACAGACGGTCACCTCAGACGGTGTTGAGCTCTGCTCAGACCGTGTCCGGTCGCTACTCCGTAGGGAGTCCCTGCTGCCGATGCTGAGGGCGCCGGTCCCTCCCTGGCTGACAGTCCCTGCGGCGCCCCCGCGGCGCCCCATCGGCGCCCCACCCGGAGCCGACGCCCTCGAGTGTCAGCCAGACGGTCCAAAGGTAATGCAGTTAAGGTCACTCGGGATTCCCCCTCTATCAAAGCAGCAGCGCGGCTACCTAACAGGATTCTGCGGCGGCGACGGCACAATCAGAGCTACTGGAGGTGCGCAGAAATAAAACGTAGCTGATTGCAGGAGTCAGCGCAAAAAAAAACGATGCAAAAAAATGTTGTACATAGTCTGAAAATAGGCACTTCGGCGCAAACACATGCTTTTCTGTGGAGGACTTAAGTCCATGCCTGCCAAATATAAGGAGACGTCGAAACTCCGTGCCATACCTACGCATGGTGCAATAGCCACTGGTCTGCACTGAATCGATGGATTGTGTCTGATCCGCCGACATCCGTTTAGTACCTCCGTCACGTATGCCCTGAGGCACTGGGTGCCGCGGCCCCCCGCTGCGCGCGGCGCGACCTCCCGGCCTGTCATCCCGCTGCCGGCCGGTGACGTCACACACTGACCGAACGAGGCACGGCCATCCGTCAGTGGTGCTGCTGAGGTGTTGGACAATTTGTCAACGTAACCGGCCCGCTGCCGCGGTGGGACGCTCGTGACAGCCTCTATAAAGCCGACTGAGATGAGAATGAATGTCGGGGACGGAGGGCGCTGTGTAATACGTTTTGAATAAAATATTCACACTGTCGTTTTTACTGGCGAGGAGATGTTAAATAAGTTCCAAAACGTCACCATAGTGACAGGGCGATTAGGATCACTCAAAAAGTGAATTTCAATTCGAATTTGATGCAGTACGCGCCAAACGATAAAGACAACTTTGAGTGAAAGTAAAAAACAAACATCATACACAAAAAAGCATGAGCTCTCACGCATGTCCATTTCTTCCATTTCATCTCGCTGTTTGACCACCGAAAACAGACCATTGCCGTGACCCGGATTCGAACCGGGGTTATCGCGGCCACAACGCGAGGTCCTAACCACTAGACTATCACGGCTCTGCCAGCCGCGCTCCTGGCGTGAGAGTGGTCCGGGCGGCCGGCGGCTCGGCGGGAGCGACACGCCTTTCACACATGGGCGGTCCCGCGGCGGGAGACCCGTCCCACACCCGCCGGCCGCCGGCCGCCGCGCGCCGGTTTATTTTGGTCTCCGGTACCACTGCGCCACCCGCCGCGCCTCGCTCGTCGCCGGAGAGGGGACCAGCGCCGGCGGGCGGCCTGTCACAGCTGTCACACCTGTCACCGGTGACAGGTCCGCCGCCAACACCGGCCGGTGTCCGGCCAGACAGCCCCCTGGCCGGCGGCGACCGGCGTGACACCCTCCCCTCTCTCCGTGGTGAGACTATCATCAATTCGGCCCGACCCTCGGCCGCAAATGTGCCGCCCGTGTAAGCCGCAGTCACAATATTGTGGTTGGTGCCGCCGGCCGACGTCCACCTGCCCCCATGGACCGGATTGAGACAGACCCCGCCGGACAGTCTATGGGGGAGGGCCCTCGGCGACCCCTGACAACATGTCTGCTCTCACAGACCAGCGCAGCGGTGGCCACTGGAGCAAACGTATGATCACGCCCGCGAATTGATTCGAGCGCCGGCGACTGTGACGATATTTGCATGTCAAAGCAAATTAGCGCTATTCATCTGCGGCGAACAATGTGATTTTGTGCGCTTCGTTTGCCGGCGGCCACGCGGCGATCGCGTCGCGCCCGATCGGTAATTGCTGGACCCTGCTCGAGGCGCGTGAACGCGAACTAAAGCACTCATCACGGCGAGTTAATTGTGGCGCCGACAATCCAATAGAGTGAACCGATCAATGCGTGCTGTGCAGGGGATGTCGGCGGCTTGTACTTTTGGCAGGCAGTGTGCACACGCCCCATAGGGAGTCCGAACGCTCCAGATTGAGACTTTGGCTGCCTTAGAACGGACAGAACAGTTGTTTTGCAACTCACGAGTATCACCGAGCTCGAATGAATAAAGTAACATTTCTGTTATTGACCGTATTAAAAGGAGACTTCAATGCATTGGTGGTGTCTAACATTTACCATAGGGGCTGTTAATTCGGGCAGTCGCTAGTTTCCTGGTCGCCCGCTGCAGTCTCGTGCAATGCGGCACAGCCTACCACTCCACTCGCTCGGCCGCGCTGCGTTGCAGTCTCTCCAGGCTTCGCGGTGATCGCGCAAACCTATAATAAATATGTCGTGTCCAGCGGTCGGACAATCTCTTGTATTCCGGAGCAAATACCTACAGGATGAATGAAAAAATACTAACATGGGCAGGGTTCACTGACGGCAATGTTATCTAATCTGTTGGAAGATTTTAATTTGCATATTAACTGTTTTGGAATAAGCTGGCCTTCCTTGTCCTTTCAAATAATTGGCTCGCTTCATTGCCGGCGAATATTCTTTGAGTTTCCTTGATTTCTTGGTGTTGATGTCTGCTCACTGGAGACGCGCAATAAATCTACTGGCCTTTTCTCTGCGGGGCAGTAACACAGGGAAATCTTTTCGCTTTGCCGTGAATTCCGTATGAATTATGTGGCAAATATTTTATCGGCACAATTTGTCAAGCTTTACGGCCACCGGTGACGCATAGGGCATTTTAATAGACTTTCCGATGAGAATGCAATTTAATGGACATTGCGAATGAAAAAGTGACCAGCGATTCTTTTCCTCCCCCGGCCGCGGCCCTGAAATGAAATGAGCCGACATGCTTGATTTATGACGAAATATGCAAAAAAACTCCGCCGGCCAGCCGAGAAATGTCGGCAGAAATCGGCCGTCCGGGGCGTGGAATTCGGCGATCGCCGCTCGCGATCCCTATCGCCGGCTTAGAGGGCGCTCGGGGGGAGCTTGATGGTCTTTGTGTGACCGCTGGTCAGTCTGGGTACCCCTCGACCGGCTGTGACCGGACCTGATGCGCAGATCCGTGACATTACCAGACAATGCGTCTGTCCACACATGGCCGCCTATCGCAAAATCTACGCACAATAAATGTCAGATATGCAAAGCAAGGCAACAAAAGAAGTTTCATTGCCGTGTTTCACAATGTGAACAATGAGATGGTTGAGCATGCGTAAAATCATGAAATCCTGGAAATTTGAGATCGGCGGTTCCAAGACAGTCGCTTCTTAGTAACTTCCGCGCACAATTTATTGCCCGCCCTCTACTGCGTTGCTACATACGCTCTTTCCGGAACCCATATAAACGGCATCCTTTGCAACCGCAGTCAAAGCATTAACCCATATGCAGACCCGACCAAAAATCCATAATCCGGATCTCGACAATCATACTGCATCCGCCCGTGCGGTGGCAGCTCACCACAGACCGGTTCTGCTGGCCGGCGCGTGCTGCGGTTCCTCTGTACTACACGGCTGAGCTCTCACGGCGTCTCTAGCACGGGCCGGCGCCGGGCAGACACGGGGAGGGGAGCGGGGCGGCGGCGGACCCACTTCAAACGCGACCGGGTGTCAGCCGGAGCTCGTTTTCGCTCGCCGCCGGCGCTCCAGCCGCGCCGATCTTGCCAGATTGGTTTTTGATGAAATGACGCCACTTTATCATCGGCTAACCACTAGTATTTTCTACAATGACTCAACGCTGCCGGATAATGGCATAATAATTACTGAGCTGACGAAGAAGCGAAGTCAGCGGCAGCGGCAGCAGGGGTAGCGTGCTGCGGTGCAGACGCAGGTGCAGCAGCAGAAACTGTCAGACCGCGAATGGTCTGAGCTGAGCGCTATCACATGACTTCAGACTGAGTCGAGGTTCTGCGACATTTGAGCAGAGAGGTACCGATACATCTCGGCCCCATTAGTGACCTGCGGTCGGTGACATGCTGCATCAGGGCCCTCAGGGCGCTTGTACAGCTGCGTAGATAATGGGTGCACCCTTCCCCGTCCCAGCCCGGCGCTCGCTGAGCTGATGGTCCATCCCATTCATCCCATCTCGGCGCTCCCGTCCCTGGCCCATCCCATCCCGTTGCTCGCCCATCCCTGGCCCATCCCAGTCCGACACAGCGGCCATCTGTACCCGCTGCAACGGCGGCAGCGGCGACAAATTGCACATTGTGCGGCCAGACAGGTGTGTACGCTGAGCGCAATTACGCGGCGGAGCGGCGCGCGGCGACGAGCCCCCGCTGCTGCTCGAACGGCCCACCTCCGCTGCAGAGAGCTCAGAGGTGCAGCGGCCGAGCGGTGGCGGACACCGAGCTCTCTCTGAGGACACGACATCGTCCGCAGGCGGTGGTATTAGTGGGTGCCGTTCCAGACGCCGAGACGGTAGACAGCGGATAGTCTTCGGCCAACGGTCCTGGTGTCCGTCTCATCGAGACTCGCTCGCCACGCATACTGACGAGCGACTAATCACGTCGGCCAGCACACACCTTCGGTGTTCTGTCTGTACTGATGTCGATGCACCGTCGATTCAACTGAACAGCGCATTGAACACGTGTTCGAACCCATATCAGTGCTCCAATCCGAGCTGGCTAATTATCAGGGAGCGCCAGCTTATCGAACACATCAAACATTTGCTCAGACAGTCATCATCCATATGGCGCCTTCATTAACATGCATGTGTAACACACATGTAACGTTTAATTAACACCTCCGACGCTCGCCCTCAAATGACTGCCGACACTTCATGTACCCATATCGAAATCGAAGCAAGAACTGACCCTCGAAATACTAAACGCTTAAGTTATTTAGAGTCTGTGTTAGAGCTAGAGTTAGAGCCAATTGTGTACTCACTCTTGTAGAGTTTGTTGGGCGGCGGCTCGCGCGCCCAGGGCGGGTCTCCCTGAGCGCTGAACTCGCCAATCTTCAGGAAGCTGATGGTGAGTCGGATGATGGAGGCCTTGTCCAGCTGGGAGGTGATGGCGCCCGGCAGCGGCAGCATCTTGGCCAGCTCGTAGAACTCGTAGTTCTCCTTGCCGCGCCGTGACCGCGCCGCGTCACGGGACTTCTCTTTGCGAATCTCCAGGATACTGTGGAGAGAAGGAGAGAAGACGTCACAATGCGGCATGAAATTACACAAAACACTACGGGAAAAAGTACAAGATACGAGAGAACAAATAAAGCTAAGCTCTGCTTTGTCACATGAACTTTGACAGGTTAAATTGAACAGTGTCCCATTTCTATTTCATTGGACTTTTGGAAAGATTTCAAAGATCATATATTCCAATCAACATCGCGCCAATCATGATGGCATGTACAACATAATCAACTGTAAATAAATTAGACGTAGGCGGATCATAACATCCAATAATTTCAGACGTGCTCGATTCCTCAATCCCGCTCATCCGCAATATACCACGGATGAACAAGCCGCCTGTCTCGCTGTGGATAAGTAACATATTGCCGATAAGCGCCTGTGAAAGCCAGGTGGTCGGTGTGAAATACGACTGTGTGGGTAAGCCGACGGCACACATACGGCCCCCAGGACCGGCCGCGACGGGCTATCTGTCCCCGTCGGCGGCTGACGCTGGCCGGCGCCAGCTGTGTCCGTGTGTCCGCGCTGTGTCCGCGGTGTGTCCGCGCTGTGTCCGCGCCATTGTCCGTGTCTGTCCTGTCCATGTGTGTCCGGATATCGACAGTTACACGTGTCTTCCCTGAACTGTGGTGCAGCTGGGCATGGTTTCTTAAAGCTCCTACATCTCATAATACATTAGCGGGCCTCATCAGTCATCTGAGTCCGTCGTTCCTCTGTTAGGTCTCGAGCAGACCTGCGCTGAATGGAAAATCCTTACAAACGCTCGATTGCAATTGCTTTCAACGCCCCATGGCCTCCACGTCGATGCGCTTCGGCTGGCTCTAATGCGCGACATGGCGAGAGATGCCTCGGGCATTCTCGCAGCCAGCCAGTCGGTGGGCCAGCCATCCCGCCTCTGCCATTTTCCGCTCCATTTAAACTGGAGCCGCCCGGCTGTGCAATGGGACCAGATGGTAAATCTAGCAAAACTGATCTTTGGTGCTGGGTGGCGACACAGGGTAATCAAGCTGACAACAAGCGCGGCGCAGCGGGGCGCCATAGCTCAGCGCTAGCTCAGTTCTGGCTCGGCAGTAGCTCAGCGGGACCGTCTGTCTGGAGATGGGTGAGGCGGTGCAGTGGAGAGGCTGATTACTCGAGCAACAAGTCCTCAAACAATGCAGCGTAGAAGCAGGACATCACCATCAAGGAGGTACACAATGAATGAGAGTATAGTTTTCTCTGAAAACGCAGAACTTTTTTTTCAAACAATATAAACAAAATCGATGATGAAATAATGATAAAAATAAAACAAGTCAAAATAAATGCCGTGGCCAAAACTCTGAACAAATATTCATCGTTGCGTCTGGCATAAAACACATTTGCGATCATGCCCGCACAGTGGCATTAGACTAGACCATGCTTTCTGTCACACCAGCTTATTTGCTGGGTCTCTGATCGCCGCACTATATTCATCATGACAGCTGGTCGACCATTAGTCCCCTCCCCTCTGTCCTCTCCCCCTGGAGAGCGACAGAGGAGCCGACACCAGCGTCACAAAGTGGCCCCATGGCGCGGCTGCTCTCCAGCCATCATCGCCCATCTGCATGGACGCGCGTCCCACGCCCCCCTCCCTGCAAGGGTCGCGCCGGGGGCGTTAAGAGCACCACGCCGCGCCGTGCCGGGTCTGGCCGCGCGTTCTGTTTTGTTTCAATTACCTCCGGGGTCCCTGGGGGGCTCTGGGCCGCCGGCGCGCGCTCCCCGGCCGGTGCTGAACACGGCCATCGCATACAATCGCCGCCGTCCACTGACGGCCAAAGCACTTTCAATTTATCCGGCGACACTTTATGAAGGCGCGGCGCCGCGTCCGGCGACGATTCGTGATTATCGTCGGGGGCGTCCCCAGCTCTGGCAGCCCCGCCACCCGGCCGCTGGCCGCTATACAGAGTGCTGCGGTGCGCCGGTTTCTGCCGACCCGGCTGAACGGACCGCCGGAGGGCACCGGACCCTGTCCGGCCGCGGGCGACCGACGCTCCCCCAGGGACCCACACCCGTAAAGGGGTTACGGAACATAAATTTGATAGCCGCACGATACGCTCGGCCGTGTTTTAACACAGCACCGATAGAGGGGAGGGAAGGGTTCACGCCTTTGAAGACCCTCGGCGCCGGTGGCTAAACAAGATGCGATCGAGGCACGGAGAAAATCCCGGACGATCGGCGGTATTGAAAACGGATGTGACGGATCCCACTTAGAGGTAAAGGAGAATTCGACTGAAGTGCGCTGATGTCGTCTTCACTTGGACAAGCATCTTTTAGGCATTTTCTGACTATCTAGAATGCTTCAAAACCAGCTCGCTCGATTTCGTACGATTGTGGTTCAAAGGCCATTCAGAAGAGGCAAAAAGAAAAAATACTCAAAGATCTGTATTTAGTTACGCAAAGGTACGTATAACTGTTATCACAAACTATCTCTTCTTACCGTTAAATGATTCAAAAAGGGCAAATACCTAGATTCAAACAGTTTTTTAATTAAATGCTCTTTGCAGCATCCAAACAGATAAGCAACTATACATTATCGTGTACTTTATATGACATAATATTTTTGCTAATGAGCCCTGACACTAGGCAGCGGCCAGTATCTGTTCAGTGTAGCGCCCTGCGACAGCCGCCCATTGTCACCTTATTGCCCACATTATCCGCGGCACACACCCACACACCGTGTGTGTTTATTTGTGTGTGTGCGACGATCAGCGCGCAGCGGCGGCCGATGGTGGCGCGGCGCGGAGACTGATCCGCGCCAGATAATTGCCTCGGCAGCCACCAAATGGAGTTCATATTTCAGTGGGATGACGCGCCCGCCCGCCGGGAGCGCCGCATTATTGCCGCCCGCTCGTGACCGCCATAACTCGCGTCGGCGGTGACGGCGCCGCGAGACGTGACCGACGCGCCGGCGGCGACACCCAGGGGCCGTCGGGGACGACGGTCCCCGGACACCGCCCGCGTGCGCCGCAGAAAGGCGGCGAAACGCAGAGGAGTCGCGGAACTCGTAAGAGAATATTTCCTCAGACCACGGAAACCTGCAGTCTTGTATCGCTCTTCCTTGTTCCCTATGTTCATATTTCCAGGCGATATGCACCTAAATATTTCATCACACGTCAAAAAGATTTCGTGGAAATGTTTCACAATTCTGAGAATCCATTCAAGAAGCCCACACTAGGAAGTTCGATACGCATTAGTCCAACCCGCAGAGAAGCTAACAAGTTTTGACCGCGGCTCCCCTGAGAGTTGCATGTGGTTCACCGGTTCCCCGTTAGGCCGCCCGCCTGGTCACTGGTCGCCAAAGGCTCGGCCATATGCCGTTCTGGGAAAACTGACACCTCAGACATCATCAAAATTCGGAAAGTTCGAATTGAATTGACACGTCCTGAAAGCCTTCGCCAACTGACCGCAAAGATAAAAGATCTCTGAGTGGACAGGGCTCTGAAATCGATAAGCTGGAAACCAAATAATACCGGACTTCAGGGAAGGAAGCTAACTCCTAATGGGACATTTACATAACCACCGGGGAACGGTAAGTGATGATAAAGAGATCAAAATGTACCAGTGCCCGTCTAATGTTTCAAAAAAGCAACGTAACGCAGACCAGCACCATGTTTTGCATAATTCGATACACAGTTTAAACGATTTGACAGCGGCGATACCACTGATGACATATCTGATATGACTCGAGCGGATGCCACTGACCATCTTCGATTAGCTAACACGTGTTTTGTGACAGCTCTCAGGCTCAACCCAACACCCTGACACCGCTTCATTACATTATAAACACCTCCCATCATCCCATAAAGGCCTGGGACGCAGCGAACAACATGTCCCCACTCGACCCGTGCCAGCGCGTGGGGTTCTCGCACCGCACATGCCGTCCGTGCGCTTGCGAACGATGCGCCACTCCACGTTTCTTCAGCGCCAGATTGGCTCGACAACCTGGTTAGAGCGTATCTGCGGGTCGGCTCCGGGCACTATCCCCGGGGGCTCCGGTCGGCAGGCCACTTCAACACGCTGGTATCGGCTCCTCACACACTGGGTGAGAGGCGGAGACGGAAATGCCTCAGGCGGACGCCACTAGGGCCTCGCGCCACGAACAACGCTCAGCGCAGTTGCATTGACAAGACATACTTATTCCTCAAAGGCTCACATTTCATTGTTGGATGTTTGTCGAAATCGGATGTTCAACTGGTTTGAAGTTTATTTCCGTGATTATCTGGAAACAAACTGCGTTTGCTATGTAAAAAAGAGCGAATGTAATTCATGCGACGTCTCTAGAGTGCGAAAAAACTTCTATCATCAAACAAAATGTAAATTGTTGCCTCCATTCCACCAATTAGACCGTCGAGTTCAGCTTCAGGTTGGCCTGATACCGCTCCACAAACTGCATTCAAATCTACTCCACCTCCCTATTTCAGGATAAGCACATTTTAAACAACCCTATCCCGGGCTCAAGTCGGTAATACTGCCGAAACAACGGCGCTTGGGGCGATCACCGGAGTTTATCTGGCGTCTGGCTCTGCAATATCTCACCGGGGAACGCAGCCAAACCCCGCGTCACCCATCATATGGAGATCGGGCTCTTAGGAGATTTGTTAAACAACGGGTTAGGGGCGAACGATACGCCAAACGAGCGGGGTGCGGGCCGGTGTTGGGCTGTTATCATGAGGGTCGGTTAGAGCGCGCGCACCGCACGACAAAAGGGTGGCTTCCGGCGATTATCGTGCCGAGCACAGCCGGCTTTGAAACTTCACCGATTTAAACGAGCCGACTGGTGCGGTAGCGGGCCACGGCAAATGGGGACGGATGGGTAAATGAGGGGGCGTTAGTAGCACGAATCGGGGCGGGATCAGCCTGACTATTTATGAAACGGCATTTTTAGGTTGTCCTATGGAGCTGAATAAATATTTAAAGACATTATTATACTGCATAGAACATAAGGATGCTCTGCTTAAGTTGCAGGTAGGTATATGA